CCCAACCCCAACCCCAACCCCAACCCCAACCCCAACCCCAACCCCAACCCCAACCCCAACCCCAACCCCAACCCCAACCCCAACCCCAACCCCAACCCCAATAAGTATAATAAATAATTAACTTTTTTAAATAAAAATTAAAGATATTTAAAAATAAAAAAATAAAATAAAATTAATCAAAGCAAATTTTTTATTTGAGAAAAATATTAAAAAATAATTCTTGTAAAATTATTAAAAAAATGAATAATAAATTTAAAAAATTTAAGCTTGGTAAAAAAACTGTTACTTAAATATGATGAAGTTGGAAATTTTGAAAATTATTTTAAATTTAATAACATCTTTAAATTTAGAAATAAAAATTACAGTTTGTTTAGTTCTAATTAATTATTGTATGAGTGTAAAATTTATTTACAGACCACTAAAATTTAATAGCTTTTTTATTAGCCGATGAATTAATTGCTTCAGTATTTATTTTAGTTAGAATTTAAAAAAAAACATTTGTTAATAATAAAAAAGAAAATTTGGTTTTTTTATGTCCTAAATTAACATTTATTGATAAGAATTTTTAAGTTTTCAAGTAAAATCAATGCATGGAATATGCTTATCGAAACAAATTAATAAATAAAATTTGTTTAAACGATTATTTATTTCATCATGTCAATTAATTAAAAATAAAGTAGTTAATCTTTCAACTAATTATATTTAACTAGTTTTGTAAAAAAATTATTAATCGAGAAAAAAATTAGTATTAATTTTAAATTAAGATAATGAGGTAAATTTTAGGTAGAAGAAGCGATATTTATTATAATTTTTTAGGGCTCTTGAAAGTTATAACTCTAATGATGGTAATTTAACTGTAAAATGTATTATCAAAAGAACCAATAGAGGTCTATGAAATTCCAAAAACTGAGTTTTATTTGGATCATACTTAAAAAGGACACCAAAAATTTTATTAATTTTAACTAACTTCAGTATCAAATTTTTACTTGATTAGCCTAAATAAATAGAATATTTAAAGCAGTGATGATTCAAAAACCAATAGCTAGAATTAAAATCAAGCAACTAACAACAATTCTACCAATTCTGATAACACAGAAAATAATAACGACTAAAATGAGGATGTTCCATCATGCAGCCTAAATTTTGAAGGAGGCGAGTTTGAAATAATTGATAATTTTGAAATATACTAAAATATAATTAGCAATATGATGCAGGTTTCTAGAAGCGATAATGAGTACTACTACTTTTATTTAGATAATTTACTTTAACTGTATACTTATAGAGTAAATACTAAAAAAGAAACTCTCAAATATTTAGGTCACAAAAAAATAGAGTTTGAAGACTTTATTCTAAATTCAACAGATCCAAGCAATCCATAAACAGTATTTATTAGCTATAACCATAACGCAAACGATAGTAACAGCAATTAAGAAGATGGCGCCTCGCAACCTAATTAGCGATTAAGAAGGAACTTATAATTAGATAATTAGTTTAGTTAATAGACCTTTAATACTATTTAAAGTAGGAGTTTCATGGAATAAAGCAAGAAAGAAGAATATATTATCGAATAAACGAAAAGAAAATTATCTGAAGATAAAGAAGAAGAAAAATTTTAATAAATTAAGTTATTGAAATTGCTTAATTGGAAAGATTAAATTATATGCGTAGTCAATTAATCAATATATATAATTTATTAAGATAAGGCATAGAGAATATATAAGTTCGATACTATTATTGATATAGACATTTTGGAGGATCTCCTGTTTGTAGCTTCAGGCACTGGAGGATTAAAAGTATTTGAAATACAATAAAATGTAGCTGGATCATCACAAGGAAGAGATATCTACCTTAAAAAGATTGCAAGTATCAAATGGTAAGATTAATATGTCAGAAAAGTTCTTATTTATAATAATAGAATCTACTTTGTTAACAAGGATTCTATTTACATTTACACTCTACAAGGTAAGACTATAAATTTTGGCTGTTTAATTAGCGAAAATGAAATACCAGAAAATCTGAGTATAGGCTCGCTACAAGCTTAGGACAATACACTTATAGCTTTAACATATCCTAAAGTAAATGACTTAAAAAATGTAACAAGAAGTTAAAATTATAAAGGATATGTTGAATTTTTACTGAATAGAGAAATTTTAGGAGGAGGTAGTTCAAACGGAGCGAATCAAGGAAACTTTTATGAGAGCCAAGGGTAGTGCTATTACAAAATTAAACAAGAAAATGATCTTCCAAATATAGTTAAAGGAGTTCAAATAATAAACAATTACATACTTTTTGGCTTAGAAAATGGGATGAGTGGAGTCTAATTAGGAGTTACAAAGAGTCTTTTATAAGACATTTAAAAAGGAAAATGGATTAATAACTTTATCCCTAACGCCTCTAATTTTAAAGTTATAGAAGGAACTTAATATTTGATTGCAGCCAGTGCAACTAGACTATCTTTATACTAATTTTAAGACTACGATGTTAATATAGCATGCAAACATGATTAAATCCTTAAAAATGGGAGCTTAGTAAATTATATAGACAATAAATAAATAAATGCAGATCACTTAGAATATATAGTATATTATTTGACAAACAATTGCATACAAGAGTTGAGCAAATAAAACGGAGTGATTACAAAACAGAACACTGATATCAATGCAATTAAATCTTATTTTGGGTACACTTCTCATAATTAAAATATCGAAGTGTATTTCTATAAGTAGACTGACAATTCTACTTGTGTAATAAAGTAAAATGTCCTTATTAAATAACTCTAACAAAGCACAAGTAGTGGCCATGGTTTCTTCTTTGGGATGGTTTCCTCCTTTGTAGTTTGTTCAATTATTCTTTTATTGGTCTATATTCTTTATAAAAGAAAATAGCAGATTCAAAAAAAAGATTTATGCAAAACACCTCTCAAAAAAAATAGATAGTCAAAGTTACCTTCTTAAAAACACTAAGATGATTAAAGCTCAATTAACAAAATTGTATCCAAAAAATCTACTGAGAAAGATGTTTCAAGTAAAAAAGATAATCCTAATAATTAAAGCTCTGCATCTATATTAACTTATAATAAGAATGGTAAGAATACATCAGCTGTTTTCGAAGATGATAATAATAGTAATAACCATCATAATTAATCAAACCATGAGCACTTTTATTAGTAAAATGGACAATAAAAAGCGAACAAGGAAGAGCTTGTCGACCAAGATTAATAAAACTTACAATAATAACAAAAGCTACTTGACTAGTAAATTCAATAAATGCTATTGATAAGTTAATAATAATAGTAGCAGTATATCTAACAAATCATATAAAACCCATAATTTTAGTAACTAAGTAAATATGAATAAGACAGGTTCTTGCAGCATCAGTACTAACAACATTTAGAGTATCAGAGATAAATAAGACTCTAACAGATTAAATAACATTAATAATTGAATTAATAATTACAAAATTAATAGAAAGGTGGAAGAAACAAGCTAATTTCTCCACTCCAAAGAAAGTATGGTGGTAATGTTGATCCAATATTGGAAACAGATAGTGATAAAAAGATGTCTACTCGTAGAGACTAAGAAGCTTTCTATAGAATGAAGAAGAGAAACAACCATTATGAAGAAAATCTAATGAGATCTTATAAAAAGAATATAAACGTTATTAATGATCTTAATTTGAACATTTAATTAGAGGAAAATGTGTAACCACCTAGCCACAATGTGTTCTCACCATAAAATTTCTAGAATGTATAAATTGAATTAGATGATGATAAGGCTGATCCTGAATAGTAGTTAACTGCAAACATGAAAAATAGTAACAACTTTGGTGAACATTTGGATGATTAAGGTTAAAATGATTACACAATTTAAACAGAAAATCAATAAATTTAAAATCCAAAGATACCATTTATGACTCTTCAGTCAATACAAAACTCTTTAAAGCAAAACTAGTAAAAAAATAACACACCTAAGAAAAAAACAAAAATGAGTAACAATAACTAATATGAATAGTATGAAGATGATAGCGATTAAGATGAAGAATCAGATCATGTTCAATAAAATGAAGAAGAGCCATCTTAAATTGATTAATATGCTATTAATCAATAAATTTAACATGTAGATGAAAATGTGCATGAGGAAAAAGGTAAAATGAGTGCTGAATCTGAAATAAAAACAAGCGAATCTCAAACAATTAGTGATAAAATGACAAGAAGTAATAACGAAACAACTTCAACTGCTTCGAACAGATAATTAAATGTGCATTCAAATAAAAATTATTAATAAAAGTAATATAAATAAAAAGAAAAGGAAGTAGATGATGAAAACGAAGATGAAAATTATCATAATTCTTTGAATGAAGATGATAACCAATAAGATAATATTCACCTTAATAAAAATATGGAAGGAAGTGAATCTATCAATTGATTTAATAACCAAACCCACACAATATATTTAATAATACACAACTAAAATTCTAAGCAAGTAATATTAATAATCAATCTAGTACAAAGATTAAAATATTCTGTAACAAAAAGTGAATATTTATATTTAAATTTCTATATTTTTAATAAAAACCAGCATAAGATATAAACGAAATACCAAAAATTTATAATAAGTATTTCTTTCTAAACTTTAAATACATTTTTTCCTCCATACATATTTATTTCTTTAGTATTTTTATTTGATATTTGTTTTACAAATAAAAAAAATCAGGATAATTTTTTTAATTTAATGTAAAAAATAATCCAAACTATTTTTTATTTAAAAAATTTCACGATCTTAATTCATCTATTAATTAAAAATGAGAAACAAATAAATTTCATCGATTCTTAATCTTCCAGAATTTGGTCAAAAAAACTATTTAAAAATTTACAAATTCACAGTGAAATTTAATTAAAAAAGTGTGGTAATTCTTATATTTATAGTAATATTAAATAATGTGTAAGGATTATAAGTGGAGGTTTAATAATATAATAAGATAATTAATTATTATTTATATATTAAATACAAAATTTACAAATTATGAAATGGTTAGATTTAGAAAAATAATTTAATTAATTATTTAATTTGTGATAATTTAGTTTTTAGAAATTTTAGTTTTTCTCTTCTTTTTACTTTCGAGTGGATAATTTACTTTACTTGTTTATTTATTTATTTGTTTTTTTGTTATTAAGCTTTAAATTACGAGTATTAGTTGACATTTGATTTAAATTCTTCTTTCTTCTATTTTAATTTAGATTATGATTTCAAACTATTTATTTATTTACTTTTACTAAAATTTTTTTATTCTGTTGATTTAATTCAAACTACAGTCTCGTTTTAATAATTTTGATTGAATTTTGCTTCTTATTCTTCATACAATGATTTAGATCTCATGCAATTATTGAATTTAACCTAATTATTATGCGGATTTTAATATGAATTTTTTTATTTGAGCTGGATAGTACAGTCTGCTTCCTCAGATGAGCTTTCATTTGATTAAGTTTACTTTTAGCAAATATCTTAAAGAGAAGCAGGGGGAGTATCTTTTTCAAGTTTAAACTATTTAATAGATTTATTACTCTTTCCCTTAAGATATTACGGACTTGGTTCAGCAAATTCTTAGGTTTAAAGGTTATCTAAAATTATAGGAGATATTTGAATTTAAGAATAACAACTAGCTTTATAATTATTTTTTTTTTAATCTGGTGATTTTTAGTTTGTATTATCTTCTATATTTCTTTATGATAAGCTGAGGGGTGGTATAGATCTGTCCTATTTATCCAAAGGTTCACAAGGAGAGGTTAAGCAAGATCCTTAAGGTTTATAACATTAAAATTAATGGGTTCTATCATTAGCACCTGATTCATTTTACTATTGATTTTCTTATTATTATTAAGTATCTTCATCTATCCTAGTTAAGTTATATTGCTTTTCAAGTGATTGAAATTAAGGGCTTGTGCAAGGCTAGCTTGGGAAACTTGAGATTTCATATTTATATAAATTACTAAGGGATTTGTCATATGTAGAATTACTAGGAATGGATCTTATATTTGTTTAATGTTATTGCATGCAGCTATTACTGTTATTTATATTTGTAGATTGATTTTCTGAGCTTATATGATTATTTTCAGTTCGAATTGATTTAGCATTATTTTTAGTAAATTAACGTATAAAATTTGAACTTTCTATACTATTTTAGTTTATACAACTATGAATAGAATTTTTAACTTAAAATACTTCAGATTGTTGAGGAGAAAATTGGTGATCAGCTTTATCATCAAAACTCACATCTGGATTTTACTATTTCAAATGACTTATTATTTATTTTACTTTATTTACATCTAAGCGCTATAAAGCCCCATTCAAGCGCTTCTTATATGAGTATTTGCTATTTGAAGTTACAAACAATTTGGCATGGTTGTTGTGCTATTTCTATACTAGCACATCAGGATCTTCTCCATCAACAGCATACTTTTAGTTTTAATCTTCAAATTCTTACAATAATGTATGATCTCTACTCCTCTTGATTAGCTTATAGCATCTGTTAGTGATAAAAATAATTATTACAAAACCTATAAGACTGAATATTATAGCGAGAATCAAATTAGTACTAAGATTAGAGGAAGACTATTGTTTTTATGTTAAATCAATAGCTTATTAAAGACAATTTATTTAGCAGTCTTTATAACTGTCAAGCTCTACTAAATTTTTACCTTATTCTAAGTAACAACTTTCATATATTTATATAATTTATTTAGACATATCGTTAAGGTATTATTAGCTAGGGTCTTTCTTACTACTATTTGGGATATCTCCTCCACCAATAATGTTACTATTTTGATTGTCATTTTCATTTGTAAATGATCCTAAAGCATTCAATTTTTATAGTGTGCATTAAGTATAATCAATATAAGTTCTTTAAAATAACTTTTAAGTTTATTCATATCTAAATCTAAGCTGCTCGCAGCTATTTTTTAAGCATTATTCAAATAATTTCATCTGTTTTATGCTTTAAAATAACTCTATAAATCTTAAGCTATATCCTATTTATTTTTAAATTAATCTGTTTGATTATTTTTTGTTTGTTTTTTTTTTTTTTGATTTTGTTTATTAAAGTAATTACTATAATAAAAAAGATTTTTAACTCTGGCAATATATTTATTCGTACTCTCTTTATTCAATTCAATGTAATTCTTTGAAATATACATATTTTAAAAGCACAAAATATTTATTATTACATTGCTATATATAATAAAAATCATATCAATTTTGTTTTCTACTGAACTGAGAGAGAAAAAATTTGTATTTCAGGTTAATATTAAGTTTGTGATAAATTTTTCAAATCAACTACATCCACTTATATATCTAATTAGAACTGACTTGCCAAAGCAGTACTTCCTTTATAAATACTTCAAAATATATAAACTAAGAATTACCACTATCAATCAATAATAACAATAATATATATTTTAAAAATAAAATTTAGGTCTAAATTTAAAAATTTCTAAATAAAAATAATTATGATGGTAGTACATTTTAGAAATTATATTACTCATATTATAGTTAATAAATTTATTTAATAACTTTTATGGTATTAGTAAAAATTTACATTTTAATTTTAGGGAAGATAACAAAATTTAAATATTATTAATAAAGATAAAATCAAAATAATTGAACTAAAATAAATGTAGAATAATATACATTTTAAGCTACATACTTCGTAAAAGGCCTATTAATTTAAAACCATTTATTATTTTATTTTTTTATTCGGAATCATGCAAATTTTTAGGATAAGATCATATTAATTTATTAAAAAAACATCCATTAAAACTAAATTTAATAAAGAATCTAAAGCAATTTTAGAGTAAAAATATATTTCTTCAAGTTTATTTTAATCAATTTTATATATTAAAGATAGACCCTTAACTTTAGAAGGTAAAAATTGAGTGGATGAGAATATTAATAATAAAATAAGCAAGCATTTAATATTATTAAGGTTTTGGATTATTTCTAAAAAGCAAATTCAATGATTTTGAATATTAAATCTTTTAGATAACTAATATTATCAAGAGATATCTCGATGATTAAATTATATAAATTTTTTTCAATCAAATATTTATTTAATTTATTTTCTAATAGGATTAAAATATCGAAAAAAACACTTTATTTTATATTTTATTACCTACTTCCCTTGACTATCATCAGCTCTAAATTAATAGGATTTTACAATGAAATTTAAAACTCCATCATGATTAGCTTTTACTAAGTTTATTTTATGATGCTAATAGATAGAATAAGGTATTTAGTACAAAAAGATATCGTTTTAAGAGTTAAATGTTTTCTAAAATCAAATGATTAAATTTGATCAAAACTTACATCGATGTTAATTTTTACTGAATATCTTTCCATTTTAAAACATTAGTTTATTAATTTAATTATGGGAAATATCAATTCATTTTACTAACTAAATAAATTCAACAGAACATTTGTAAAATACACAACGCAATTAATGAATTAATTTTTTCAGCTATAATAAAAATACTTAAAAATACTGAATATTTTATGTAAATATTACAGATAAATAAAATAATTTCAAACTATTTGTTGAGATGCTTGCTCAGCTTTCTGAATTGTATCTATCAATTTTGATTCATCAAAATTCTGGAAACTGCATTTTTAAATTATTTATCCTTTGTAAAAAAAGTTGATGGTTGGGATTCCTTCTAAACTATTATTATATTTAACTCCAGCATTATTGTGATCATCGCAATTAACTTTGGCAAACACCCATCCGTTTGATTGCTATAATTTATTCTCTATAAATTAATTAACTAGATTACAGGGAGGACACCAGTCAGCATAAAAATGAACAATAACAGGTTTGTTATTCTAAATAACTCTATCTATAAATTACTGATCTCCAGATATTTATTAAATTGGAGATATTAGACGTTGTTTTTCTTGCTATTATGCTTTTGCGTCTATTTTTTCAATAAATCTAAAATCATCTCTATCATTCTTAAAAATCGTTTTCAACTCCTCACCTTTCTTTTTATCTTCATCTTGTTTCTTAACGATATTTACCTTATTTTTTTAAATGTGATACACCCTTTCATACTCTTCTTAACTTATTTATTTAGCTTAAAACAGTTCCATTCTATTACGAAGATGTTGAATAAAAGGAAGTAAGACTATTAAATTTTTATCTTCAAGAATATAAAACTCCTCTTAATTTTCTACTTTTTTTACAAACCCAATATGAATCAGTAAATCTCCAGCTAGTGAAAATCTAAATATTTTTTCTTTTATTGTGGGGTTAGACGATTTAATTTTTCTGAATTTCATTTCAAAAGGACTCTATCCAATATTGTTAATCAGTTTTAGTAGCAATTCTAGCGACTCATTAAGTTTCTCAATTTATCCTTTGAATTCTTCTTCAAAGGTGTCAATTATTTGATCAAATTTTTTAATTTGTGGCTAGTCTATGTTTTCCATATTTAAATTTTAAAATAAATTGATATTTTGAGTGTCAATCAAAAATATTCTATACGTCTTATCAAAAACTTATTTAGTATCTAAAAATATCAAAAATATTAATATAAGAAATCAAATCTAATAAAACCAAAAAATATAATAAAAAAAATTAAATATAAAAATTTGTTTAAATAAAGAGTATCCTTTTAAATGTACACAGAATGACTAATTGTTCATAAAAAAAACATTTTAAAAATAATGAAATTTAAATATATTTATCAACAAACATTCTTTCAAATAAATTAAATGATAACTTAAACTAAATAAAATAAATTTATTTATTTATTTTAAGGATAAAAAATAAACTTTATCCTATATCATATAAATAAAATTCTAATATTACAATCTTAATTAATTACTAATTTTATTGCTATCCTCATTAAACTATACTTAATTGTCAAAATTTATTGAAGATCATATGTTGTTTATTTAATATGTTGATTTTCTTTCTAATCTTAAGGACTTGATGTTATAAATGTAGATAAAATAATTCATAAATAAACTATTTTAAAATTAATGGTTTTTTTCAATAAATATTCATGATAGGTTAGTAGAATTTGAAAAAGCAAACAAATAAATTTAACATATCTAAGGTTTAAATAATTAATTTATTTTATCATATGTCATATTGATGAAATTCCAAACTTACATTCTTCACTATTGCCAATTTTTATACCATTATTTTCAAATTATGCTTGATTATCTTAAACTATAGAACATGATATGTTGGTTATTTAAGATTTGGAGATTCTTTCTAATCTTGACTAAGTGATTTCTTCAATTTAGCAAAACTAAATTGATTTAATGTAGCAATTTTCAATTTTTTTAACTTTACAGTTTACTAAACTCTCAATATTACAATTTTTAATATAATCTATATAATAGTCCTTTAAAATTTAATAGTTTGATCCTTAACTAACCTATAATTAATTTAATTATAAACTATTCTTTTTTGGAGAATTCTAATTCATAGTTTTTCCTTTTTAATATAGCTTTTAAGCTAGATCACGATATCGACGAGGAGCGAAGTCTTTTGCACGACGTTATTTTTAATTCTTTTCTGGATCGCAATTTTCAATTGCATTTTTCATGAAACTTGGAAAAGTTTCTATGCCATTTTAAGCTCCATAAACAGCTCCAGCAATACATAAATTGGTATCTGTGTCTCCTCCGATGGATAAAATACCTTAATATAACTGTTCTACTGTTAAATTAGCTATTAATATATATAGAGAATAAGAAAACGCTATCCTAACCCATCCAATTTGTTTCTCAGCTTTATATATTGCATAGAAGTTTGGGAAACCTATTTAATTAATTCCAAATTTTTCACCTGTCCTTAATGATTGTTCTGTAATACCTTAAAATTACATTTCAATATAATTAAAAGTCTCTTTCATTTAATTGGAAAAATAATTTTCCCAAGCCAACTTTCTTGCTTCGCAATAAATTTTAAAAGATTCCTAAATAAATAATAAAGAAGAAAATCAATAAAATTATCTTTAATTCATAAAAATATTTTATGAAAAAGTTTTATTGTATAAATGTATTTATTTATTTATTACTTGTTTTCCTCTTTTTATGAGTTAGGCTAGAATGTATGTATAGATCTTGCTAACTTCTAAGCAAAACTTATTATTTTATAGAATAGAATGAAAATTAATAAAATTGTTCTAACAAGCTTTTTAAAATTTTTACTTGGTCTGAATGTGTGAATTTAGTGTCAAGCTCAGCAAACTAAAATATAACGTCTATTGGCGAATTCCATAACAATATGCCTAAAGGTTATTACTTCATTAAAAATCCATTAGATTAACTATTGACCGATGTCTTGGCTGCATTATTTTGAATAGACTGTAATAAATTTAGTTCATTATTTTGATATTTTTACAACAATTCTTTATATGTTGTAAAATTCATTGGCATCCATGAATTTTGCATAGTGCTTCCGAAGTCAAAAGGATTTGAATTCACCCAAAAGTGATATTTTTTTAATATATTTATCATGAAATCATTTGGTTCATTGGTTTTAGCTTCGAGCAATCCTTCAGCCAGCATTATTGCAAGCTCTCCGTCATCAGTTAGCTAGCCTTTTGTGAGATTAAAGATACCTCCTCCAGGAAGTTAATAAGCCTATCTTACCAACTCGTTTGTAATCTGCTATTTATTGAATTCTAAATAAGATCCCATGCTATCTCCTATAAAAGCTCCAAAAAGGCAGCCTTCAGCTCTTTTAATTTAAGCATCTTCACTTTCTTGAGATTTATTGATGGATGCTGATTTAGATATACTTGTTTATTAGTTTTAACTGATACTCATTAGATAATTCTTATTGTTATTATATAAATTTTGATCATTAGCACCTGAATAATGATTATTTTACATTTGGTCTACATAATTTTGAGGGGAAGAGTTTACTTATGATCTATATAAATTGTTATTATTTTAGATCTACTAATTGCCAGACCTAATAGGGTTTCCATTACTATTTTAATACTAATTTTAATTTCCACTATTCATCTATTAGAAACCTTTCTATTGTTGTGGATAATAAGAGTTTTGTTAAGGCTAGGGTTCTTTTTAGAAGTTTAAATTTAAGCCATAATTATTATTGATATATGATTAGGTTTATTTTTTATAATTGCTTTCTGATTAACTTATTGAGTGACTCTATTCTTAGTTTTATTAAAAATAATTCCTATTTTGTTATTTGATATTACCATTTTAATATGCTGAGGAATAGGGATTTTTATTCATGTTATATCTGCGCTGACTTTAAGTAAATTAATGAAATGATTATTTTTTTTTGTTTTCAAATACAATTTATCGTTTACTTATTTATTTGTCTTACCTATTAACTATCAAGAAATTTATTATAATTATTTAACTATATTTAATTTAAGAAAGAAAATATCAATAATTATTATAGGCTGTAAAGGGTTTATCCTATTAGAATATTGATATTGTATCTAATCTTTGTGTTTTCTTCGTTATTTAAAATTATTTATTTAAAAGATACATCCAAGATTTTATCTTTCGATGATAATTATAATTAAGTAATTATTTTAAAAGTAATAATTAATTAGAATAAATAATTAAATACAATTAATTTTCATTTATAAATACAGAACAAAACTAACAACAAAAAAAGTGCTTAAGCTTTATTAATCAATAAATAATTTTAATCTAAAATAATTATTTTTACTAAATAAATTTTTAAAAATATTAACAATTTAAAATAATAATTTTTAAACAAGAAATAAGGTAGGTTGATGGATTAGGTATTTGAGTGACCACTGAGTTTATTGAATAATTAATTAATTTGATGATTAACTAAATAACTAATTAAATGATGGAATATATTCATATAAATACCTTATAAATTAGTTAAATCTAATGATTTATATGAAATAGAAGACCTGATGCTATCATTTATATAAGAAGTAATATCGAAATTCTGTTAGGAAGAGATTTAGATTCATCAGATTTTGCTATGATAATACCAATTGCTGTTAATAGAAGAATAATACATAGTCCTACACAAATCTTAGATTTTTATGGTAAGAAATACCTTTATGAGGAGTATGAATTCCATACAATTGCAATAGTTTCTATAAAGTGAATAGCTAATAAGACTATAATCAATGCAGCTTCATCAATAAATGACTATATTAAGATAATAAATTCTGTAAGTAATAAAATAAATCCAACAAGCAAGGACAAATAACATTCAAATCTTAATTTGTTAAGTATTTGCTTTATTTTTTATACAGTACTATGAGCAATGATTTATACTGCTCCAGCATTCGGATTTCTAGCCTATATACCTCTAATTATATATACTGTAAAATTATCTTTCATAAACAAATTTAATGTATTCATCAGACTGAATTGAATCCCATCAAAATTTATACTTTAATTATCGCTATTATTTACATTTGTTTATTGATAGCCGCTACTGCTACTACTTGATACTGATTCTGAGCTTTGGCTAGTCAGCCAGCTAGTTTTTCTTCCTATTTTATTATTTTACTTTTAATCACTCTGCTTTTTACTACTTTCTATTTGTGTGAACTATGAATAATTAGAGAAACTCTAATAATCATTTTATTTTAGATTATTTGACGCCTTTTACTATTCTATATCATTCTGAAAACTACTAGGAGGTTTATAGTCTCCCCTACCTTTAATTGATTCAATATCCATTCTCTGAGAGCAAAAAATAATGAAAAAATATTTTAATTTTTTGTTTGTTTTATTTACTTATTTATTTAATGTTATTATGCGATTTGTTATTTATTGCCAATATTTTTTTTATTTTTACAATTAATTTATGCTATAAATTTTAATATTTTGTTTAGATTTATTTTTTCAAGTTTATTTTCATCGTAATTAATTAATAAAAGTAGAATCTTGTAAAATAGGTATATATATGCTTATTTTAACAACTTTTATCTCTAAATAATCATGAGTGCGAGCATAGATGTACTTTCATTTTATTTATTATATTTTTTTAAATGCAATTTACTCAGCGAATGTCAGTATATTTATCTTTATAAAATACTTTGTCTATAACAAACAACTATAATATGCATTAAGTTGGTCTGATCAGTCATTTATAAATAAATAAATAATTATATCTATTTCATTTAATATTAACAATATCAACAAATTGATTTTTTAAGTTGTATATTGAATTTTTAAGCATTTATCATTTTTATTTGAAAAAATATTTTATTTATTTGAATTATCTTGATTTAATTTCTATCTAAAATTGTTAATATTAGATTTTATGGATTTAAATTGCATAAAAATTTTAACCTACAAAATTTTATTTTTTCAAAGAAATTTATACAAATAAGTTTTATTAATTTGAAACACAATCAGGGTGTATTTTCATTTTTAAAGGTTTTGTTCATTAAAATTATTAAAAATTGTTAAAATTAGCTTTCCTCTGCTTATTGGGTGTAATCAAGGAAATATGGTAAGAGATAATAAATGATCTATACTTTTTAAAATGAATTTTAATAGCAATCAACTAAGTAAATAAATTTTAATAATTTTTTACTTTTAACAATTTATTCAAAAAAATTTAATAATCTTACTGTAAAAATTCTTTTAGAGGGTAATAATATGTGATTAAATATTAAGTTATTATTAGTTGAATTTATTTAACAATTCATTAATTTTATTTTTATGTTTTATTATACAGACATTTTGATTTGTTTAGAAAAATTTATTAAATGAACTCTAAATTTAAAAAATTATGAAGTTATATTTTTAATTTATTAAATTGTTAAGTTATATTTTTAATTTATTCTATGCATGATAAAGTGAATAATTTTTTTAGATTTATTATTGTACAATGTTTTTTATAAAAGGATAATTTTTTGATATATAAATAAATATAATAATATCGAATAAGTTTATTCTCTAATATAATAATTATGTTTATATTTAACATATTTAGATATTCTTCACATGACTTTAGGGTTTAAGCTATTTAGCTCAATTCAAAATAATAAAATGTAATGTAAAATATACTTGGTTTTCAAAGGATGATTTAATTAACTAATAACTAACTCCTTTGCCATTAAAAAAGAAAATAGATAAAAGTTATAGCTATTTCAAGATAATTTAACAAGAATGGTAGTATAATGGAAATTATTTGACAAAGAAAACTTTAATAACTTAAGAAATATACATAAGGAGTATGAGGTAATTAATAGTAATTAAGAAATGATAAACTATGATAATTAATATATTTTATTAGGATAAACTTTTCTAGAGTTTTATAATAATTAATAATAATCGTATTTTAAGGCTCAGTGAGCATTAAGCAAGCAAGTAAGCAAACAAGCTATTTATTTTTGGCTGAGAATCACAAAAATATTCAAAATAAAATTATTTAATTAAAATCTAAACTATTTAATATTATTGTTATAAATTATGATTCTATTATGGCTTTATGAAAAGAATTAATTATAAAAGAAAGATAGAAAGATAGATCGATATATGTCTGTCTGTATTTATTTATTAATGGATGGATGGATATGTGAGTAATTTATTTAATGGTTGATTTTGCGAGTTACGAGCTCAATCGATAAATTGATTAGTAATACTCTTTTTTATCAAAGGTTCTACGAAATTTTGATAAGATGTGAAAAAATAAATTTATTACTGAATTTTCAAAATCAATTTTCATTTTAAAAATTAGTTTTTTAATTTTAAATAGCCTGGGTTGTATTGTTTCTGTTCAAGTTATTGTTAGAATTATTTGTGGTAGATGCATTTGCAGGCTTTGATTTAGATCCAAAGCAAGGACATAAAATGCTTCCTATTCCTTTACCAGAACCACCTACATTTTTCTTATTTCCATTTCTATTTTATTAGTTAAGAGGCCTGTTCTTTTCAATGTAGTCTTTAATATCTGTATACCATTAAGAGATTTTATATTTGAGATTAACAGCATTTCCATCAAGTTAAAAAGTCTCACAACATAGTTCTAGGTGCTTGAGACTTGAGTCTTATACAAGATCTGCAAAAATATTGTGAATTGATTTGCAGTCTTTGATTATTTAATCAGGTAATTCGCTGATTTCGACATTGCTCTTAGGATCTGCAACTCCTGTATTGTTAGCTCCTGCAGCAGGTTAGTTTGGAACATTAGGATTCATACTACTTGCCCCGTTAGCATTTGCATTATTATTTATCTAGCCTGAAGCTTGTGAATGAACTACTGTAGGAGCATTTGCTTTTTAATTTCCAAGATCGGTAAACCTGATTTGTTTGATTATATCGCTCATTTCTATGATATTCTTAATTAAATCATCAAACAATTCAGCGAATTAATCAATGCACTTTTATTTTTCTTTTTGAGTCTTTAGAGATGCTAGGTTTTCAATAAGTCTAGTTTCTTTTATAGCTACAATTTAAGAATAAAATTTAACTTTTTTTTGCTCGAACACCATATGAGGTGGAGCGTTCTCCTCGCTCATGTAGCTGGATGGGCTTTTTTGAACTTTCTATTGTGATATCACCTTAAGCTATTGCTAAGACTAGTATCCTTGAGCCATAGCGCTATTTTGCAACTTATCTCCTTCTGCATTACTAATTATTTGCTTACTTTACATTATGCCTATAGTTTGTGTTTATATTTTTATGAATGCTCTGTAATTATATTTATTGTTAATAACTTTTTCTATAGATTTTTACTTACTACAAAGAAACGAATTTTATTAATAGCAACAAAGTAATGTACGCTTGTATTTTTATACTGCTTGCTGTAAATCAATGGATAGTTGGGTTAAATCAAAAACCTCTATACGATTTCCTTAATTTTTCTCTCTCTTGCTACAGATTTACAAAGATATTTGATGGAGTATTGTACTTAATCAAAGAAACTACTATCCTTCTATTCCTAAGAAATTCAGATATTATTTTAAATTGTAATTCAATATGGAAACTTGTTTAATTGCCAGACTGTTGCTATTTTTATGCTAAAATCTATTTCTATAAATCTTAAATAGTCCACCAGATAACTGTATTAGTTTTTGTAAAATGCAGATTGCTGAAATAAATATGATGAAGTTAAATAGTGCAATCTTGTATAAAGCAGTTTATATAATTTACCACTAAAAGCTAAAGGTATTTTTTTAATCTAAAATTTTGTTTATCTTTATCTAATTTGTTTGATTATCTTCTTCTTTATTAACTTCCAAAGTAATTATTATTCAAAAGTTAAATCAATTAATGAATGAAAACTCATTCATTTATTTGTCAAATAAATCAATAGGTCTATTAGCAAATATTATTGCTTGCTTGCTAGTTTATTTGTTTGTCTGATTAATTTATTTATTTATTTATTAAGCAATTACTAGCAATCATTAAATAAAGATAAAAAATTAATAAAATTTATATGCTTGACAAAATTTATATAAAAATTGTTTAAGCCTTAAAAGGTTTGGCAATGCTTATTTATTATCATTTCTTTTTCACCTCATGTTGCCTTTATTTTTGTATTAAAATTTTGATTTACAAAAAAAAATATCATTTATAAGCCATCCTCAAAAAAGATCAAAAAGATGATTTCTTTTATATTATATTACTTTTCTTTATTAATAAATTTAATCATTAAATTAGGTAAATTTTATTATAGATAAATTAATCAATCAATCAATCAGTCAGTCAATTAATTAATTAATTATTTATTATTTCATTCTACAATCATTTGCTTTTATTTACTTGAAACAATTTTTATACATGTTATAATTAACTTTCGTTTTTCTTTTCAAGCTAATTTTCATTAGTATATTATATTGAAGTTTTTTATTCAAATAAATTGTATCATGCTTAGCTAAAAATATGTAAATTCAATTAAATTTTTGTAAATTTTTAGGTTCGAAATGAATTTTAAAATAAAGTAATGCAATTAATATAAAATTTCCAAAAATAAAAAAACGTCATTTAAAAACATCTCTTAGCTTATTTTAATAGAATCTTTTTACAAACAAAAAGTAAAAAAAAGAAAATGAAGATAATAAAATGTATAAAACTAACTCTAGTTTGATATATTTTAGGATTTAAATGTTTTTTAGAAAAAACTTAACAATGAAATTACAAATATTTTTCTTTTACTTCAATTTTTTATTGGTATAATTCTTTTTTAAATAAGTCTCTAAATTATTTTCTGTTTTATCAATAATTTGCAGCTTGCTTTTAAAATTAAGTAAGCAAATACTTTCCTCTAAAAGCAAAAAGCACTTAATATTTTATTAAAAATAAATTATCAAACAAAGTTTGATTTGTATTTACAATTTATTTTGTAAATTTTACACAATTTATGAATTAATTTTCATTTTAGAAAAGTAAAATTTATTTTTATTTTGTTATTTTTACAAATTTATTTTGTTTTTGTTATTTTTACTTATTTATTATGATTAATAACCTAAAAATTTTTAATGTTATTTCAAAAATAGTGTTTAATTTAGTTTAAAATACAACATTCTAAAATATTGCACATGCTTTTTATTAACCAAAATGTTAATCTAAATGAAACAAAATATTTATCTCTCCTTATTCAAGTTAAGTATTTATTTTTTTCTTTTTTCAGAAATTATATTTTTTATATATGTAAGAGCATTTTAATAAAATAATGAATAAAACATTTAAAATAAAAATAAAAATATAAATTAATTAATTAACTAACCAATAATTAAATTTACTGAGTAAGATTATCAATAATCAATATCCTGATTATCTTCGACTTGATAATTAAATCTATTAAGATTTAATTAAGTATTGTAAGGTATATTTTTTGGTTGAATAGAATATTTTGGTGGAATAATTTGAAAATCTGGTTTGTAGTAGCTATGAATTTTAGGACTAATTTTCATAAATGCTACTTATTTAGCATTTTTCTTAGAGCTTCCAAAACCATATTCTTAAAATATTACTTTATTTTACTTTTAAAATGTGACAGTACACTTAAAAAAATTTAATTCCTGACTATCATAGCATTTTAGGACATCTTATAAAAAGGTTTTTTCATGTTGCTAAACAATTAGAGTTACTCCTTGTATCTCATCATTATATGAAGTTTAAAGCAATAAGTCTTAGTTTATTTAATTATGTATCGAAACTTGTTCTTCATTTTAATTTAAATTATTAATTTAAGTGCTTTCTTTAATTGATTTGAGGTACAGCATTTCTTAATCATCATCCTCAAAATAAGGTTTCTTATATTTTATATAATATAATAAGTGGGGTATAAATTTTTTTGCAGCATCATGTTAAGCATCTTTTTTTTTGGAGTGTACATCTGAGTATACTTTTTAGATCTACAAAGGCTTGCTTTCATAAAAACATCTAAATTAATTGCCATTAAATACACTAATGTCATAAGTAAATTCAAAAAAGATATATTTTTATTGTAACTAAACAAGATAAGATATGCCATCTTTAATTGACTCTGATTATTTTATAAATTCTTAAAAAGAAGCAAAGTTAGCTTTATTTGATACTTCTTTCCTTTAATTAATTATTTTTTATTAAATTTCCTAATGTGGTTGCTTTAAGTTATTAAATTAAGAGTATAATACCTATCTGCTTTAATCCAAGTTTTGATAAGAATTATTTTAATATTCTGGCAGGTTTTATCTCTATGGAATTTAATTTATTTATTGAGGAATTTCTTTTTGATAATATCCACTTAATTTTTATGTAAGTGTGTTATACTGATTTTAACTGTTATTAAGCGAAGCAGGAGGACTTTATTATGAATTATTTCTAAAGTTATTATTAAAGAAACCATCTATAGCATTTATGCTTTATTTTTAAGATTGCTGGATTTTTTATTGCTATTAATACTGCTCTTGTTGCTAAATTTGTTGTCTTTTTTAGCTTTTGAAATTTTTCTTTGAATGTATGTATGTCTCTATGCAATCAGTATCTGTCAAATAATTTAATATATTTAAGGTTACATCTTTGTAAATGTTGAACTATTAAGACATGTACTGATAAGAGATAAACTTCAGGAATTATTCTGGAGATTGCCTGCTAATTTGGAACTATTTTATTAAACTTAATATGAATTCATCTTCTTAAAATATTTTGAATTTATCTTCTTCCGTTGAACTGAATTCATCAAGCAAACCTTTAAAATCTAAAGCTTCAACAATGAGAAATTATAAGATTTTCTACCCATGACTCTTTGGAAAATAGTCAATATTTACACTTCCAGCAAAGGCCATAAATTCTTATGATAAATTAAGACTCATATCTTTTTTCTTTCCTTTTTTCTTTAATTTCTAAAGATTTTAAATTTTTTAAAATTTGATATTTTTTGTTATTTTTTATACACTTATTAAGCTTAATAATTCAATAAAATAATGACGCAAATTATTAGTATTTTTGATAATGAAAAAGATCTTTGTTAATATTTATAAATAATAAAATACTCTTTATTGGAATAAATATTTAAAAAATCAAACCTTTATATAGATTTTTTTGAAATAAATGAGATTATTTATTTAAAATATTTAAAATGAAGCAATTACAAAATATTAAATTAAATTTTTACTTCATATTAAATTAAAAACAGGCTCTTTCAAATTTAATTTTAGTTAAATTAATAATTTTTTTATATATTTTAATTTTGTTATTCTTGTTTAGGTTGTTAAAAAATATCATAATTAGGTTAATTACCATTTAATTTATTTTACATTTATTATTAAAAAGATACGTTAATATTCACGTTGAACTGATAAGGATTTGTTAAATATTGTTGCATAGCAACATTTCTAAAATTATTTACAGGCAGGCTCTCTTATTGGTAATAGTTATTGTTGTTGTTGGTGTAGCTGTTGCTATTATTTTGAGGGTAGTAATTTCTTTATTTAATTTCTCTTTAGTTGTATCTTCTTGAATCCTAGTTGTTGTTTGATGAAGAAGAGGAAGAAGATGACTTACTTAAAGAAAGATTTGGATGGTATAGATTATTTTCTATTATTTTTTATAATTATGGATGCTAGTTTTTTAATTCGTTATTAATTTTGTCAGTCTTTTTGATAGTCTAGTTTGTGTTGGTTGAAAATAATATCACTTTTTTGGGCTTACTATTTTACAACTCTTTGAATTTAATATAATCCTCAATAAGAGGTATCATTTTGGCTGATGCTATTTTCTCACATCCTTTTTTGTTATTAGCTCTGCCTCTTGTGTAAATTGAATTATCTTAAAATAAAAGGACACATTCGAATTCTTTAGAATTAATTAGAGTGCTCTTATATTGCAAGCACGAATGTGTTTTAAATTACTTCATAACTATTTCTAAAAGTAGTCCTTTTGGATTATCATTTTCTTAAACTAAATTATTATCCTCTTCGTAGTTATAAGGTTCTCTCATAATATTTGTAACTAAATCACTAAGTTTAACTTTATTTTCAGTATCATTAACGTGAACAAGACTCTAAATAGCTTTATTTTCAGCTGGATCTTTTTATGAGACTGGTAAAATACCAGCTGCTAAGTTAGGTTCTCTTATTTTTATATCTTGATGAAGTGCATTAATAAATGCTGGAGCTTTACCAGTATTTGAGCATATCAAATAATTTCCATTACCCTATTGATTGGAAGATGTGACTGTGCTTTGTGAAATTTTTTTTTTCCCCTTATTTGAATTTGATTAATTTTTCAGATTTTTGCTAGTCTTTGCTTCTAAATCCCTGAAGAGAGGACTTTTATCCATTTTTTATTTTATTTGTAAAACCATTTTTTCATTATGAATGAACATTTCATCAAGATTAGAATCTGATTCTTCATCATTGAATCCATCATTTAAAAAACTTTAGGCTTTGTATTAATTTCAAAAAAAATTAAATATATTCTGAAAGTCTGTGATAGGATTTACTAAAAAAATAAATATTTACTAAAATTTTTATTCTCTCTTTACTTTAGCATTAACAATTGTTTTTTGTACTTGATTAAATTGGAATAGGTTTCATTCAAGTCAAATATCCTCTGTTCATGGATATAAAATAGCACAAAAGGCAAACTTAACTGAAACAATCTTGCCTTTCTCTTTTTTTTATTGTTGTAAGAAATTGCACCCTCTTATGATAAGCGAAAAAGACCTAAAAATGAAAGGTCTAATATTTCGTCGTCACTGAATCCCAAAATAATATTTTCTTTTATGTGCTTGCTTACTAATTCTTACATTCTTCCGATTGGATTTTCTTCATTTTTAACTTACTCATAATAATCTAGAAGGATATTCTCGTCGCTTTCTTGGAGCTATTCAACATTTAAATGAGTCTACCGCTAAATTATTAAATTCCCATAACCTTAAACAAAAAATTTTATTATCAGCTCTAAGTTCTTTTCATCTTCTATATTATTTTATTTGCCATCATCATACACATAGCTAAGAAATTCAAAGAAATCTTTGTACTTAAAATATTTGCTCAACCCAAGTACTAAAATAAATGCACATACATTCTATTTCTACAGCATATAATTTAATCTTTCAGTGTTTAATTTATGCAATCTTTCTAAGCACTCAATACAAGCTGTCTAATAAACCTACTATCCATGCTTAAACCTATACTTAGGAATTTAATTAAGGCTCTTTTCTCTTAAAAATTCATCTCTATATTTATCCTATATTTTCATTTCTTTGATAGTGATAAATCAAATTTGAAGATTTCAGACAGGATTATTTATTAGTTTATTATATTTAATTTATTGAATGATAGAATGAATCTATATTACATCAATAAGTTGATTAAAAAATCATCAAAAAACACCCTCAAATTATATTTATTTAATTCTAAAATAATACTATTATTTTATGGTTTAGAAATTTCTTTAATTTTAAAAACTATTCTACATTTTAAATATTTAGATGTACTTTAAAAAATAAATAAAATTATTCTTTTAAAAATAAATAAAAAATTACAGAAAAAAAGTGTTTTTTAATTCTTTAAAAAAAAAAAATTACAGAAAAAAAAATTTTTTTAACTCTTTTTATATTTCTTAATGGATATTATTTGAATATGACTTATAAAATAATTCTTAAAATACTTTTCAATTTATATTTAATTTAGAATAATTAAAAAGAAAAAATATTTATTTTAAGTGTATCACACATGTTTTGGTAGGTCTAATAATTTTATCAAAACTATAGAAGAAGAAGAATAATAATAATAGATATATTTCAGGAAACAAATAAATTCCAATTACTATATACAATATATGTTTTAATTTATATTTATTTTAAATTAAAATATTTTAAAGTTAATAATAAATTTAATTTAAATATCAAAACTTGTTTTTATCTGTTTTAGCAAAAACTTAGAATTCCAAATAATTTTAGTTAGAAATAAACAAGCTATTTACAAAAATGTACATATTATATTAATTTTATAGAGAATTTGATTAAATTATACCCTTAATCACATTTCATTTCATAATTTCTAAGAAATAAATATACCTCATTTTTTTACTTTACTGGCAAAAATTAATAAGAAAGAACAAAATTTTAGATAAAATCTTGATTGATATTTTTTTAGAGATATTATAAACAAGATTAATGTTAAACAAACAAGAATTTATTTTTTTTATTCACTGAGAAATAGTTTTTACTGGGTTTGTCAATGAATATGTTATTTTGCATTTTTTTTTTGTTTTGAGTTACTCTAAAGAATTTAACTTTTGTAATATAAAATAAAATTAACTGGATTTTTACCATAAAATGCAAATCACTTTTACATTTTTAACAAACTAATTAATGGCACATTTTTTTTCATTAAAAAATAAGTATAAAATGCATAATAATAACCTTCATATAAATTTTTTATAGAAAAAAATAATAAACTAAAATAAAAAAACATTTAAATTAATTATATCTACTTTCTTTGAAAACACATTTTATAGAAATGAATCCTCTTATGAGCCCCTGTATGATTGAAAAGCAATGGCTTATTAAATCTAAAATGGGAAATATTGAAGATGACTATGATTTTGACTAAAAGAAAGATGTAATTTAGCATTATTTAACATTTTTTTATTAGCATATAAAAATCATAATTTGGTCAGTTTATTAATTACTCCCTTAAAATATATTTTTTTTATATAAATAGAATTTAGGTGAAGGATCATATGGTGTTGTATATAAAGCTACCATGAAATCAACTGGATAAATTAGGGCTGTGAAAGTTATTAATAAAAGCAGAGTAAAACATTAAGAGCGCTTAAAAAATGAAATTGAAATTATGTCAACACTGGTAATCTCATTTACTTCTACTTTTTAATTGAGAGCGCGTTAAAAATAAAAACATTTTTACTGAATAGGATCATCCTAACATTATCAGATTATATGAGACATATGAAGATCAGAAAAATATTTACTTGGTTATAGAGTAATTTTTCTATTAAACGATTAGTTAGCAAAATTATTTCCATTAAATGCAAATATTTCTTTATTCTATAGTTTTATTTCATTTATCAATATATAAATAGATACTGTGAAGGAGGAGAACTTTTTGACAGAATAGCAGAAAGAGGCTACTATACAGAGTAAGATGCTGTTGCACTATTTAGATAAATTATGAGTGCAATCAATTATTGTCACTCTCGAAAAATATGTCATAGAGACTTAAAACCTGAAAATTTCTTGTTTTGCACTAAAGATGACAACTCAATAATTAAGGTAATTTAGTAAAAATTTATGAAGTGAAGCAAGTTTTTAAATATTTATCTTGAAACTATTATTTTATTTAAAAATATTTAAAATTTTTAAAAGAGTTTTTTTCAATAAAGTTATTCTTTATGAAATTAAATTATTTTTTTCCATCAAAAAATTCAGAGAAAAAAAAACTAATCATTTTTATGAGATTTTGTTTATGAATAAATTATCTTACTATTTAATTAATTAGTTTATTTTTATTTATTTAATTGATTGATTGATGATAATTTAATTTCTTTTTATATTTTAATCAAAGGTAATTGATTTTGGTCTTTCTAAAACATATGGGCAAGTTTTAGATTCTCCTCTCAAAAAGAAGCCTTTAGAATTAACTCAAGTACAAAGCGGCGTTATGAAAACTAGAGCAGGAACAGTAAAATTATAATTTTTTATTAAAATAAATTAATTTAAATATAAAATATTTTATCTTAAACAAATTTAAAATTCATAAAAGCCATATTATATTGCTCCAGAAGTACTTGATGGTAAATATGATGAAAAATGTGATATCTGGTCAGCTGGTGTTACTTTGTATATTATTCTTTGCGGCTATCCCCCATTTTATGGAGAAACTGATAAGGAAATTCTACAAGCTGTAAAAAAAGGAGAATATGAATATGAAGGTATCTAATTAAACTTTTCTTTACATAAGTTAATTATCAAAAAAAAAAATAGGCGATGAATGGGATATTGTGAGCGATGAATGCAAAAACTTAATCAAAAAAATGCTTAGTAAGCCAGAGCTAAGATTCAGTTCAGAAATGGTTATGGCCTCCAAATGGATATAAAAGTATAGTCCTCCAATTAAAAATGATGCCAAAATTCCATTTTAGAAGATTAAATTATGGAATACTTATCCCAAGCTCAAAAAGCTAGCCCTAAGCTATATTGCTTCATAAATGAGCATGTTTTAGATATAACCCATAGCTAAACAATTTATTTTGATTGATAAAGACTTTGATGGCTGCTTGACTTTATAGGAGCTCATAAATGGAACATAAGACTCTCAAAACCCAGAAAATTAAGAAATTATTAAGCAAACATTTAAATCTTTTGTTTCATATTTACCAAATAAAATAGCATTTACAGGTAATATTTTAATTTAGAAAAAAAACTGATCAATTTTCAAATTTTTAGAAACCAAAAATTTTTTTTCTTAAAACATCCCATTTTAATTTTTAAAAATTTAAAAATGCAAAAAATATTTAAAAAATATAAAATTTCACATATTTAAATTAATCAATAATGAAATAATTAAAATAGATTTTGTAGCTCTCGTTATGGATTCCAGCATTTATTTGAAGGATAATATAATCCGCCAAGCCTTTAAAATTTTTGATAAAAATAACATTGGTAAAATATCTCCAAACCATCTTAACGAGCTCTTTTTGGGTAAAATACTGTTTTTTTTTAAAGGATTTATTAAGTTAATTTATTATTTTAAAAGATAATGCATATTACGCAAAGAAAAAAATTGATTATTGGGTTGATATGGTAAAATGCTGTGACTTCAAGAATGATGGAGTGGTAAATTATTTCATTAAATAAGCAAATCAATTTTATTTAAAAATAATTTAAATTAAATTATCTTTGAATTATAAAAAATAATTTTATTTTTTTAAATTTACAAATAAATTGTGTTTTAAAAATAGATTGATTACGAAGAATTTAGCAAAATGATCTATGAAAATAGCGAATAAATGTAAATAAGTGCTTGATATAAATTTCAAAAATAATAATTTAAAATTTATGTTTAATAGAAAATAGTCTTTATACATACAAATAATTAATAATTTACATAAATAAAAACTTATTTTATTTGTTTGTTTGTTTGTTTGATTTGACTGTTTAATTCCTAAAAATTTAAAAACCTTTAGTTTCAATTGAATTTTTTTAAAAGATTTCTTATTTATTTATTAAGTATGTTGTAATATCATAATAATAAGCAATAGAGTTGTAAAATATTTAATTAATTTATGAATATAATTGTAGATAGAGTATTATTGATTTTGTTGTTTAATAAACTTTCTTACTATAAAAAAATCTGAGTTTTAATTTCTAGCGTTATTTTACATTTATTCATTTTTATAATAGAGTTATTTATCTATCTTTTTTAACATAAAATTAAGATTATTTATTTTTTTATAAAGTAAAAATAAAAATGGCAAAAAACCAGCTACAAAAAAACTAATAGATAAAATTTATTTCAGTCTCTTTCTATGAACAAATAATTTATTTATTTATGTTTCTAATTTCATTCCAGATATTAATAATATTTACATTATTTATGTTTGCGATCTAAATAAAATATCAAATATTTACGATCTCTCTAAAATTTATTGATTAAAAATGCGCAAAAAAAAAATAATAGTTTGAGAAATGAATTAATTATTTAGTTGTATTGGATTTGCTTTGGGTATTTATTTATTTGCTTTTCTAAATATCAATTACTTTTTTTAAAAAAATGAGTTGCTGGATCAAAGTGACTATGAATCAATTTAATCATTGATTGACATTGAATCTTATCTTTTTATAAAGATAAAAGATAGGTAGAGAAAAGAAATCCAAGACAATGAATGTCATGGGATTAATAAGAATTTGACAAAAAAGATTAGTAAAAACTAATAATAATAATTAAGAAATAAGCAACAATATTCAAGTAAAAAAACAAAGAAAAAAACTATTAAGTAATAATTAGTGTAGAATAAAGGTACATAAATTAATAAGTAATAGCAAGCAAGGAATTATTAAAAATAAAATATAGTTTTGCACTAGCTTAAATGTTGAACAACTAAGTGTTAGAGAGTATTCGACATTACTATTAAAAAAATGGTGGAAGATAGGAATCTAAGAATACTTATAAATTTGATGGTTGCAATAATTAAAGAGGAGGTTAACCTGCTAAGGTCATGATTAATGATGCATCTTCTACGACTACTGACGACTCTAACTCTTTATAATCTTTAGACTAGCAGCCAATAAACGAATGCTTTTTTGATGAGGCACTTTCCTCTTAAAATACTGTATTTATATCTTCTAAAGGAGGTCCAGACACACCAACTTTTCAACCAACAAGTAGAGTAATATCCTCTTCTATTCCTTTCTGCAAATCCATTTCTTCGTTTTCTGGTCCTATATAAATAACTTCGTCTTAAGCTCAATAAAGCTTATTGGAAATATAGCAACAACAGTAGCAGTAAGTGTGCTCTTCTAATTCAATAGCAGGCTTATCTAGCTCTAAGCCGATTATTCATAAAAATATCTTTAAAATTTAAAAATCAAAAGCTTAATATGAAGATAGATTTATTCCCTCAAGGAAGCATTCTAAGCTATCTATTGCTCTTACTATGGCACATGATGAAAATATTGTGCCATAGCTATAACTAATGAATAGCCAAGATAGCAGCAATTAATAAAATGGGAATAGTAGTAATAATGGCCTAAATTATTAAGTTATATAGGCAGTAAATTAAAAAGATTTATGCAGTCAGCAAGTTAGTATTGCAGACCTCTACAAAACATAAGTTTTAGGAATAAAACCACCTGAAACGAAATTTTCTAAATATGAAGGGAAGTTTTAAAACAGAAATATTTTGGCTTTCTGCTCCCCGAAGAAGGCCAAATAATTTAGTAAAGCTAAGCTAGGTCCTAAGGATAATGAGCTTTTGAGTTAAAATGATTTAAATGGTGATATTAATTTTTTAGATAGAGTTACAAACAATTTATTTGGAAGCTAGTTTTCTGACAACTTAGAATAAAATCAATATACTGTAATAGTTGACCCAATATCTAATATGTCTAATCAGAATTATTATTCAAGATAAATTCTTTCCCACATTGACCCTCTAAACAATTTCCATTCAACTCACCCATTTAATCTGAATCCCGATATTAAAACTTATTTTACAAGAAATACAAGGAAAATTTCAAAAATCCCATTTAAAGTCTTAGATGCCCCTACTTTAAAGGATGATTTCTACTTAAATCTTATAGATTGGGGAGAAAATAATTAGATTGCAGTAGGCTTAGGTAGTTGCGTTTATTTATGGTCTGCAAGCACTTCGCGAGTTACAAAACTTTGTGATTTAAGAAACACTATCAATATAAATGGGTAAAGCACAGATGAGTCAGATAATATAACAAGTGTTTCTTGGGTAAATTTCTTTTAAATCCATTTTTTATTTAATTTATTCACAAAAGTAAAAGCAAATTGTATCATTAATTTCTTCAAGGATTCAATAATTTATTAATTGCTTACACTTACATAAGGGCATTCCTATTAATAAATAATTAAAAACAAAATTAAAATATTTCAATTTAAATGTATTAAAACCACATTTTTAGAATTAATTTATGAATTTTGGATTATCTTAATTATGTTTTGAAGCAACAAATTTTTTATAGAAATTAAATTTTTTTTCTATTTAAATACAAATGAAATTTATAACATGAATTAGTATTAAATCATACAAATTCAGATCATATAAATTGTCTATTTTAAATCAAAATAATCTTTATTTTATGATTAAATAAGATGTTTACTATAAAAATATTCTATTAAATAATTAGTCAAGCCAAGGGACTTATCTATCTATAGGCACAAATTCAGGAAGTGTCTCTGTTTGGGATATAGTTGCTTTAAAAAAAGTAAAAGAATATAACTAACATAGATAGAGAGTGGGTGCTTTATCATGGAATAAGAACTTGCTAGTGAGTGGTAGTAGAGACAAAAAAATATTAATTAGAGACGTTCGTCTATACTAACCTGTTGTACACAAATTATTAGGGCATAAATAAGAAGTAATACTTTTATTTAAAAGAATTTTATGCTTAATTTTATTACTATTTAAAGATATGCGGACTCAAATGGAGTTATGATCATTAAATGCTTGCCTCTGGTGGTAACGATAATAATCTTTTCGTTTGGAATATGCACTCTTCTTCTCCTATCATTAAATTATAGAGTCATACTGCAGCTGTAAAAGCTTTATCTTGGTCACCTCACTAGCATGGTTTATTAATATCTGGAGGAGGTAATAAATGATTATTTAATTTAAGAGTTTAGATATTTTTTTAATACACTGGCATTATTTATTTTATAAATTGAATTTTATACAAATTTAAAGGGTCACTTGATAGAACAATTAGAATATGGAATACTATCACAAGAGAATAAATTAAATGCATAGATACAGGTAGCCAAGTATGTAATCTTTAATTCTGTAAGAATAGAAATGAGTTTGTTTCTACTCATGGGTATTCAGAAAATCAAATTATTATATGGAACTACCCTGATTTAGATAAATTAGCTGTTTTGACAGGCCATACTTAAAGAGTGTTACATTTAGCGATGAGTCCTGATGGAGACACAATAGCATCTGGTGCTGGAGATGAAACATTGCGTTTTTGGAATATAAATGATAGCCAGTCAAAAGAACATGAGATATAAAATTCCATAAATAAAAGTTAACTTTTGCCATAGAAGAATTATTTACGTTGACAATATTAGACTATTGAAGAACTATGTTTTTGAAGAAAAATCGATAAATAAAATTAATAGAGACATGTATTTAGAATATAGTAATAGCTAAAATAAAAAATAGTGCTTCAACTAAAACTAAAACTAAATTAACTTACAGTAAATTCCTTAAAATAACTTTAATCCAAACTTATGTTTAAAAACAAGCAAATAAGAGTAAAAAACATTTTAATAAGAAAATATTTAGACTTAATAATAAAAAATAAAAAATTGATGCATAAAAACACTATAATAAAAAAATTGTAAAATATGAAAAAAATTTTAATAATAATAAATAAATAAATTATTGATATTTATGAAAAACATTTTAAACTTTATTAAAGATAGTATAAATTTATAAAAAATACTTTTAAAACCTTCCACTAATTTATTCTAACACAGCTTATAATGCACAAGCAATGTAAATTTCATATAAATAAATGTGTTTATTTATATTATATATTAAAAAAAGATATCTATATATATCTCTCTTGTTGTAATTTTAAAAAAATTTATCATTCAGAAATTTATTCAGTGCTGTTTTATTTGTTTATTTATTTATTTATTTATTTATTTATTTATTTATTTATTTATTTATTTATTTATTTATTTATTTATTTATTTATTCATTCATTCATTCATTCATTCATTTTTTAATTGCTTTTAAGATGAATATATCCTTTTTTGGTGATTTATTTCCAACAAGAATACTTTAAAAATTAAATTTTCTTTGAAATTTTAAAAGAAATCGGTCTTGACCTTACATTAATTACATAGATATAAAGAATTAAAATTGGCATACTACCATCTTAAATTAATTGATAATCATTATATATAGGCTAATTCTATTTTAATTCTAATTATCTAGTTATTTATTAGAACTACCATACAAAGAAAAAACAATTCATTTAAATGCTTTTTTCATTTTTTATCACTTTTTTACAACTATCTCAGAGAATTTGAAAATATCCCAATAAAAGAAGTCATTGACATCAGTATTAAACAGCTTTTTAGCAAAGAAATTTAAAATCATTTTACTTAATCTATAATATGCATAACTAAATATGGCTCTTTTTAAAATTATTCTGGATTTAAACAATGCATTGTTCAATTCATTCGACAGATTCCTATCTTAATAGTCATTATCATAATCTTAGTCTAAATCAGATGCAGATATCAATTCTTAAGTTTCATCTAAAGGCTAATTAGCGTTTTCTTCTTATTAACTTTAATTATTCATAGGCATCATCTTTTTTATATTTATTAGTATTGCTTTTAAGACTTATATAAAAAAATTATCAAAAAGCTAAACCTAAAAATTTTATTGATTTTGAGAAATATTAAGAAAAGTCAAGAAAATATCTAACTAAATTTTTAAATGTTAATAGCAATATATGAGAGAGAATATTAATTAATATTATAATAGTAATTATATTTTTTAACTATATATGGATGGATACACAAACAAAATATATATTTTAATAGTAAGTATTATATAAAATTAATAAATTAATAAATAAATTGAATTTGATAAATTTGATAACTACTTCAAGTAAATTATTATTAAAGATCTTATTATTTATAGTAAAGATTATTTATTTTGTAATTATGGAGTGTAAACTTTAATCATAATCTCCATAATTAAGTTTATTATTCATAAATATATTCAGTGTAAAGTTTCACACTATGTGATTAGTTATTAAAAAAATTGAAAGAAGGGATTCTATTCCTAAAATACCTAAGACTTCTTTACCCTTTCCAAATTATTTAAGTAATATTCCATTTCCCAAAAGTAGCAAAACCCATTTTAATATTTGAATATACTTTTATCTTTGATATAAGTTGCTACCTTATTCTTCTTCTTCTTTTAATTTTGAGATCCTATTTATATAAAATAAAAGAATTAATTTTTTTGAATTCAATTTCATCCTTAATGAATTAAAATTTATATCTAAATTTATTATTTTCTTTTGTTTTAACTTTGAAAATGAAAATTTTACTTTTATTAGAACAACTATGCAAATAAAATATTATTTTGCATCAAATTTGGAAAGTTTTTATGTATATTCAGCAAGATTTAATGTATTATTTTTATAGGAGAGTGGTAAAAAAATATGCGAATGAATAACCCAATTAATCCTAGCATTTTTTAAGGCAACTTACAGCCTAGATTTACTGTATTTGGCTAGGATAGAATAGAAGTGAATGAAATTCCTTTCAAAAATGAAAAGAAACCTAGTTTGTAATAGATAGCAAAAACTGGCGAAAGTAGGAGAGAGATTTTTATTGTTTGTAAGACTGAGCATTTTACGCTTTGATGTCTGAAATTAATAGTTTATCCGCAATCCCAGCAAAAGTGGTGATAGCATTTTTCACACCTCATTTACTTGCAGCCTCCGTTTCTGCTTATTGATATTCCACATTTTGTGCAAGATTTGCTGAAAATCAACTTATAGATTAATGTCTTTAGCTCTTCGTACTTATCTATTACAATTTTTCTAACCTATTCACCTTTATCTTAGCTACCAGGCTAGGAGTTTTAGGACTAAAATATAGAGATGCAATTGAATATTTATTCTATTAAATGTTTTTAGGAAGGTAATTTCCATGTGTACAAGCATACATCACATTATAAATTCTACCTGCAAGTTTATTCTGAGTTGATAAATCCTATATTTTTACAAAAAGCATTTGGACAGTTTGTAATACTATTAGTTTCTCTACAATAGTTTTTAAATAGCTCGTTGCTAGTCTTAGGTAGCTTGTTTATATCTACCTTAGACAAAAAAGATTCTAAATCAAAGAGCTTTTTGCAAGTAGAAAAAGGACATTTCATAAAAATAAATTCTCTCTAAGAATTGGTAGATTTTAGGCTGAGTTAAGATGAAATCCAGCTATCTAAGCAGTCATCACATATCTCATTCTAATCTTGGCAAACTTTAACAAATTATCTTTAATGAGATAATTCTATCATACAAATATGACATGATGGTATCAAAGCAGAGCTAGAGTCTCCTTAAATCATCTTTTAACAGTAAAATCTATTTTTGTTTTTTACAATTTTTTTGTAGAATAATTAATAAGATATATTTATAAAGAATGGAAAGTTAATGTGAAGATTTCTTTTTGTAAAAGAATAAATAATGCTTATTAAAAACCATGATATTTATCAATTATACGATGCAATTAATACCTTATTAAATTAATTATAATATTAACCACCAAGTAAAAGAAAATGTAAATTAATACCTTAATTAATAATCTTTAACATTTATTCAATCAAATAAACAATTAAAAAATTTCGATTATTTAATATATATATCAAAAAAACACAGCCAATCATGACGCAACTTTTATCAAGATATTTCTTTTACTAAACGTAATTACATGATGAAAGAATTTTATTTAATATTAACTACCAACGTTAAACATTTACCATTCTCCTCATCAAGTATTTGAATACACACTTTTAGTCTGCTATAAAACAAAATATTTAAAAATTCAATTCTTTATTATTTTATTTGAGTAAAGACGTCACTAAGCTATTACATCATTGTTACGTATTCACTTTTTAAAAAAAAATCGGAACAGTCAATATAAATCTTCTAAGTAATTTACCTTTTCAAAGGTGAATAGTAAATTAAAGATGTTTGTCCTTCAACAATAAAATTTAATTGAAAATATTTTTTTGTATATTTTATTTTAATAGTAAAAAGTCAATTCATACTAATTAGTTAACTTTTTAGATATGATTTTAGTAAAAAATCAGTTTGAATCATTTTTTAAGCAATTTTAAAAATAATTTTCTTTATTTATTAGATTAATTTTAAAATTTAAAAACAAAAAATTTTTAATTAATCAGCCAGTTTTAATTATTAATAAAGTATTTAAGATATTTTTTATCATTATTTTTTACAACTAATTAATTTTGAATAAAAAGTAAAATAATTTAAAACACTAATTAAACGCTACAATAAAACAAGCTTTTATATAAAGTATTATAAAAATAAACATATTTAAAAGTATTTATAATATTAATTAACAAAAAAATATATTATCATCTTTTTGGTTTTTAATTTGCTTTTTATTTAGTTCATAATTTTTCCAATTTTATGGAGTTAAAGAAGGTGAAAGAATACTTATCGAATAAAGCAATCCCTTTATCCTTGGCAAATTAAGGATCTTCAGAGGCTTTATATGTTTTATAACCCTCGTTAGTTATTATTAAATCAACTATAATTACCTCAAAATAGTCTAATTCTAAATTAAATTCAAAATATCCTACTTTATTTGTTAGTAATTCCATTTTAGCAATAGACATGGGATAAAAATAACTAGCTTAAACCTGTTTTTATTTTAAAATAAATTATTTATGATTTGAATTCAAAATTTATCTTACTTAAGCACCTTTTATGCTACTTAAGGTAGTTTTATCTATAACTGAGCCATTTATTAAAGATTTTATTTTTGATTTTTATTCTAAAATTTTATTTGTAAAATCAAATGTAATCTAGCTGGAATGAAGAAAATCTTAAGTAAGTTAAAAGTAAAATGTCCTTATAAGTTAATTAGATATATTTATATATAATCCTACAGATATTGTTTGGCTATTAAATTCAATAAAATCCTTTTGTTGAATAACTTGTGTTAGCTCAAACTATCCATTATCTCCTGTTTTGATTGATTTTATAGGATTTTAGTTATCTTCATACATAACTAGCTTAACAGTTTCTTAAGCAATAGGTAATTCATACATGCTTATAAAATTTCCTTTAAAAATAATTTCGGTTTGTTGCTAACCTTGCTTCACTTATTTATTTATTGTATTTTCTTTTTTTTTAAAGAAAAATGAAATAATTACAAAAATTGATAATTATTATTTATCATACTCTTAAAAAATGTGACATCCTGGCTGCTATCAAACTAATTAAAAAACAAACTTGAGTTTTAAATTTATAATAAAGCACATAGCAATATCATCACAATAAAAGTTAAGACTATGGACTTTAAATACTTGCCATCAGTTTTCATGAAGTGTTTAAAATTAATAAATAAATAATGTACTATGATTTTATTAAATATTTAGTTTATTTTGTATCCGCTTCATCAATTGTATTAATTTATTTAAAAATTTAAAAATTAATCAATGAATTTAACGATAAAAAGCTTAATCAATATTTTTAGTCCTATTTTTTAAATTTTAGAGTAAGTATTCCATTTATATGGAATATGTAAAAGTTAAAAAATGGCCAAATATAATTCTATCAATTAAATAATTACAAAATCATTGCATAGTGTTGAAATTAAATAAAGGAAAATTTAATTGTTAAATTAGGAAATCAAAATAAAAATAATAAACCTGAAATAAAAATAAATAATTTTAAACTGTTAAGCAAGTAAAAATAAATTAATATTTAGAATTTAAAAATGCATATTTTTATTTTAAAAGATTAAAAATTAATTTTTAATTCATTTAAATTAATAGGAGTGAAGTTGAATTGTAGGACTGTTTTAAGTCTATGTAAATGATGGGTTTTCATCAATTTTGTAAATAAAATTATTCTTTCTAAATTTTCATTTAAAATATTAAATAATAATTCAAATAAAAAATTACAGAGCAAAAGTATAAAAATCCAAGTGGACTTTTTCATAAACTCATTTACTCCTCATATACTCTAATTAGAATTTAGAAAAGGTTTATAAAAAATCTAAACATATAATTTAAAACTAGAATTCAGATTCCATAAGAATTGATATCTGTAATTAAAATAACAATACGATAATATATTAAAATATTCATTTAAATATTTTTAAAATAAAAAGACTTTTAATTTGTATGTAAATGTGATAAAACTAATAAATTTTTTATAAGAGAAATTAAATAATTATCATGTGAAGCAATTATTTATAATTTTTAAATGATTAGGCATAAATAAATTTGAATAGCATTTATTAAAATTGTAAAGTTCTTATTTAGCAATTATTTTTTAGATTCTCTATTTATATTTTAGAAGAATAATCTATTTCCAGCAAACAATCTATTCTAAATTACAAAAAATTCTAATTTCTTTTTATATTGAATTAATGTCATTCCTGTTAATTTTAAATAAATATACTTCTATAAAAGTAAAATATTTGTGATTGCTTACAATTTACATGCTCTAGAATGATATGATATAAAAATTATACAAATGAATTCTTTTAATATTTAAATTTAAAATATTGAAATAATTTTAGATTGATTTTTGGAATAATTTAAGAATCTAAAAGTAAAATCAAAATAATTAAATTTTATTTTAATTTACATTTACAAATAAAAAAAATAAAATAAGTTTCTACAATTAACTCATTTAATTTTTTTATTTATTTTATTTTAAAATTATTTCAATTAATAATTTTTTTTCATGTATAAAACGAATTGTCTATAAAAACTTTAAATGAATATAAGATAAAAATCTTGCTAACTATTTTGATTCTGTAGCTTGGTTATATATTATTAATAACTTAGGTATTTTTATGCTAATAAGTAGTGTTATGTTATTACTAATTAATTAATTTATCAAAAAATTGAAAAGGATTAAATACTTTTTTTTAGAAGGTTGAAGATTTAAAGTAACTTACCCTGTAATAAAGTCTAGTAGATACATAGATAGATATAGTTAGTTATCTAAGAATATTAAGTTCAGAATATTTTAAAAATAAAAAGAAGAAGAAATTTATATTTTAAATAAGTGCAAGGAGTCTTGATTAGGATATAAAAACATCATATTATTTAGCCATAAATTAAGAACTTAATCTAAGATGAATAACTAAAAAGATCATGATATTGTTATTAAAGATGAAGGTTTATTTTACTGCTTTTAATTCAAATCGAATTCTTTTTAGAAATTAAAAGATTTTCTAGGTAAATTATTATTTTAATCCAGTTTTGCATTTTTAGTTTTAATTAGCCTCTAATTATTTTATTGTTGAATAAATAGAATCCAAAAAAATTAAAAGAGCAGCAAGTGACGGTTTGCAAGTTCTATATCACCCTAAAATAAATAACTTTACAATTCAATATCTAGAAGATAGCGATTAGGTTATCGTGTGGTAACAAATTCATTTAAATTTTATGCATTTTGCCTGTTTTTTTAATTCTAATAATTCTTTGAATTTATATAAAAGGAGAAAAAAGCACAAGGATTTGAATCCTTACAAATTTGCATATCATTTATGGACTAAAATATCAAAACAGCTGAAGCTTTACAACAAACATGATTGTACATCTTAAATTTTTATTTTTAAATTTAATGAAATTAGAATAAGCAAGTTTCTCGAAATTTTTATAAACTCTTTATTTATGGAATTTTGCTTTACAAAATGAATACGAAAAAAAATATCTTTATTACTAAATAAGATAATAAATTCTAATCTATTTTAATATTTTTTAGTCCAAAACGAAAATGTGAGCGAAATAACAGCATGTCCTTTCTTTTTGTAGTTTAAGTATCACTTTAAGGATCTCAAAAAAGACTTCTACTTCTATATTTCTTTTATTGCTTTTTGCAACTAAATAGAAGATGATGCAAATTATAGTCCTATAGGATTTGCAGAAAACAAGGCTAATTTATTATAATAAAATTATGAAATTAATATCAATTTAATAAACGGATGTTGGGATTTTAAAGATGTCTTAGATGTAATTAAATTTTTTATTAAGTATAAAAACTAAATATCATATAATTACAAAGGGAATAGCTAAAGAATTTACAGTTTCTTATGTTCTGTTTTAGCTCTAGAGAGGTTAAATATCCGAAAGGAACCTAAAATATAGAATTTTTCTTGATTTAGTAAAATTATTTAGATTTAAAAGCATTCTAATTAACTTCCATGATTTTTAATAATAGTATAATAAGTTTTTGAATATCGTACCTTACTAAACTTCAATAAACTTGTTTGCTTCAAGAGAGCTTTCTTAGGGTCTTGTAAATAAGAATAAATAGCAGTATTAATCTGAAATACTATCACAAATACAATTATCTTTTCCATCTGAAAGTGGAATAGTATTCATTTTATATTAATCCAAAAAATAAAATCAACTAAATATATTTTTTTTAAAAAAAGTTGGAAAAAAACTAAGTTATTATAAACCAAAGCAAGCTCTCAAGTTATATTCATCCTATAAAATATCAATCTAATTCAATGAAAACTAAAGTAAACTGGAATACTTTTAACATTTTTAGGGCTTTTTTCTCAAATTTGATTAATGTAAGTCTTATTGAACCCAAGAAATATGCTGTCTTCACTTTTCCATCTTATCAAGAAATTGAAAATTTTTTGATTTCTTGTATGAGTTATGTATATGTAAATATGATAGTGCAGATATTTTCAATTTGCATTCCTTCGAACATCATAAAAGACTACAATGATAGTACTCTCTCTTTTAATATAAAGTTAGACACAGATGTGCTCTAAAATAACTTAGAAAATTTTAAAAATATTGTTGATATGTAAAAATTATATGAGCAAATAACAATCTCTTTATAACATTACTTTTTTGAATAAAATACTCCATACGAGCTCTCTATTTTATACATCAGTAATTAGATTTTAAGCTTAAACTCAAAATTTTATGAACATTTCTTTATAACAAATAGAAATTGATTCAAAAAATGAGACTAAAATATTTGAAAATGAACTTATGTTTTACCTACCTGAAGTTCCAAGTGATAAGCAAACAAAATACATTGTAAATTTGCTTGTGTTTGTTTAAATTTTTGATCATCTTAGAAAGAATGTGAAAGATAACTTCCAAGCCCTTTACAAAGAAGTAAAATTATTTCAAAAAAAATTAATTCATAATATATTTGTAAAAAATAAAGCTGAATACATAAAAATAAGATTTTTTCTTCGACTATAGCACATTAAGTTTTGAAAAAGATACTAGTACTTCTCCAAGTACTTTGATGATAAATCGTCTTGAGGTATATATAAAATTTAAAATACAGTTTATAATTATTGTTATAATAAAAAAAAATAGTTTAAATAAATTCATAGCTATATGAACCGTGATAGATTTACTACCAATTAAATCAGTATTGGATTAATTAAATAAGATAAATTTTCAACAAATATGTAAGAGATAGACCTTGCAGCTGAATTTGATCCTATAAAAATAAAAGAATTCGTTGCAAATAATATAATATCATTTGCTGAAAAAAATTTTATGGAATGAAAACTATATATTTATTTAATTTATTTATTGTTAAGATCTTAACCTCCTAATAAAAATCAAATTGCCTCTTATCATAGCAATTAAATTTTTTAAGAATGCATAAAATAATTTTTAATCTATTAATTATTCATTTATCTTTAGCAAAAAATAATTTGAGCTATTAAAAATAAAAGAAAATTTGATTATTCACAAAATAAAAGGAAATATTTTTTCAATGTATTCATTCATAATATGATATCAACATTTTTATTTGATCTTTAAATTTTACTGATAAACAGTAATGATTTAGTGATACAAAAGATAGCTTAATTGCGTCTACTTGTAAAAAATTTAATTATAGACACTATAAAGATGAATTAATATGGTTAATAATATTTTTAATTATATATAGATTTTACAAAATATTATTTAAACTTACTTACTTTTAGTCATAATTTTAAAAGTATTTTAATGAAGCACAAAAAAAGATATATTCTAATATTATTGATTTATTTGTTTTAATTGATTAATTATTTCTAAGCGCTTTTCATCAGTAAAAATATTTGCCTTGTTAAATATTCTAATGTTTGATCATATAAATCATAAATATATTAAGAGTTTAAATGAATTATTAAAAAATACATTAAATTACAAATAATATATAGATGGGGAAGTTCTATAAGCAATTTAAATTAGAATCATTCATTTTTTCTTTTAATATGTAAAAATATTAAAAAAAGAACTTCGCTAATAAATTTCTTTGAAGATACTTAAAATTTGCTAGATGATCGAAGAAAAGTTTTAGAAATAGAAGGGGGCAGGCAGACAATTAGGTTAAAAAAATTAAATATCAAAAGAATTTAATTAAAATTTAAAATCTTACAAAAAGAAAGGAAGAAAGAAGAAGCATTTTGCTCAAAGCAAAATAACAGACAGCAGCCAGCCGCCATCGCTTTAGTCAACAAGAAGGGTCATAAGAAAAATGATTGCTTGCTTATCAAACGAGAAAAACGAATTATCATCTTCAACTATCGAAGATTCCATAGTAAATTAAAGTCTTAAATAATTTGAAGACAAGAAAAACTCCAATGAGTCAGCTCCCAAAACCTCTTAAAATTCTCCAAAATTAGTAGCTTAGGTTTAACAAAAGCATTAAGAAAAAAGGACTTTCCCTTACTTTAGATACGATGATACAAAACGTTTAAACTCACTTAAAAATATTATTAATTAAGCGTAAAAAGGCAAGCCAATTCGTCTTTACTTAGAAAATGTACCTAACTTTGCAAACGAATTTGATTTCGAAGAGCGTTGTCGCGGCTTACTCAATGTGGTTTGGAATCACAAAAAATAGAATTCATGCTTCATTCTGATGGAAAATAAAGATTATGCCCTCGATGTTTTAGATTTAGAAAAGGAACTTCCTCCATATTGCAAGGAAGGTAGAATTTTTGTAACCCGCGTTGAAGAAAATTCAATTCTATATGCTAAAAAACCAAATCCTAAGAGATTCGAAACATATTATAACTTAAGTGATGACACTGGATTTTTTATTGTTGAGAATGATAAGATGAAATACTTTTGGTATGATTAAAATGGAGGCTTTTATGATGAATACGGTATTTACTATAATTAAAAAGGCAGACCCTCTCCTCCTCCCTATTTGTAATCTAAGGCTGGCCGTTCCAAAAAAAACAACAATAGAGGAAACTATGAAAAAAATAATAAAAACCAAAATTATGAGCAAAAAGGTAACTCTCCAGCACTAAACGGTTTGAAGCAATAATCATTAAATTAAGTAGAATATATAAAGAAATCAGATTTAGAAAGCATTGAAGCAAAAGCCAGAAACAAAGATTTAGATTTCTCTTCAAATAATTCTAATAAATATAATAAGATTGGAAACAACGAAAACTCTTTGACTTTACAGTAATCGGCTAGTGAAAGTAAATTGTACCCAAATTATAACAATTAGAATAGACCAAAGTCTAACTCTGGAGGTTCATTTAACAATAAAGGAAAAAAACAAGGAAGTTTTAACTAAAATAATTCTAACTACAATAACCAAAGGAATGCACAAAGAAATAAATCTGATACTCAATTCAAAAACAATGAGAATGAAAAATGGGGAAATAGTAACTACTTTAACGGTATGGAAAAGAGTGATTCTGCAAATAACTTGCCCTAAAAATAAAACAACTTCTTCGTTAACAATAACAACAACAATAATAATTAAGGAGGATTTAAAAACAGACAGAAATCAAACTCTCAACAATCCCCTTAATGATGGAAAGCTTCTAAATTAAAAAAAAATATTAAGTTTATGTTTGTTATAATTTATATAAAACCTTCTACTTTATATTATTAATTTAATTATTTCTAATTTATTAAACTATCAAATTAGATTCATTCTCAATTATTTATTTATTAATTTACTTTACTCATAATTAATTACTTTTTATTCAAAAATATTAAACAAACACCTCATCAATCAAATTAAATCAAAAATCAACTCTCAACAAATAAATTGTAAATTTTAATCTATTTATGCAAACAAAAAAAATAAATTTATGTTTTGAAAAAATGTTTACTTATTTGAATAATTTTTTTTGATGAAATTAATTAGCATATTTGTAGCAGAAATAGATTTTCTTTTGCCATTTGGATTTATTTATGTTATTCATTTTTTATAATTATTATGATTGATTGTGTTTTATTTTTAATTTTTAGTCTTTGCTTGTCTAAAGAGGATTTTGATTCACAGATTTTACTTTAAAAGTATTGTGTAGGATGATAAATTATTTTTGTAATTTTAGGCATTTATTATAAAAAAATGCTAGCTAATGTTGCAAAAAGCTCTAATATTTTAAGGTTTAAACTTTTTACTATTCTTAACAATTCTATTTCTCTATAAATAATGATAGTAATAAAGATATAGATTTGGAAATTAATCAAGTTAAAAATGTATAATCTCCTCAATCAAAACCTCAAAAAAAAGAAAGGATAAAACCTTAAATTGATGAAAAAGATTTAGAATGGAAGTTTGTTAAGGGATCTGGGCCTGGAGGATAGTCAGTAAATAAAACAAGTAATAATGCTGTTTTGATTCATAAACCGACTGGTATTCAAGTTCGTTCTCATGCAAGTAGGGAATTGGATAAGAATAAATAATATTGCATGAAATAGCTGTCAGAAAAATTAGATGTTCTAATAAATGGAGAAAATAGTAAAAAAATGAAAAAAGAAGAAAAAAAGAAAAAGTAGCAGGATAGAAGAAAGAGGAAAAGTGCAGAAAAGTATGGAAATAAATAGAAAAATGATGAATCTATCAAAAGTGAAGATAATCAAAATACATAGAATTGATAGTTTATTTTTGATTAAAATTCAAGCAAATCTTAGAGGTAGACCAAAAATTAATATTTCAGAAAGGTTTTTAAAATAGGTGGATAGCAATTAAAATTTATTTGATAAGATAATTGAAAATAATCAGAAGAAAAATTGACAAGAAATTTTAAAACATTTTTATTATATCTTTTTATATTAGTAAATTTAATCATCCAATCAAACTTAAAGCATAAAATGAAATAATTATAAAGTAAATAAATAAATAATTTTATATTTATTCAATTTACCGCCTGAAATAGACAGTCAGTCAGTCAGTCTTCATTCAGAATGAATAAATGCTCAATAAACCTAAATTTGAGAAATATTTGTTTGTTTTTAGTGGTTTTTCCAGTTTATGTATTTTAATTTTATTATTTTGATTATTTATTTTTAGAGGGAAAAGTATTTTTGAATTGAGTGGATAGCAAATAACATTTATTAACTCTTTGATTTTTCATTGTCCAAAATGTTTAAAGTATTCATTTTTTATTTATATAATGAATTAAGAGCATTGATATCTCTTATATTTAAATTATTTAGTAAGTTTTTTTAAATTCTTTTTAGTTTTGATTAAAATTTATTTTCAATTGAAATTTGTCTTTTTTTGAGGATTTACATGCCAAAAATCTAACATCTTCCAGTATAAGTTGAATATTTATTTATTTATTTCTTGATTTATTAATTGAATGATAATCAATTTCACTAATTAATTTTTTCTAATAAAGATTTAAAACAAATATCAATCAATATTTAAATAGTGAATAATAAAAGAAAGTTAAGTCGAAATTTTTGTAATCTAGCAATTGACTATTTTGTTGAGGTTTTTATTAAAGGATTAATTTACGTTTCTACTATTTATCTAATAAATAATACCTTATTTTATTCTCGTATTTAAAGTAGTTGCCTTTTCTATTTTTATATTTGAAATTAATACAGTAGAGAAGGTTTCTAATTTGAAGTGGTAATGAATGAAGACGCAATAATAATTTATTTATTTATATATTTTGTTAATTTTTGAAATTTGACTCTGTGATTTAATAGGGTAATTACTTGATTAAAACATCTTTCTTATAATATTTATATTAAAAACTAATTAAAAAAAGTCTTATTTTCTTTGTGTTTAATCAAAGATTAATAATTTAATTTACAAAAGTTAACTTCTTTAATCCTTTTATTATCTTTCTCTCAAATCTACAAAGATTAACTCTTTAAAGCTAATCTGACCTAAATTACAGAAGTATTAACTAACAAAGCATTTTAAATTACTCAATTATACGAGCCTCGAGTATTAAAAATACTATGAAAACATAATCTACAAGCTCTACTTTACCTCAATCAAATAAGGATTCATTCTCTCCAATGTTCAAGTAAATTCCAGTCCCTCAGCAATCAGTCCTTAAACAGAAATGTATATATTTTTATTAACTTTATTATTCATTTTACCAAAAGATTAACAACTTAAAAATACAATTTTTAAAATAATAATAGCTGATTCTCAGTATGGAAATCGCAATAAATAATCAATACGCGGAAACCTCCATTATCGCATGAACTTTCAAGAAAATGTAAAAGTTTATTTTTAATTTATCTACTTCAAAAAAATTTATTTAAATCTTTCTTTGTTTGATATGCACTTAAATATTTATATAAATCTCACGTTAATTTAAACATAAAATAGAGTATGCAGTATACATATTTTAAGGTGTACTTCAAAGACAGTATGAAAAAGAAATATGCAATTGATATTGAAAATGATTATGATTATCCATAAACATGCGATTTTGTGGAAAGAGTAGTGAGATAACTCAATGAATAATACGATTTAAACCTCCCCTTTTGCGCTTCCAATTATTGCCTTTATTTTGCAAAAAAGAATGGATCAAGAAATTCAAGTTATCCTGGTAAACTATCAACTTTTATTTACTTTTACTCATTCCTAAAGAATAATGCCGAATATTAAAAGTTATACTGCATTTTTAGAAATTGGATTAAATTTGTTTTTATTTAAAATGTTTGAATCGCATTCATTTTTAAAGATAACTAACTACTAATTGACTAATTGGAAATTAAAAGCAATACTTCCTGCTTTTTAAAATAAAATTTTGATTTCCTAAAATATAATATTGATGTAAATCTTATTGATTGAATTAAAAAGAATTCAAATTTATAAAAATAAATTTCAAATTAAAAATACATGTATAACTTTTTGATTACTTCTTTTCCTAATCTTTATTTGCGAATCTCCCAAATCGATTTATTTATTAAATGTTTCAAATCTTAATTCATAAATAAATATTTCTTTATAAAGCAAACACTTATTTAATATTTTTCTTTAATATTAATAGAAATAGATATGTATAACACAAATATTCAAACAGCACTTAAGTACCATGATAAGAACCTATTCAGATTGAAGTTTAAAATTTCTGATTCCCAAAAGAACTCATTTATGAAAGAGAGTTCTATAATGATTTCTTAGGCTGAAAATCAAGATTTGAATCTGTCTGATAGCAAAATGATATATTCTTAAAATGGAAAAAACTTAGACAGGTCTGTTCTAACAAATATAACAAATAATGCTTAGTAAAATGAAAAAGCTGAAAATAAATTAAATTAAAAATATAATATCAAGGAATAAAAATTTTAAGAGTCAAATTAAACTGGGTTGTTCGGCTGCTTTAGACTCTGCTGAGGAATAAATATATTTGATAATAAAAAAATTTCTATCTAATCATAATTAAATGAGAAAGGGTCTTTTACCTTCTTGTTAAAATTAAAAACTACTCAAAATTGCTTAGCCTTTTCAAATTTAAAAAATAAATTACTAAATTTTTACTTAGTTAAAATAACTATTATATAAAAAACAATAACTTTTTTAAAAAAGGATGAATGAGTATTTAATAACCAAGATATCAAATAAAATTATAATCAAATTAATCTATATTAATATTTAACTCTCTCATATTTTAAGTGTTCTTTATACTTATCTTTCTTTATATAATACATCTTACTTCTTTCTTGTTAAATACATCATTTGTTTATTTCTCTTGAGCTTAACATTTATTTAAAGTAAGTGCTTTATCAAATAGCTTCACTTAAAAATTAATAAAATTACATATCATTCAATATTTAAATTATCACCCTTTTAATAAATATACCAATTAAAACTCCTTTTAAATAAAAGTTAAACTCAATTAAATCAAATAAATTCAAGTAATAAATTTTATTTTTCCTATGCTTAACTTAAAAAGCCTTTATATAAAGATTAACAAGCCTATAAATAATAAGTCTTATTTTAAAAAAAAAATTAAATATTTTTAAGCTAGGATAAAAATTAAATTTATAATTTTGTAAAATATGATTAAAAATGGAATTTTATTATATTATTTTAATATTTAAGAGAAATAATATTTTAATTAATAAAATTGAATTCTTGTTATTATTTTTGAATAGAATAAACAAAAAGAAATTTCTAAATAAATATTGATCAATTTATTTTTTGAAAGAAAAACTTTATTTTTAAAAGCTATAATAGTAAAATATTTTAAGTTTTAATTCATTAGTAATCCAGCCAGAATAATTAAAAAATTTTTTTTAAATAAATATTTATTTTTTATATCATTTACTAATATTAGAAATAAAAACATTCTCAATTTTATCAAAAATTAAATAATTTTTTATAAAAACCATTTTGTTTGAATATTTTACTATTTAAGAAATAAATTATTTTACCCTTGATAGATAGATTGATAGAATTATATTTTTATTTATATTATTTTAATCTAATAAATTTGATAAAAAAAATTGTACATAAGAATTAACTTTGTTTTTCTAAAATAATTTTTGATTTTTAAGAGTCATAGCCATAAAGTAATTTAGGTCGTAAATAAATTATGATCCTGAATAAACCAATCAAAAATAAATTTTTTCATAAAGAAATAGTTAGAAATTTAAACATGTTAAATTTTTTAAAGAGTTTATTAATTTTTTTTATGAAATACCATTTAATATTAATTTTAAGGAATAAATTAAGTAAAATAGTTAGTTGGTTTACTGAATAGGCTTTAATATTTTATCCAATCTAAAAAAATAATTTAAATAGTTGAAGAAAGATTTAATTTTAGGTTTTCTAAAATTATTTCCTATTTTAATTATTAAATAGTTTTAGTTTTAATTAAATGACAATCAATTATAAACAATAAAAAATAAATTTTTTATAAAGAAATGATTATATATTTAAACTATTACAAAAATTAAATATATTAACATGCTAAATATTATTTAAAAATTTATTAATTTATTTATATAACGCCATTCATTTTATTTTGTTAGTTTATTATTTAAGAGATAAATTATTTTAAGTAAGAAATTAATTGGTTGACTGACTGACTGATTGATGTTTTTAATTTTTAATTGCGGTTTAGAAAATTCATTGTTATAATTAATTACTAACTAGCTAACTATTTTGTATTAATTGTTAATTAGTCATTTTAAATAGCAATTTTTAGTTTTTATTTATTTTATTATATGTAGGCATAATATTTTTCAATTTTCACTTATATCTATTCCATAGAGACTTTTAAAGTGTTCATAAACAGGTAAAAATAGAACTGAGTTAGCACAAGAAATTAATAGACGAGGTGTTAATCCTTTGAAGAAAGCTATGTAGCCTTCATTCTTAATTAAATCTTTAGTAATTTTTCTCACAGATAGTTTTTGTTTACTAGAATCAATAACTTAATATCTAGTCAAAATTAAATCGAATGGGTTAACCATGAAAGTAGAAAGTAAAGAACTGGATAAACTGACTAAAATACTTTATTTGATAGTTAATTTATGTCTACCGTCTTCGCTTTATGTATTATGGAGTAAGAAAAATCTTTACATTTCATAAAACCAAAACAATAGACCTGTTTGCATGGTAGTTGTTGCTATATAAATATGGCTGGCTTTGTAGAGCCTCAAGAATCCTTCTTTTTGTTATACATCTTTAAGTCCTTATAAAACACTGGTATATTAAAAGTTTGTATCATTCACTTAAAGACGTGTTCTAACGACATCAAATGGCATGTATGGGATTAAACAGACAATTTCAGCCAAAGAAGATGTTAATAAAGGCATACATATTTTTAAAGCAGTTGAAATATTTTCATTTTATACTTTTTTTATTAAACTCATACCATACTTATTCATAGTCTCATATGAAGAGAAATAAAGTAATGAGGGTACAAAACTGCAGGGAAAAGTTGTTGAAAATCCTCTAAAAACTCCTTTGAATCCTTCTCCTTTAATAACTTATTTATATCCTTGCTTAAATGATAAAAATTCTGCTGTGTGGGCCTTAATTTTAGTACTAATTGTATCTAATGGATACATAATCATATCAGCGATCCAATATCCTAAACTGCTGCAAGCTGCGAGCTTTACTACATGCAAAAAAAAAAAATTTAAGAAAATTGTTAGGCAATTATCTGAATAAATAAAGAAGAATATTATTAGCTAATTAATTACATGGATTGTATTAAGGTTGAGTTTTTTCTTGAGCTATGGCTGCCATTTAAGCTAATTATTTTAGATAGTTTTAATAAGAATACTTTTTTAATTTTTGTTATTAATTTTTTTTTGGTATTTAATAAGTTTTTAAGCTAATAACTTACTTTTTTTTTCCAGAAATTTAATTCTATTAAATATAATTTTGATTTAATATTTAGTTTGAAAATACAATATTTTTTTATGAACGCTTTTTATATGAAATAAATTCAAACAATTTATGACAAATCCTACATTTCCAAACTAATTTGTATGAATGAGTGAATGCTTGCTGTTCAATCTTCTCACATTTATTTAATTGTATCAAAGAATTTTTTATATAACTAAATTAGGCTTGCTTTATGATATTTAGTGAAAGTATTAAATTATTTAAGTAAACTAAATTGGCTTACTTACTTTTTAAGACTAACAATCTAACAATACTTGTTTTTATTTTCTCTTTAATTTAATCTTAAATTGGTTTGGTTGATGATGTTTCAATGTTTAAGTTTCCAAAGAAACAGCTTAAGATTGATCATTTATTTTACGACTGATATGCTGTCAAATAAAGGAGTTTGCATATTAAAGCTGAAAAGATTTTGAACATATTACCAGCAATAAAAATAGATTGATCGATTTTATCTCAGAAATTTCTAATTGATTCTTTTAATTTTTACTTAAATTATATCAAGTAACATCCTAACTTATTTTTCTTAGTAATAGTTTTTTTATAAACATATTATATTAGTAACACAACATTTTTATATTTACGAGTTTTCACCAAATAAAAATAATTACAAATGTTTGATATTAACTTTGTTTGATAATACATCATTAAATGACCTACAAAAAACATAAATAAAGGAATGTATGATTAGATAGTACTTTTTATATTCTTTTACAAAAACAGCTTTATATATTAAAATAATTTGAGAAAGTTTAAATAAAATTTTGATAAAGTCCAAATATATACATTTACATATTTAAAGATTTTACAATTTTATTTTAATTAAAATTTATTATTTAACCGCTATTTTTTAATTAAAAAATAAATGCTCTGAAGAAACATTTTACTTCATACTAACATTCTTCAAAACTTTTTATTTAATTCTATTGGCCCTGTTATCCAGTATCTTACAACAAATCTTTTTGAATTGCTTGAATTATTTGACAATATTTCGTAGGGGAACAATCTACTTTTAAAAATAAGCAAAGAGTCAGGTTCCATGCTATATTCAACAAAATCTCCAGGCTCATTTTAATTTTAAGAAACACTTGTGTATAGTCTGACTTTTCCATAATTTGTACAATCTATGTCGTCATCTAAGCTATTGAAGTATAAACAATTTATCTTCCTACCATTGTCTTAATCTCCATCAAACGAAGATTCATAATGAGGTTTTTAAAAGCTCCCGTTTGCTTTAAAATAGCTTATCTATTATTAAATTTTTTTAGTTTTTTCAAAATAAATGAGATATTTACCTAAAATAATTCTGATATTTAAACACATATTTGTGTTTTATGGTTAAACTCATAAGGCAAAGCAGAAAGTTGAAATGCTATTTTTTTGACATTTGGAAAGTCTTTTTCACTAATTTCACCTAAAGTTAGCCATAAAAGTCTGTCAGATCTGGTTTTACTGTCATTTATAGAGGGTTCATCAAATCTACCATCCATTTCTAAGTAATTGAGCTCTTTGTATAGATTACTGTTGATTTTTATGAAAACATTTTATTAATTAGTTATTTTAGATATTGTTTGGATATAAAAATGTGTTGTTATTTAAATTATAATTGATTAATATTTCGTTTAAATTTAACATTTAGAATTAATTTTATTTTTTAAGTCCACACTGTACAATATTGATCATTTTATATTTTTAAATACTCATAATATAATTAATAAATGATAAATTACTTAACAAATTTATCTGCATTTACATATTTCTTGATGTAAGTATATCCTTTAGTCATAAACTCACTTAGAGATTCTTTAGATAAGTATTCTAAGGGTATTTTTGGATTATTTGCTTTCCATGTTGTGGCTGTTGCAAGCTGAAATAATATTTTTTAAAAATATAACTTTAATTTGAAAAAAAAAGAATCTTATTTTACTAAAAGTGGTTGTTTACTGTCAATTCTTTAGTCTTTTAATGAATACTCCTTTATTTTATTAATAAAAAATTATTAGCAACCACCTTTTAGACACTCTCCAATTAAATAGGTCTAAGTTTATTTATTCCATTCTAATTTATCTTTCAAGCCATCTTTTGTATTTAAAAATTTGAATTGAATGATCAAATTTAAAAATAAAACATTTAATTTTTATTCTACCTTCTTTCAGTTTATAAAATTTTTTGCTTATAAATTCGAGAAGTTCAGGAAGCACGTAAGGAAGCTTATGTTTTGCTAATGTTTCCTTTGCTGCCCTTTCTATGTGAGTTAGTTCTTTATCAGGAATATAAATTTTTGCAAAGAAGGTTGTGCAGCATGAACCATTCTAGCTTTTGTTTTCTGTATGAGGCGATGCAGAATGATCGTGCTTGTGTTTGCATTGTTTAGTTTAATTTTCGTGCTTTTTATTATAGTAGTAAGTGTTTCTTTACTTGAATTAGTCTGCTTCCTTTTAATCAATCATGTATATGTATCGATATATGTTTATAAAATGCTTTCTCAATATTTTTATTAAGACATTTTGATCATCCTACACTAATAGTAACTTATTCTCCTTCTAATTTTCTACACTAACATTTTATTTGCCACAAACTAGCTTGTGCTGTTATATTAATCATAAAAATTATGTTTTTTCGGTTAAAACATATTTAAATATTTGTTACATTTTTCCAATCTTCAACTTAGCATTCCCTTGAACAATATGTAACCTAATATATAGATGTTGTATTTTTGATATGTTTTCTATGAAATCAATTTAATTACTTTCTTGCATTTACTACAAAAGCTTAAATCACCTTCTTTTTAACATAAATTGCACTTCATATAGTGTCTTTATACTTTTTTAAACGGATATATAAAATAATTAAATTTTTTAGAATTTGAGAAGGATATTAATGTTATTAACAAAAAGAAATTAAAAGGTGTAAAAGTTTATTTTTTTAAAAATTTAATAAACTATTCAAAATTGTGCCTTTCTAAGGATCCAAATTAAAATATAAAATTTATCAGGCTTATGATAATATTTAGTGAAATACTCCAACTTTAAAATGTTTGTTAAATAATTCAAATCAGATTAAAATATTAATTTATCTTATTATTTTTAATTTTATCGAATAAATTTCTTAGTTCTAGAAATACTAATTTAATGAGTCTATAAAAAAGTGTACAAAAGGAGCTAAAGTAGTAAGAATTCTAAAAATAGATCTAATCCTACCTATAATTCAAGCGTCATCATGCTTACCTTTAGTATTATTAATTAACATTACTGCTTTTATTCTTTGATTTTAACAATAAAATAAAAAAAAATGTCATTTATTCTATTTGGATATTTACTTTTCAAATAAATAAAATGGATAATATGATGTAATTTGGCCATCTAATTTGGATTTTAGAAAAATAAAATCGACTACGTATTTACTTTATTTTCTTACAGATTTATTATAAAGATTTTACAGGATTACTTTGAATAAAGTAAGTTATAAAACAATAAAGTTTTACATTCTTAATAATCATGACTAAAAATATAATTTTTGAATTCAGACATATTTAATTTTATTAATTGACCATTAAGATGTACTTTTTTATGATTTAAAGTAATGTTATACCATATATTTATTAGTAATCTATTGCTTTGTTTGATAGATTTTTGAACATTTTATAATCTAAATAATTACCTTAATTTTTACCTTATCTTGAACTTATTTAAAACTTGAGACAATTACTGTTTTGAAAATATAATTAATTAATAATATAAATTTATAAACTCTACATTAATTTTCAATACAAATTTTATAAGTAAATAAATAAATAATAAATGCTCAGCGGATTAAAGTAATTTAGTAAATTTTACAAATTTGCCACAACTCCAGCAAAGTCACCTCGTGTAGCTGTTTTCTCTGCTAAGAAATATGATATTAAGTTCTTCAATTAAATCAACGAAAAGCTGCCTATTGAAAAAAGAATCATATTTGATTACTTTGAGGAGGAATTAAATGAAAAAACAGCTATTTTAACTCAAGGATATGATGTTATTTGTCCTTTTGTGAATGACAAGCTAAACTAACCCACCATTCAGACTCTTGCCAAGGTATATAATTTAAATTTTCATCAAATACTCTATTTATAAGATTAATAAATACAATTATTTGGATACAGCTTTACAAATTCTACCTAATTAATTATTATAAATTTTTTTTAACAAATGCCATAAAATGAAAATTTTACATTTTAATCTTTGAATTAAATTTCTTCTACTGAAAGCACTCAACAAGCTTTCTTAATAGCAAGATAGAACCCCTTTTACCAAATTTTAATTACAAATAAATAGGTAATATTGACTATAAAAAATAGTCCATATTTTAAATAACTCAATAAAAAAGATACAAAAGATAAATATAGATAGATTTTGAGTTTTTATTTCAGTCAAATAAATTAAATGGTTTCTAATTAGATTTGTAATTTATATAATAAAAATTATCAAGATTTATTCATATGATCAATCTTAAAATTTTTTAAAAGCAAAATATATTTATTTATAAAATTAATTATTTAAATACCTTTCTTAGTAGTTTTAAAAATATTTTATTTTATAAATATCTTCATTATAAAACTAATTTTAAAAAAAAGAATGGAATAGATTTAATAGCTCTTAGATGTGCAGGTTTTAACAACACTGACTTAGAATGTGCATAAAAGAATAACATAAAGGTTGTAAGAGTCCCTGCCTACTCTCCTCATGCTGTTGCTGAGCATACTATGGCTCTCTTACTATCACTTGTGAGAAAAATCCACAAAGCATACAACAGAACTAAGGACGGAAACTTTTCTTTAGACGGTTTACTTGGATTTGACCTTTACAAAAAGAAAATCGGTATTTTTGGAACTGGTAAAATTGGATAAACTTTCATGGGAATATGTTAAGGTTTTGGTATGGAAATTCTCTGCCATGACCCTTATCCTAATGAGGAAGTAGTAAAAAAGTATAATGCTAGATATGTTGACTAAGCAACATTGTTCAAAGAATGTGATATCATTTCACTTCACTGTCCCTTAACATTTTCAACTTAATATGTTATTGATAGAAAAACTATTGATATTATGAAAAAAGGAGCCATTATCATTAACACAGGTAGAGGAAAACTAATGAGAACTGATGAAGTAATAGCTGCTCTAAAATCTGGCTAACTAGGAGGTGTAGCTCTTGATGTATATGAGCATGAAGAAGGATATTTCTTCAAGGATGTTAGTGCCGATGTTATTTATGACGATGATTTGGCAAGACTATTGATGTATCCTAATGTAATAGTGACTAGTCATCAAGCATTCTTTACTCAAGAGGCTATCACAGCAATATGTTAGACTACAATAGATAATATATTAAAAATTAAAGCTAATGAGCCTTGCGATAACATGGTTTTGCCCTTATAGAAATGATTCTATTAAATTTGATATATAAAAATTTATTTTAATATTAAAATTTAAGAAGTATCTATTATTGTCCAGTATTTTTTTGTACATCGTAACGCATAGCAAATGTTAATTAACCTTTAAATTTTACAAATTAATAATCTTTAATATTAGAACTAATAACTACATTCTTATCTATAATTAATTATTTTTTCTTTTCTAGAACAAATAAATACTTACAAAACAATTAAAAACTCCTTTTGAAAAACCAAATAGCTAATAAAAAGCACATTTAGATTCTACGAAAAATAATAATAATAAAAAACAAAAGAACCCCAATTATCATTTAAAAAGAAATTTATTTTAAAATATTTAAATTTTTTAACTAATCTATTATTATGTTATATTTAAAATTTATTTATCAATAAAATAATCTAATTAAAAACAAACCATTTAAACTTTAGCTGCCTTTATTTTTAAAAATATATATTTATATCCATAGAAGATATTTAAATTCGTTTTTAAAATACTATTTTTTGATTTATTGCTTAATAAAGATAAATATTTTGTTTATTATTATATTCTTAGATGTAAAAATAATTTGTTTATAAACATATATTAAATTATTTACATTTTTTACAAAATTTTATTTTTTATTACTTTAGAATGTAAGTTATTTATGTTATTCTTTTTGTTTTTTGGAATAGGTTATGAATTTCTATTTTTTTTAAAAAAGCATCATGCAAAGTATATATTTATCTTTAGTATAATTATTCTACCATATTATCATAGAAAGTATCAAAAAAAAGTAATTAACATAAAAAAAACTATCTTAGTTTGTTTATAAAAATTGCTAATTTATTGATCTTTTTATTGGTTTTTGTAATTTTGATTTCTCAAAGTAGGTTTTAGTATGAAAAAGTGAGTTCAGTAAAAATATAAAAACCGAATATTTGATAATAATAGTGAATTTAAATTTAAATAAACTGAATATTTTTGTCTTATTAATACTTTTTTTTACTTACACTATATTTTTGGACATATCTTAGTTTCATTTATATTGTTATATTATAAATTTATAAAATATATTTAAAATTTGATCTAGTATATCAGTAAATAAATAGAAATCAAACTAATATACAGACTTTTATTATTATTATTATTTTGTGATGAATTTAATATCTGTTTTGTTTGACCAGTAAGAAATAAATAATTTAATCTTTATTTGATATTTTCTCAGTATATTTATTAACATTATTTTTATTAAAATTTTTGTAAAACAATTAGCAAAAACCAAATAAGAGGCATAGCTTTATCAAAAAAACAGCATCAGTTTAAGACATATTTGGATAATCTAAGCTCTGAAATCTATAATTGGTAGAAAAAAAGTATTTTAAAACATTAGGATCAAAAAAACCAAGAGAGCATTAATAATAAAAAGCATTTTATAAAAACTCTTAAACTCCTACTATCATAGCAAGTATCATATTTGTAATAATAACATCTAGCATTTTTACATCTTTAAGGCAAGCATATAAAATAAGATAATCATGAGAGAAAACTACTACAGAATTGCAAACGCCTTGTTAATATTTATTAAACTAATATTAAGAGTTTTAGATGAAACAACAAATATTTTGTATGTCATAGAAGTACCATTTAGCATAATATCACTTTAAAAAGCCTCCATTTTCTTCTTATTGTTCTCTCCAGTTTTTTAGTCTATATCTTGGGCTTTTATTTAAGGCTAGATAGATCTAATAACTCTTAGCCTAGATAACAAAAAAGGAGGATATATTTTTAAAAAATTAGAGCTAAGTAATTGGGCAGATTAATCTCCAAATATATTTTCTTATTATGGCAGATCATTAGTATTATTTTTATTTGAATTGAGTTATTAAATTTACTATATCATAAGAAATTTACCTCATGGATTTCTTTATGGATTTTTTTCTGAATTGAAAATGTTGACCTTCTACTTCTATTTTAAAATGAAGGACAACAACTTGGTTACAGCTAGTTATGAAGATCTGTTTGTTAGATAACTAAAGAATGAGCTCGAAAAAGTAAGACTTGAAGTTTTATCTAGAATAAGAAAAGATGTCAATGAATATAATCCTGATGAACAACCTGAATAAAAGTATTTGACATAAAAAACAACAAAGTAATAAGTACTAAATACTGGAGAAGAAACAGCTAAATATTCTGCAGCTATAGTTGGAGGTGGAAGCTCTTATGTTCAATCATATCTACTAAATTCCTTATAAGGCAACTAAAACTACTCAGAAGGTATAGATGAAATGGAATATTTTGAAATTATGAGAGTCTAAGGTATCATTTATTTTATGACAAACGAAAAAATATAGAAAATTGCTAAAATTTGTGAGTTTATTGAATTCATTTTTGAGTCTTTACCCTTTTTGATTCTTTAGTTTATCAATAACGAAGCAGAAGGCTGGGAAAATAATAGTAGGTCTCTTACATTTGGAGCCACATTCACTTTTATTACATCTTTCATATCTGCTCTTATTAACACTATTTAGCTGTTAAATTTCCTTGTTTAAAAAGAAGGACTCTCTTTCTTATTTATGCATCGTATTTTTGCAAACAATTAGAAAGAATTAGAAACTTATTACTCTTAATCAGCATCCCCAAAGAATCAACCTGGCTCAGAGATTCACAAAGATACTCAAAGTGTTTAGTAATAAATGCAATAACAAATTATAGACTAACAAAATCAATTGCAGTAAACTTAGTATTAGCAACTATTGCAATAACAAGCTCTATAGTAATAACTAATGTTTATGCAATAAAATTCTTAAAATGCTTGTTTTTGTAACAATCCAGCATGTTACAATTTTGCTAACATATTCCCAACAACAAGAGGCTTCCACAAATCAAGCTTAAAATAGAGGTCATAATTATTCTTAACAGGAACTAATTCTTATTAAGACCTAAATAACCTTATTCTTACTCCAGCTAACTCAGCATAGACATATTAAGGAAAAAGAAGCAGTAACACTGTAATCTAAAACTCTATTTTTGGTGGTTCTGTAGCATCTACAATAAATAATACTCTAAATATATTTAGCTTAAATTAATTGTTACCATAGCATTCACCCAATAGAGTAGATAGAGTAGGAATGAAATCTATGACTTTCGATAATCTTAATTTCGGAACTTAAAGAAATGTTTATAATGAAATGAACTAAAATCACATTTACACAATTTAGAATTTCAAAAGAGGCTCTCATAACTAGCAAACATAAATATCTGAAATGCTGTAATTTGAAAATTAAAATTAATAATAAAAAGCAAAAGAAAGTGATACTCATAATACAAGTTAAAGATAAGATTAACAGTTAGAAACTGTATTAGAAAACTAACCTTCATTATAAACATAAAATATCTAACAATAATAACAGTAACAAATAACTCTTCAGAACGCTTAGTAGTCCACTCAAGGTAATTTAAAGCTCACTAATATATAGAGCATATTAGAAAGTGAGAACGAAGAAAATTTGTTATAGAGAAGTGCTTAAATATTTAATTATAATCAAGTTGAAGAAAGAAAAGAAAAAATAAAACTACGTCCAAATCTTTCTTTGAATATAAATGGGCATTTCTCAACCTAAACAGATTATATTTCCCCACCTAAAAAGGTACAACTAAACTTGGTTCCTTAAATTGGTTCTGAAATAAAACCTGTGTAAATGCCATACCAGACTAAAGTTATAAAGTCTATGAATATGATTGAAGAAAATTTAGAAAAAATTAAAGAAGATCAATCATAAAACAAAATTAATACAGAGATGGAAAGCAATAATTTGATAAACGAGCCAAATAATAATGGTAATAATATAGGTTCAGCTTCCAAAAACAAAGACAAGTAATTTTTTTTCCCAACTCAAACTCAAATGGTATCTCAGCCTTCTGATGAAGGATTATCAGCAAAAGGCACTGAAACAAAAGCAGAAATGAATCCAACAATAAATATCATAGATCTAGAATAGGAGACGACTGATTTAAATATAAATAACAATAAAAAAAACAGCCTCAACATTAACAACAATTTTAATAATACAAATAACATTTAACAGCTATCAAAAATGAAAAATAGGTTTTTCCTAAATCGTTAATCCTCAGCTGATGTAAATAACCAAATGATGCTAAAACAGCCAAGCAATATCTATAAAAATTAGTTTGAAAAAAGAATAATTGTTAGAGATAAGGATAATACACTTTTTGGTAACTAGAGTTTAGGAGGAACAAGCATACATCCAAGAGGATCTTAAAATTTTTAAAGTCAACACTAAATTTCATAATATTAACAAAATTAAAAGAATATAAAACACATGTATTAGAAAAAGAGCCTTCTCGATCTTGTCAAAATAAAAAAAGATATTTCTATAATAAAAGTATATGACCCCAAAAAAGCAGAGGCAATAAGCATTCTTAAATAAGCTATATCAAATTAAATAAAAGAGATAACATTTTCATTCCCTAAGCAAAAGGTAAACTCTAGTGATATCATCTATTATCTAACTAAAACTCAAATTATAAATGTTGAGAGGTTTTTCTTAAATTTGTGGTAATTAATTAATCTTTAAATTTTACATTTTTTATAAATTATGAGACAAATATTAACATTTTTATATAAACAAAAGTGATTGCAATATTAAATCAAATGATATTCACAAAATTTTAGACAAACTTCTTGGAGAAAAATAAAAATTACAAAAATTAAGAGCAAAAAGATCAGGATTGATTTAATCTCAACTCCAGAAAATATTTACAGAAAAAGGCAAAATAAAATAAATCAAAGCAGAGCTTCAACAATTTTATTTAAACATAGAGTAAATTTAAAAATTATTTTTTACTTTTATTTAATTTTTTTCAAAAAAAAATAAATAGTGAAAATGAAAGTTTGAAAAAAGATCAGAATAATATCTTAAAATATTTCTCTCTTGATCTAAAATAAATTGACCTCCTCTAACCAACTTATTTTATTATTGAGTCTCCTTATTCAAAAAAGAACAAAAATTTAAAAAGAGTCTACTAGCTTATTGACTAATTGTAAGTTTTTAGAAATTTATTTTTTTATTAACCTTAATTTATTTTTAAAGAAAAGATTCATTTGAGAAAGCTGGTTAATTGGAGATTTCATCAGATTTAATGTAATAAATTTTATCTGGATTGCATTCATTATAAAAATATTTTATATCATTAAAAAAGATATGAAATGAGTTTATGCTTTAAACGCTTTGGAGTTGGAATTTTCAACGATAATGTTGTACCTTACTATCCCTATCAAAGCGATATAGTTCTGATATCTGATAGGTATATTTTAAATTTATTTATTTAAAATTTAAATTAATTTTTTAATAAAGATTTGATTTGGCATCAAATGAAGATCTTGAGAATTTTGGACATGCCTGTAAATGTCTTTGTTTGGCAGTCAAGCAAATGAATATCTATAATATGAGCTTCTTTACACTTTCAAATAAATATAGAGTTTCATTCTGGAATATTGCATGCTAAGATCTAAGTTCTTCTAATGAATTTTTCTATAAGCTTGTTAAGGAAGCCAAAAAAAATATATTTGCAAAGTAATCAATAAATTTTTTAATCACTTTACAAAATTATTTACTTTTATCAAAAGGGGTAAATTTGGCAACAACACATTCATAATTAACGACTTTTCTAGATTAAATGATGATGACTATGACAATAACTTTATTATCATGAGAGACGAATTACATGGATTGAATGAATAATCTGCAACCAACTTTATTTAGCAAATTATGATGAAAAATCTTGATGAAAATGCCTAACCCTAATAATACTTTGAGTAAAGATTTATTAATAAATAAATAAATATATGCTTAATAATATAAAATTTTTAAATTAAAAAAAACTAGGTTTATTGTTCTTAAGAAAGGTCACTATGAAAATCAAGAATTAGTTACTGAGTAAAATGTCAATTTATTTATGGAAGATGCTTGTCGTATATTGATAGAAACTGCTGATATACAATCACTTTTTAACAAATTAATTAAGATTCAAGAAAAGCTAATTTCTTTACGTCTACAGTAATCAATTATTTATAATTAATTTTTTAATCCCTGTTATTTAATAATCATCCAATCTATTATTTTTCTAAAAAAGATTTAAAAATAAAATTGATGTCTAGGATATAAAGTAAATATAAAGGTTTAAGAACATAAAATATCTATTCTTAGAGTAAATATAATTTATTATTGCTTTTGTAGGTACAAATTTTTAAAATTTAAATTTAATTCTATAGGCATTAATCATTTGAACACGAAGCCCCTAAAAATCTACCTTAAGGAGTTAAGTAAATAAAATTTTAGACACTAAAAATATATACTAAATAACTTTTTTTAAATGTAATAGTAAAAGAACTATTGGCAACGAGTGCGCTAAATCAATATCAGATAGCTTATAGAATTTATCAAATTTATATGTTTTCGGGATTAAGATGAAGTAATTTAATTAAATTAAAACATTTATTATAAAAATTCTATCTTTATAGATCTAATAATTTATCTTATGAGGGAGTAAAACATATAGCAAATGGGTTGTTTGAGTAACAAAAATTGTGTAAGCTTAGCATAGATTTAACGTAAAAAATATTAGATTCTATTATTTACATTTTTCAATATAACATTTAAAAAAATAGGTCAAATTATGTTGATAAAGAAAGTTGCTAAGCACTCTCTTAATCTATAAAAAGCTTAGATTATTTAAATGAATTGGACTTATAACTTGGGTAATTCAATTTATCGTTACATAAATTTTTTATTAACCTTTTAAAAGATCTAACTAAATAGGAAATGAAGGAATGCAACACATGTTTGAAGCAGTATAGGATTTAGAATAAATGACTCAAATATCTTATGATTTTAGGTAAATTTAAAAAATAAAAAAATTTTATTATTAATCATGAATGTTAAAAAAAAAATAAAAGTAAAAATAATATCGATCATGAATCTTGCAATATCTTATAAGAATATTTAAAGTGTACAAGTCAGATATCTACTTTATCATTGAATTTATCGTAAGGATTTGATTATTAATTTATATTAAATTAATTCACTTATCTGATAAATATTAGTTAGAATTCATTGTCTAAAGAAGGTACTATTGGTCTTTCAAACGGATTAAAGAACCTTACTTCTTTGCAAAGTCTTCATTTATACTTAGAGTAGAATTATTATTCAATCAAAACTCCTTTTATTAACTGATACCTTATTATGACCAAAAGCAATAACAAAATAGAATATGAAGGAGCTGCAGCTCTTTCAGAGGCTATCAAAGAACTGAGATATCTCCATACATTATATTTGGACTTAAGGTATTATTTTTGATTATTTTAGATTACAGATTAAATAAAATTAATTTTGAATAAAAAGCGAAAATAAAATAGGAAAGCAGAGTTGCTCGGTATTATCAGAAGGATTCAAATGTTTGTATTCAATGGTGACCTTTACGCTTAAGATAAAGTAATAATTTTTCTATACTTAATAACATTATAAAATTTCTTTTTAAAATTATTAAGGAATAATGATATATAAGTACAAGGGATTTCTTGTTTGCTTGAAAATATGAAATAGCTTACTGGAATGTAGTAGCTAACTTTAGACGTAGGATGGAATGATATAGGTAACGAAGGTGCTAAGGCTATAGGTGTAGGAATTATGAATTTTACTTATCTTTAGCAATTAAGTCTAACTTTAAGGTTAATTTTAACATTTTTACTAGAACCACGTAAAAAATTATAATTTTTAATAGCAAAAATGAAATTAAAATAGAAGGTGCTTAATCAATTTGTCAGGGGTTGAAATTTCTTTCAAACTTAGAAAATATTTATATTGACTTGACGTAAAATTACTTTTAAGTATTTCAAATATGATAAAATTTTGTTTATAGGTGGAATTATATTGGTGATAAAGGAACTGTTTATTTCTCAGATGCCCTAAGTAAGATGAATAACTTGCAAACAGTCCATTTAGATTTTCAGTAATAATTAAAATAGTTTGTTTACACTTTCAATTTTCAAAGCTGTGAAATTTGAAAATATTTATTTACTTTGATTATTTCTATTTTTCAAAAAAATATGATTAAGTGTGAATCAAATTTTTGTATCATTACAAATTATTGTGTGATAAATAAATAAAATAATCTCTTATTTTTTTAAGCAAAAACTAAGTATCTGATTTTGGAGCTCAGAGTCTTGGAAAATCTTTGAGACAACTTAAAAAGATTACAGATCTCCATTTAGACTTAACGTAGAACATTTAAAACTAAATAATATTTGAAATTCTAAAATAATAATTTAAATAGATCTAATTAAATTGGGTAGAGTGGTGCAGAAAGGCTTGTTCATCATGTGAGAAAACTCTACTTTTTGTAAAAGCTGAATATAGATATAAGGTAAATTTTTCTTTCATAACCATAGGATTTTAAAATAAATTATTGTAAACTAAAGTGACAACAATTTCGACTACAAGCTATTTGATTGGATTAATCAACTATGAAAATATAAATAATATTTAATGTCTTATTACTAACAGTGATTACAATAAACTAAATTTAAAAATCAATTTATCTATCTAAAAAAGTATAAAATTACATGTATCATAAATTTATATTTCTGATAAATATTTTTCTTATGGCATCAAAGATTTTGTGTGTATAACATTATATTTGTTATTAATGAAAATTTTTAAAATTTCCAAATTAATTTATAAAGTTAATTAAATATATATGATTAGTCAAGTTTATCTATCTGAAATTAAAGATATACGTAAATTTATAAATTTATGATTAGAAAGTTATTATTACAAACAAATTATTGTATTAAATGTTAACTTACAACCTCAAAAAAGATAAAAACTCTTCTCTATTTTCTTTTATTAAAAATATAATTTATTTTTTTTGCTTTGATAACTATAAAATGAAAGGATAGTTTTAGGATGAGCATCCATATTTAGTTTGTCTAAACATAGATCATTATTGTTTTTATGGGATTTAAAATTTTTATATCATTTATTTGGATTTGAGTGAATAAATAAATAAAAATATTCAACATTTTTAAAAAAGAAAAAAATTTTTGTGAGTTATTATGGCAAATTTACAGTTTTTCTCAAAGAAAAAGTTTCTGTTTAATTCTTGATGTTACTCTGTAATTTTAAAATTTATGGTGAATATTACATTTATAATTAATTATGCTTTTATTATAGTATTTGATTTAGTAATATGCTATTTAAATAAAGGATTACTATTTACGCTTTTAATTTAAAATAATCGTTATGGTTATAAAATTGGATTTTTTCTTTAATTTTTTGTACATTCTGTGGATAATTAAGTTAAAATGATCAAAATTCAACAGATTGGTTTTATAATTAATAATTTCTTATATTTCTTTATTGATTGAATAAAAAATGGTAAAAAAAACTCATTTTTCATAGCGAAAAAAAGATTTTTCAGAGTAAAATATTAATTTTTAATAAGACGTAGAATAAATTTATTTGATTTTGCCTGGAAAATTAGATTACATGTAAGATTTATACTTTTTTCTTTAATTTTTAATTGTAATACGAATATATTTATTAAAGCTTGCTTACATAAACTACATCTGTAATAAAAGATAAATAATACATAAATTAATCAATTAAATAAATCTCTTATTGAAGATATTGATATGATGCATGCGGTATTTACTAATTGCTGTAATATAAGTAAGTTTCCACACTAAAATAATATAAAAAATTTAACGAAATTAAATTGGAAAATTTACTAAACAAATACAAAAATATTCTTACGAGGTTAAAAAAGATTGAGTTGTTAGAGCTTGCTGAATAATTATCTTTTCTCTTTATAGTAATATGAATACTGTTGATATACAATACTAAAATACTATCTCAAATAGATATTATTTAGTAGGTATGCTTGTTGTCTTTATTTAAGCTATACAAATGTACTTTTATTATATTAATCCTTCCTTTAAGAATTACTTTACTAGTATGCTTGCTATTTGGATATGCTCAAAAATTTTTTGCTTGATTCTATCCCTTTATATTACTAAAAATAAGACAGGTATTCATAAATTTAAATTGATTTTGAAAATAATCTTATTTGCAGAAGTTATTACTCTTGTTTAAGAAATTTACACTGAAAAAGAAAAGATTAAAAGTACTATGCTTGGTCTGATTGGATAAATTCACCTTTATGCTCTACCTGTTTTCCTAGCTAACCACTATATCATTATTTAACAAGAAAGTAATTAAGGAGTAAATATTTAAATTTACCTTCAAAGTATAGTTAATATTATAATTATTTCTACCTGTAACATTTTGGTGTTAGCTGTAAAAAATAAAATTGAATGTCTAAATTACCCTATATTGTTCTAGGCCTACTCTTTTTGTCGTTGCTTTGTCTTTTGGCACGTTCTCAGCTAAATTTATGTCATAAATTTATATGTTCTTATAACTTGGCTTATAGTCCATTTATTAATAGCTATACTAATTGTATAAAACTTAGAATAAGACGAGTGCAAATTATCTTCATTTGTTAGCTATCTATTTTAACTGGAACTCTTCATAATAAGAGAAAAAGTTGAAGCAAAAGCTAGCTTGAGTCCATTATAACAATTTAACTTCTCTTATTTAGACAAGTAGTGGAGTGTTGTCCTATATTTCTTCTTTCTTTATTTCAATATACTTTTCTTTGTTTTTATCAAAATCGTATCATAACCAATACTAGTCAAATTGGATTATTTAATTTATATTTTGTTCCCACTAATGTTGCCAGGATTAGTTTGGACAATATAATTAATTTATAATAAAATTGTAAAAATTGAAAACTACAACCAAATTATTGGATGGAGAGCCGGAGGACTTTAAGTAAGCAAAATAATGAGTAAACTAAAAGAAAATCTTATAAATGATGGCAAAATATATATTTAATTAGATGAAATTGTGTAATAAAGCCATCTTATTGAGAATTACAAAAATAAAATTGAAAAAATGGCAAAAATTTATCCTTCAAACAGCAATTTATAAATGAATTAGAAGTTATGCAACGACATTCAAGATATCAAGCTCGGAATTTAATTAGCATCTAATGGCTATTTTTAAAATCTCAATGTACAGTTTTCAGATGCTCAACAAAAGATATAATTTATTATTTCGATAGATAAAAGTCATAATTATAATCAGAAATTAATCCTAAGATAAAATTATAATTAAGAATTAGCTTTGAAAACTTTTGATTTGTTCTAGCACATAATTAAGCCTAATTATCATATTGATGTAGAAGGAAAAGAAATCGAGATATTTAAACTCCGTTTTTAAGTAATAAGATTTGAAATTAGTCATTTCAATACAAAATTAGATTTGAACGATATTACTTTGAAAGTTTTAGCAAACAATTTTTCTGCCTTAGCTTTTTATTTACAATTATCATAATATATACCAATAAATCCTTCTTTGGTATTATATGATCTTTTAGAAGACACTCTATGATTAATTTATTAAAAATTTTAATTTAAAAAATCTTAGTAATTTAAAGATCTTTTAATTTACTACCTTTATTTAATAACAAATAAAAATACACGAACTTTTATAAAAATAAAGAATCTTTTACTTACTTTTACTTTTATACTTAAATTTATAAATTTGTAAATACTAATTATATTTGGTAACTTATATCTTTCTATAACATACATTTGTCAACCTTCTTATATTAATAATCTTCTTCAAAAATGTTTACATTTTGTTTTTATTTTAACTTTGTTTTCTAATAATTTAAACTTTTTTCATTGAAAAATTCATTAGGATTCTAAAAATAAGTGTCTTTACTCTATTTATTTTTATTTGAGTTGAAAATATATTTTTATCAAATTTAACCATTCATTTAAATTTCTGTGGTTGCATCAAAATGTATTTATTGATTTCAATTTTACTTACAAGCAAATTCAAAAACATTAGAAAAATTATAATTTATTGATTTGATAGAAACAATTATATAAATCCTCTCATATGAAATTAATACTTAAAAACTCCAATTTTATAAAAGTATAAATTAAGTAATCAAATTAGGATTTAGATAAAGTTAAAAAATAAATAAATTGATTTAATTATTTTTTGTTGTCAAATAAAATACATATTTCAAATTATCATAAAAAAATTAATTCTACATTTTTGCATTAAAATAATTTAATCTTAGATCTATTCAAAGCTTTTATCTAAAGGGTCTATTTATTTTTGTTCAGTAATACAACATTCAAAAATGTATATTGCAATGGTTTATTTAAATTAAAAATACAAGCTTTTTGTTATTAATATTAAAAACAACAATCAATATAAATCCTCTCTTATGAAATTAATACTTAAAAACTCCAATTTTATAAAAGTATAAACAAAGTAATCAAATTAGGAAATATATTAAGTTAAAAAGATAAATAAATTCATTTAATAATTTTTGTTGTCAAACAAAATATATATTTCAGATTCACACAAAAAAATTTATTATACATTTTTGTGGTAATTTATTTAATCTTAGATCTATTCTATTCTAAATTAGTTTCTAAATGATCTATTTATTTTTTTTCAGTAATGTAACATTCAAAAATGTATTTTGCGATGGTTTATTTAAATTAAAAATTCAAACTTTTTATTTTTAGTATACTATTTTTAGCAAATGAAGTTACTTAAATTTATTTTTACAATTTTATAAAATGAAATTAAATACTTTTGCATAGTTTACTTTAAAAAAATAAGTTTAAAAACTACTGTTTTAATTGGAAATTTTAAGTATTTTGATCTTTTAGGCAGGAGGATTAAAATATTAACTAACTTTCATAAAATTTACAAAAAATATATAAATAGGTAAATTAATAAGTAAGTATTTGGAAGTAAATTACTTTATTTAATTGAAAATAAGATTCTTCAAAAGTTATCTTTAATAGCAATTTATTTTTATTATTCAATAATTTTTTTAATTTATTTTAAAATATATAAATTTCAAATAAAATAATAAGCATAAAATAAAAGTCAAAATTTTTATTCAAATAAAAACATACAATTAACAAATACATTTCAATGTGGGTTTCATTAAAACTACTTAAAATTGTCTCTATGCTTTCGTTATTACTATTGCTGATTTAAATATACCTTTAATACTGCTATGGATAATAGAAAGAGTAATTCTATATATTGCTGCTCATTTTGGTGTCTCTAAGATTAGTTTGTGCTTGTCTCTCATTTTTGATTTTGAAATAAAAGAGGATGAAAGATTATTTAAAATAATTTGTATTAATATTATTAACAAATGAATTATTTGCATTAGTAATTGAAAAATGTAAAAATGATGTAAAGAAATGTGCTAAAGGATTTATTTTTTAACAATATTTTTACTCACTGCCAACTTTATTTATTAATTAAGGTATAATTGCATAAAATTTAGTAGAAAATAACCAATATATAATTGGATTTTATCTGGTTAATCTAGTCAATTTACTCATATTATCTTTCTGTAATCTAGTCTCAATAGAAACTTAAACGATAAATTAAACAAAAAAATTTAATTTATCATAGTATCTTCAAGGTGTAATTAGACCATTTTTATTTTGGTATTTATTTTCTTAAATGGTGTATTTAAGCTTTATTTTAACTATCGTTTGGGTTTCTGTTCAAATTCTATTAGGTATTTTAATTTCATCTGCCAAAAGTAACATTGAGTAATAGGGAGAGTATTTTGTTAGCTTTGTTTTGTAATTAGATTTTAATTTTATTCCAATACAAACTATATTTTGCTAAAAAGTTGAAAAAAATGCATAAATAGCTTTAAAGAATCAGTTCTATTGTTAAGATTGGAGTGATGTATTTTATAACTTGATGCTTTAGCTAAATTTAGCGGTTTTTTTAGTGTTCAAAGTTTTGTTTGATTTTAAAAAGACAAAATTAGAGTGCTTAATTTGTATTTTGTACATTTTTATACTTCCTAATTTGATAAATTCAATAATTTCAATTTACTGCCAAGCCTTATAAATAAAAAACTATAATAAAATTATAACTTGGCCATATGGTAATTTGAAACTTAGTAAAACTGTTAGCTACTTAAGCAAGAATTTAATTAATGAAGGAAAAATATACATTAATATGGAAGAAGTAAAGATAGGCGTGAATAATTTGGTTTTAGATCAATATCAAAACAGGTACTTTAATTAAAGATATACTAAAAGTTATCAATAAGAAAGCATGCATTTATTATGGATAATGGAAAATGAGTTCTTTAATGATTTGAAAGAAATAAAATCTGCATTAATTAATTCATAATTTGGGAGATTTAAAAACCTTCTCATACACTTTTTTGATTAATCACAAAACATACAAGTTATTATCTTAGTTGATTAAAACCAAAAACAGAATTATAAGATTGTCTTTAAGCCTGGATATGATAGAAAATTTGCAATAGAGTTAATGGATATCATTCAGTATATTTTAAATCCTGGTAATCCAATAACAGTTTAAGCTTAAGAGAGTGATTTGGCAGATTTACGCATTAAAAGCATAAGATTCGAAAGAGATATTATTATATAAAATATTTAGCACAAAAAACTAATAGAAAATATATTGTCTAATAACTTTTAATCTTTAGTATTTTACAAGCATATAGCAGAATATATGCCAATAAACCCATCATTAGTCTTATATGATCTTATTGAAGAAGGCAATGGTTAAAATTGAAACCTTTATTTGTAAATGGTCAAGTATTTCATTAAATTTAAGTTAAATTATTTAAAAAAACTGTAATAAAGCTATTTAAAATTTCATTTTTTAAAAGCAATTGAGTTGTAAAATCATTTTGACGATATATACACGTATCTATTATTTTTAATTAAAATTGACTTAATTCATTTATCAAAAACTCATTTAATTTAAAAAAAAGAGCTTTAAATAAATAAAATATTTAATTTAAATTCTTAAGTGAATAAAATTAATATATATTTTTTATCATTTATTTTATGAGAATTTATTGATTATTTAAACATTCAAAAAAAATTATTCAAATTTTTCTTATTTTTCTTCTGGGTTGAATATATATTAAATCTATTAGACAAATACGCAATAATATTAAGAGAAGAAACTTTTTAAAAAACTTTCATATGAATTATTTTTGTTTGCTTTCTTTAGATCTTATGACGAAATTAAATTTTGGATAATTTAAAAGCTATTTTTAGATAAATGAATCAAATAACTCAAAACATATATTTATATCTCACTCTTTTTATCAAAGGAAAGTGTTTAACATGTTTTATATTTTTCATATTAAAAAACAAATGAAAACTTATTTTTAGAATTTCATAAATTGAATTATTAGTTAACTAAATTTCATTTAAAAAAATATTTTTTTTTGAATAGTTTTAATTTGTCTTAGACAAAAGTGTAGCCCACCTTTTCTAACAAATTTAAATTTCTATTTTTGCTTAGTTAAGTAGGACATATGAAATTCCTACATCAAATTTAGATTTGATGGATTTCAAGTAGAATCAGATTTCGCTTCAAATTAAAAGTTAGAAGAGTTCGCAAATTTGATAGTCACTGATAGAGTATAAAAGTAAATTTGACAAGAAATATCATATAGATTAGTTAAGCTAAAAAGAGAAAAGTTAAAAAATTTGAAAAAAAAATAACTATATCGTTCAGTTTAAGAGCAAACTATTTATAAAAAATTTAGATATTAACAAAAAAAAAAAAATATTAGACTTTTAAATAAGAAAAATTTAGGTAAAAACACAAACAAAAAAATTTATTTAGTAAAAATGGATAAAAGAAAGAAGCCTTCAAAGAACGATAAGAAGAGAGCTTAAATTTAGGTTATTTAATAGAAGGAAGATCATGAAGAATAAAACAGAGCTCCCTTAGTTATGGTTCGTCACAACAGAGAATGTGCCAGTAACAGAGTCTATGACTTAAACATTGAAAATATCACTATTATCTAAGGAGGTTAAGTTCTTCTTGACAACGCTGAATTACAACTTACCCACGGAAGAAAGTATGGTCTTATTGGTAGAAACGGTGTTGGTAAATCAAGTTTGCTTTACGCCCTCGCTAGAGGAGATTACCCAATCCCTGAACATTTACAAGTTCTTCTCGTAGAACAAGAAATGGTTGGTAACCACAAGAGTCCTCTTCAATAAGTTCTTGAAACTGATATTGAAAGAGAATAACTCCTCAAGGAATATGAAGAACTAGTTGCTAACAATGAGGATGATGACAACACCCGTCTTATTGAAGTCTAAAAGAGACTTTAAGATATTGATTCTCACACAGCCGAATCTCGTGCTTCTGCTATTTTGGGTGGTCTCGGTTTTTCACATGAAATGATTATCAATCCTTCTGATAAGTTATCTGGTGGTTGGAGAATGAGAGTGTCTTTGGCTCGTGCTTTGTTTGTTTAGCCTGATATTTTATTACTCGATGAACCCACTAACCATTTGGATCTTGATGCTGTTATTTGGTTGGAAGAATTCATCGCTAATAGTGAAATGACCATCCTCTTAGTCTCTCACTCACGTGCTTTCTTAAACTCTGTTTGCACAGACATCATTCACTATTTCGATTCTTAATTAAAATACTATAAGGGTGACTATGATTAATTCGAAAAGACTCGTGAAGAACATTTGACCCTCCAAAAGAAGAAATATGAATTTAACTAAGCTGAAAGAAGAGAAGCACAAGATTTCATTGATAAATTCAGAGCTAACGCAAAGCTTGCCTCATTAGTCTAGAGTCGTATTAAAGCTCTTGATAAGATGGAAGTCGTTGAAGAAGTCAAGGAAGAAAAGAAGACAAATTTCCGTTTCCCTTAAACTGAAAAGTTAGTATCACCTCTCTTCAGAATTGAAGATGTTAAATTCGGCTACAGCCCTAACAAAATTATCTATGAAAATCTTAACTTCGCTGTTGACTCTGATTCTAAGATTGCAATTATTGGTGACAACGGAGCAGGTAAATCTACCTTCCTCAAGCTCTTGACTGGTAAGCTTGAACCCATATCTGGTAACCAATACAAGAACCCTAAGGTTTTCTACAGTTTCTTCACCTAACATTTTATTGATCAACTTGATGTCAATCTTTCTCCTGTTGAATAGTTATAATAAAAGTTCCCTGGAAATAAATCTGAACATTATCGTGCATTCTTGTCTCGTTTTGGTATATTCTCAGAGAAATAAATCCGTCCTATTAAGAATCTTTCTGGTGGTTAAAAGTCTCGTGTTGCTCTTGCTATTGCTTGCTATACTGAACCTCACTTACTTATTCTCGATGAACCCACAAATCACTTGGATCTTGATGCTATTGATGCCCTTATTGAAGCTTTATAAAACTACAATGGTGGATACATTATCGTTTCTCACGATGAACATCTTGTCGCTAAGGCTTGCAATGAAATATGGTATGTCAAGAATAAATCTCTTGTTAAATTCAAAGGAGACTTCAAGGAATATCGTAAGGCTCTTATCAAGAAATAACTTTGAGAAATGTAAATAGTAATTAAAGTACAGTAAAGCATTCAATTATCTAAAAGATTGGATGAATGAAAGCAAGAAAGAAAGCAATTCATTCAACCATTATTTTGTTATATTGAATAATAATTAAAATTTTAATAAAAGCAAAAAATACTTTTAAATTCTCATATTCTTAATTCATTTTAATATAAAAATAATTTTCTTCACTGTTTTATACATATTTCTATACAATAAAGAAAATAATTTACTTTAATAAAGTATTCCAAATATTTTTCTGTTTAATTTAAAAAATTCTCTATTTATTTAATTTTATGTTATGAGTTAAAGATTTAAAGAGTTCATTCATTTATTTGTCTGTCTATTCCTATTTTTAAAGTTATTGAATCATCAAATAAATAATATGCTCAAAAAATCTTCTAACATATTAAATTTTCTATTAACTTTTTGCAAATTAATATGCAAAAGTATTATTTTTCCATCTAGAAAAAGCAATACTTTTAAAAATTTCATTACTTGAATCTAAAGTCAAAGTCAATATAAAAATTAACTTATTTATGGTTAAGTACAAACTTAATTTTATCAAAGAAATTATTTGATATTAAAATTTTCATTTTTTTATGTTACCATTTTATATTAAAAGGTAATTTCATTTTTTGAAAGATTTTTTTCACAAAAGAAAAAAAAAAGATATGAGTATAAAAAATACTCTTTGAATTTAATATTTAATTAAATTGAGTTTTATAATTATATCACAGGTGCTTTTGTTAATGTAGTTAAATAAAGTCTTTTAAATTTTAAATTAAAAAGTTTATAAATAAAACATACTATAAAAAACTTTATCAAGCATTTATTTGTGTATTCTGCTTTAATTTACATGAAATAGCTTTGATAGCTATTTACAAAGACAAAATAATATTTTTTATTATTAAATTAAAATTTGTTTTAAAAAATTATAATTTTATGAGATGACTAATAAATAAAACTTCATTCAAAATATTTTATCAGATTTTTAATAATTAGCAAGAGAGGCTGAAAAGAATAATTATTTGTAAATATGGTTATTAAAACTCTAGGACAATATTTAAAAAATAAATTTAGGTCAATATTTAGCCATAATATTTATCAATTTGTGGATATAAAAAGATATTAAATTAGCAAAATAAAATTCAATTGATCATTATTTTAAGCACACTCATTAATTAAGGATTTATTCACTTAATTTATCATTTCCCCTCACAAAATTAGTTTTGACATAAGTATGATGAATTAACTATTAAAATAAATAAATGACAAATAATTTAGTTGATGATCAATTAACTTTAATTGAAAGATAATATCGCTGATTAATATCGTATTTATAAAAAAATCATTGGAAATAGTTATTTTTGAAGTAAAATTGAATATTATTTATATTCATCAGCAATTGTAATTAAAACAAAACATATCCTATTGTCAAATAGCCCTACAAATTAACTGGATATAATCTTCATTTTTATTAAATGGTATTAGTGTCTTAAACAATAAGGATATTAGCAATTATTATTTTATTGATTCTCGCCTAACTCATTCCATTTATAGCATTGGACGGAGACTTTTAAATAGCCAGAATTGTATATACTATAATTATTTCATTGATTTATTTAATTGTACTTTATAATCCATCATTTCTTTCAAAATATATTTCTCATTATGTAACACTAACATCTATAGCCATCAACATAATAGGCTATGTTTCTCTCTAAGCATTTGAGTCTAGATTATCTTAAGGCACAAATTAAGAAACTTAAAATTATTAGTAAAGTGATTGCAATAAGTAAATTTAAAACATTTTGAGTTATGATGAGTAAACGATAAACGAATTGAGCATAAATTTAAGGTATTATATTGGTACATTAAATATAATCAATTTTTTTCCAGGGATTAATCAATTTCATAGAATTATAAGTCTTTCTGTATCAGTTGTACTATGGACATTTTAATAAGGAGGTGTATTAACAAGGTTAATGTCAGTATCATTTTTAATTGAGATTTTCCTTTTATATTATCATATGAATGTAATAGAAAGAATTCTAAATGAAAAATTAGTAGGCTTGAATAGAAAAAATTAATAAGATAATAGATAAAATAGTGCCGATTAAGGATTAAACACTCTTCAGTCTGGTGATTAAAGAAATGTTGGTGAAATACAGCAGATTCTATATTAAGCCAACTTTAAATCTACTGGTAGAAAAAAATGGAAGATTGATGATATCTTATTTGAGAGAGACTCTATTTATGAAATAATAAAAAAATTTGCAAATTTTAATATGATTATTTATACTTCTGAAATGAAAGTCAAATTTATGACTTAAAGTCTTAGAAAATTTTTAGTTAGTATAGAAAATAATTTAAAGTTAGATGAGGAGGAAAATATTAAAAAAATATTTTAAAAAATCATCATTAGTGATAAGGAAAATTTATATGATCATTTGAAAAAAACAATAAATTAATGGTATAATTAAGGCGAAATTAACAGTAGCTTTGAAATGCTTTGTAACAGAGATCGCATTTACTCCCTTTCTAATTGTTAAGTTAATCTTGAAAAATATTAGCTTTACATTTCAGAAATTTAGGTTGATTAATAGTAATGTCTTTTAATATTATTTAATACTCAAGAAGATGCTAGTACATTTAATTAATATAAACACAAAATGATAAATTCAATCTCACATGACCTCAAAACACCTCTAAACGGTATGATTTTACTCCTTGATATACTAAAGGAGCAAATTAAAAATAATTTTTTAAAGCCTTCTGATTAAAAATTTCCATCCTTTCTAAGTGTATCTCCATTATCTGCTAATGTTAAAATTTAATCAAATGAATAGAACGCATCAAGTTCCCACTAAATAAATTTAATTTTAGTAAATAAATAAAATTCACAATAAATATAAAACTCTTCAGTTAATATTTTGAATATGGACGGATAATTAATCAAATAAGATTCACAATTCGACACTGCAGAAGTATTACAATTTAATTAAAATAAAGAGTAAAGCCAAAACAACTATAATACAGATTAAAAAAATTAATAAAAATATTAAAATGAAACTAAAGAATAATCAAATGTTTTGCCTGGAAATATATAATTAATGAAGAATTCCCATTCTGATATTGTAAATATTGATAAACCCAAAGACTTTTAACATAAATTGTAACACTCTATGAGTTAAATTTAAGAGAATCAAATTTTAAAAATATAATAGAAGAGTCTCAATAATAATGAATAATAATAGTAACAGTAGCAATATGTATATAATGTCAAAAAGTAATCTTTTATTAATAAATATGAGCCAAATATGAGCACAAGCTTACTTCCACTTCAAGAAGAAGAAGAAATATTTTTTGAGGATTAAAAAAAAAGTAGAAGAGATACTTTAACTGATGATGACTGGTTCGTTTAAAGCTCTCTAAAAGCAGCTACACATAATCATCTTTACCATAATAATTTTAGCAATTAGTAAGTTTACAAAACATTTGTTCCATCTCCTTGCTCTTCTAAAGTAAAAAAGGCTGAACAGTAAGAATAAGTAATCAAGATATAACCCTCAAAGCAAGACTCTTCCATGCAGTAAATAAAATTAGGATCTGATTTGAAAATGAATGAATTAAAATAAATATCAAATCACACATTTCAAGAGGACAGCTTTGGTACATCTGATAAATTGCATAATAATTTTATAGTCATCAAGGTTCCTGAGTCTAATCACAGCTTAACAGAAGGACAAACTATAACAGAACATCACCCATTTTTATAATAAAATAATCATTTTTAAACAACATAGAGTGATAATGAGGATTAGCTTGGAAATTTTAAATTAAAAAAAAATAAACTGATACTTACAGACATAAATAAAAATCAAGATTAGAATTAATCCAGCTCATAAAGCTCTACCAATAAAAGCCCAGACTTTCTTGAGCCAACTCTAAAATAAAATTAATTGTTAATTCAAGGATAGTTATAATAATAACAACAGCAAATTAATAAACCTAAATTATTTGAAGACTAATAAAATAAATATGCTAAGGATTAGAATGATGAAAATATTCAGATCTTAGAAACAGATGAAGCTCACAATTAAGTTAAGTTTACTTAGATATAAGATAATTATTTAGCTAAGATATCTCCAGTTGGTTGTTCAGTTTAAAATTCAAGGTAATTTTAAGCTAAAGATAAAACACAAAACAATATGAGCTTTTATTAAGAAAAGAAATATAATAATCAAAATCTAAAAATTTAGCTGCACAAGGAATTTTCAGAATCTTAATTATCCCCTCAAAAGAGTAATCTTGCTGTTAATTAGCAAGATTTAGTAAATGATTCGCCTAACCAAAATTTATTATTTACTCCTTAAACATAATATTCTTAGTAAATTTAAAAATAACAAGAATTAATTTCAATAAATCAGGACATTTTTAGCAACAATTAAGCTGAAAGTTAGCAAAAAATTACTCAATAAGAAAAAGAAATTGCAAGAAATTCGTTTAATACCATGTAGAAATAACAAATCCCAGCAGAGTAAAACTCAAATATTAATTTAATTTAATCTAAATCAAACAACTAAAACAATAATTAATCAACAAACACTTCAAATAAACAACTGACTGGAAGTTCTCCATCATCAACCCAGTAAGGATATAAGCATTAATTAAAAGATTAATAGGTAGAATCTTAAAAATAAATTATTCAAATGAAATCACTTTCAAATACTTCGATATCTAACAATACACCAAAGAGTGAAATCTTAATTTTAAGCAAAGAAAAAATGATAAGCAATAATTCATAAGATAATATACAATAACTTTAAAATACTGAAAATATTTAGCGCTTGAATAACAAAATATTTTCTTCAACCCCAAAAAATTATAGTCAGTTCCACAGTTGCAATGATACAGGATTAAAGAAAGATTCATTAAATTAAGACCAAACTCACGAAGATTAAAATACTAAATAACCAAAAGATATATTTAAATTCTAAGTGATGAATGAAAAAGATAGAATCACAGAAATAGAAGAAAAGTCAATTGAAGGAGATATATACTCTTCAATTTAGAAAAATTATTTTGCAAAAGTAGATGGATAATAAGAAATTTCACCAAACTAAAATAATAAAAAAATGTAAGAGTAATAATAAAATTTTAAAAGTTTAAAATAATTGCCAAAAAAATCTATATCAAATATAAATAAATTCTAGTATTCTAAAACCACGGGGATAGCATCTTCCCTTTCTATACCTTTTAATATTTAAAACTCTTAGAGATCTTTTACATATTCATATAGCGGAAATGAAAGAAAATTTATTTCTAAAATAAACTAAAAGAATGAAACAAAAGAAACAATCTTTAATTAGACTCCAAATTAATTAGTTAAAAGCAATAGTTAGAATTATTTTACAAGTACAACATTGAGAGATATACATATATTATATTAGTATATATGCAATATATAGAAAAATGGTTATCTCTTGGAGTCAAGAATCAATGATTTGATAGACTATTCTACGCTTTTAAATAAAAATGATCTCAGCTTGAATTGTACATAATTTGACCTAATGGAAATCCTCACTGAAATGAGAGAGCTTTTCGAGCTTCAAGCAAAAAAGAAGAACTGTAAGCTAATCATTCCAAATTTAAAGCTTGATTTGAAAAATGATAAGCCAAGAATAAAACAAATTCTTATTAATATCATTGGAAACGCTATTAAATTCACATTCGAAGGATTTGTAAGGATTATAGTCTAAAACTGTGAATCTCCATCAAACCTAATATAAATAATTGTTTAAGATACAGGAATAGGAATTCCTGATTCAATTAAAAAAAATATTTTAAATTTTGCTGCCCATATTTAATAAGTAAAAGATGACAACAGGCAAGGTAAACATTTTTATATTTTTTATTAAAATGATTTTTAATATGATATTTTTAACTTTACTTTTATTAAATTTCATTTTAATTTGTTTGATATAAATAAATAGGAGTTGGAATCGGTCTAGAAATTTGTTCAAGACTCTGTTAAATTATAGGACCTCTAGATTAGGAAATATAGGTAGAGTCTAAAGTTAATATTGGAAGTAGTTTTTCATTTTTAATCTACTTAAATCATCCACTCTACATAGAGGAAAGAGATTTATCCTCAAATCATTATAATCAAAAGAGAAGAAGGAGATAACAAATTTCATACACAACAATTAGATCAGAAATAGAGCACGAAAATAATATTTAAATTCCTTTGTTTGAAACGAAGCACAACTTATTAGCTAAAAAATAATCACCATAAAGTTAGAATTTAGATTAAGCCCCATAGAACAGCAAAGATTAAATATAGGAAATTGGAGAGACTCAAATTAAACACTTAGAAAGCAGCAATACTTCAATACTTGTGAAAAAAGAAGCTAATATATTAAATGATTAAAATGATACAATATTAATTGTTGATGACGTGGCTTTTAATCTTATAGCGCTTAGAAATACTTTAAAATTAATATATCCTAATTTAAATATATTAGAAGCCTAAAATGGCAAATAAGCTGTAGAGATAGTGCATGAGTATAATGGAAAGATTGATTTGATAATCATGGATATTAATATGCCTATCATGGATGGGTTTTAAGCCATTTCTATTATAAATTAAGAAATCAAAGATTAAGTTTTAGAATACGTACCAATAATAGCTCATACAGCTTTTGATAATAATGAAGATAAATAAAAATGCTTTTAACTTGGTGCAAAAGGATTCTTACCTAAACCAGTGAAAAAAATAGAATTAGAAAAGTCAGTTCGTGCATTTTTAAGCCCTCAATCTTAATAAATTTGATATAAAAGATTTTTTTCTAAAATATTTAATCATAAAGTGGTTTAATCATTTTCTTTTATATCTAAATTAATTTTTATTACTAATTTATAAAATATTAAATTTATATTTTTAATAAACAAATATATAAAGAATTTTGATGTTAATAAAATTAATATGTGTGTATTCAATTAAAAAGTTTAATCTTTTCTTTTATATCTAAATTAATTTTTATTACTAATTTATAAAATATTAAATTTATATTTTAATAAACAAATATATAAAGAATTTTGATGTTAATAAAATTAATATGTGTGTATTCAATTAAAAAGTTTAATCTTTAAATTATGTTGAATTTCTCACTCAAGATTTTCAAATATGTTTTTTTAATCTTTAATATATTTGATGAAATAAATACTAAATAATGAAATTATTCATTTTAAATTTTTATAGTTACTTGAACTATTAACTTATTATCTTTGGTTAAGTTTAACAGATTTTTGAAAATTAAAATTCATTTTTATTCTATTTATATTTAAAAATTCTTATTAAACATACTTTTTTTTATTGATTTAAGTTATAATTTATCAATAATTACTTACAAAAACAAAAACAAATATTATATTATTTAGAATTAGTTAATCAAAAATAATCAAATCAAGCAACTTGATTATAAATGTTAATACTCTGTGATTTTACATGATGTTACCTGGTTTTCGGACTGTTAAATTTTAAAGAAGATATCGAATGCTCTCTTTGCATTTAATACATTTTATGTAGGAGATGAGTGCTATTTTCTGAATTCAGCTTTGATTAAACTACTTAGCTTTGAAATAGCTATAACTTACTGCTAGGTTTTATAGAGCTTTATGAAGAGTGATGTTTCCTTAAAATTATTTGTTAATCTATACCTGGTAAATTATTTTTAGATAAATACCTCTTTTATTCGCATTCCAGAATAAAATCAAATAAAACTCCATTATTAGAACTATTTTAAGAAGGCTATTTACTTTGATGCTTTTTAATAAGAGAATGCATTGATTGGTTACTATTATTTTAAAAATTAATGCTTTGAGATTGATAATTCTAAGTTGCTTAGCTAAAACTATTTAACTATGGTTTAAAATAATATTTTTAGCTGGCATCATCCTTTACAAAATCAGAATTTTGAAAATTGTATTATGATGCAGGACTAATATTTAAAGATCGTTTTCTGGAGTGCTTATTAGAACTAGATGAAGGCGAATCACGTCTACCTACTCCATGATTGACTAAAAACATTTTCTTTTTTAAAGCTTCCATTTTTTAGCCATAATCTATTTCATTTGTTTCTCCTAAATTAAGAGATTTTGTTAGGGGTGCACTTTTTTCCTATTTTTTTTTTTATTAGTTACCCGTGTTGCTGGGCTCACTTGAGGCTATATTATTACTAATATTGTTACTCTTTTAACTTGTGTTTGATATAAGCATATTAGATTTTGATGGAGATTTTAGACGATCTTCTTAAGCTACTATAGACATTTTAAGGAAGTTGTCTCTTTAAAGGTATCCAAGAGGTTTATTTTATTTCATTTTTTTATCAATTTCTTCTTTTTCTTTATCCATTTTTATGTCATGAGTAGCAAATATAGTGATAGCACCCATTATATTTTTATTTTGCTGTTAAATTTAATTGCTATTCTCTTCATCTTTTGGTATATCAGCAATTTTGTTTACATTAGGAGAGGTATTCGGGCTCGCATTTTAAATTTTATGAGCTACTGTTTTATTTGGGCTTTTTATTTAGTTAATTTGGATATCTCCTTATTATTGTTAGTTAGTCATATTGTTTAGTCCTACTTCATTCTAATTTTATTGGTTTTAGATTCCTTAACTAATATTTTTTTGGAATTTATGTTTTCTTTCGCTTGTTGTAGCATTTGCTTTTTGTAGAGAATTTAAAAACTTAAGTTTGATTTTGTTAAATAAAGGAGCTAGATTGTTTATAGCTTGCATCTCTTTTGCTTTAGCGATTTATTCACGTCTTTCCAATAACTTTTCTACTAGCATAATTCTATCTTTAACATTTGGAATCATAAGCAATGCTTAATTTATTTATTCTTTATTATTCATATCTCTTATTGAATTAAATGCTTTGAGTATTTAAGCTTGACTACTCATTTTTCTTTCCTAAAGCAACTTTTTTGTGAAATTTTATTGAACTAAGATACTTTTGCATTTTTGCAGATGATTTAAACTTTTATTTTAATCATGCGTTATTATATTATCTTAGATTACATCATCTTAATTTGATAAAAATGACGAATTAGGAGACACAGATCTAGATGATTTTATAAGTTCATCATATGCTTAAAAACTCAGTTTATAGTTTTGCGGATTTGAATTAATCATCAACTAATCTTCAGGTAAATTTGGTATTTTAAAATATTACAAAAATAAATAAAAATTGCTAAATTTGATTTATGTTAAACTATTTCATATACCAAAAAATTAATATAAACTTTTAAAATAACTTAATTAAATATCAGGTTTTAATTTTTTTAATTAAAATTAATCATCAATCAATCTTATCATCCAAAAAAAAAAAAAACTTAGTTTATGTATGTAAAAATGAATGAATGTTGTATTAATCAATCAATGGATAAATTTTAATTATTAAAATTTTTTTGTAAGCTTTTTGTTAAATTGAATTTTTTATTTTAATTTAGAGCTTTAAAAGTGAATGAACGAATGTACAAAACGAATGCAAAATTAAATGTACTGTTAATAAATTTAGCAATTGTTTATTTTTTAATTTATCAAATATATAAGCCATCAGGTGTATCACCTTTCTTTAAGTAAAGAACTTTATCCTTGGCTTTGGTAAAATCATCAAGGGTTACTTTCATACGTCTCTCTCTCAAAGCTAAGAGACCTGCTTCGGTGCACATAGCTTTAATATCAGCACCACTTAAATCGTCTTTAACGTGAACAAAAGTATCAAAGTTGACCTCTTCACCAAGAGCCATCTTAGAAGTATGGATTTCAAAAATTTTCTTCTTAGTTTTCATGTCAGGTACTGGGAATTCAATCTTTCTATCAATTCTACCAGGTCTAATTAAGGCAGGATCAAGTGATTCAATTTTATTTGTTGCAAGAATAACTTTAACATCAGTTCTACTATCAAAACCATCAAGTTAGTTCAAAAGTTCTAACATTGTTCTTTAAATTTCCTTTTCACCACCACTGCTAGTATTGTATCTATTTTAAAATTATAACAATTAGCTTTATATAATTTCAATTTTTTGGAATTCGAGCATTTATCTTTGATATCATAACAAAAATTATAATTTAAAATATTTAAAATACCTCTTAGAACCTACTGCATCAATTTCATCAATGAAAACTATAGAAGGGGCGTGCTCTTCAGCGACTCTGAAGAGTTCTCTAACGAGCTTAGGACCTTCACCAGCATACTTTTGAATAAGTTCAGAACCAACAATTCTCAAGAAAGTGGCACTTGTTTCATTAGCAACAGCCTTAGCTAGTAAAGTTTTACCTGTACCTGGAGGACCATACATAATGACACCTTTAGGTGGTTTTATACCCATATCTTCATAGATTTCAGGATGAGTTAAAGGTAATTCAACTGCTTCTTTAACTTCTTAAATTTATTATTCGAGACCACCAATATCAGCATAACATTCAAGAGGAGCTTTTTCTACCTGAATAAAAAAATAAATATTGAGTTAATACTTTCTCACTAAATATTATGCAATTAAATGGAAATCTTTTATACATTAATACAAAGACTAATATATTTACCTTCATAACATTGAGCATAGGATCAACTTCATCTTGCATAATACCAACAACTGCCATAGTTCTATTGTTTAAAAGAACAGTAGATCCAGGCTCAAGCTAATCTTTATCAACAAATGAGAGAATATTAGCATAATATTCAGGACCAATAGAAGACACAATAGCATGGTCTTCATCAATGAATTCTTCAAGAGTTCCAATAAGCATAGGGCTTCCTCTCAATTATTCAATCTTCTTTCTTTCTTCCTAAATTTATTCAATAACATTTTTGCTTTTTTCAAATTTGTTTATTTGATTTATTTTATAATTAATTACACTTTCTTATTCATCGTTATCAAGTTCTTCAACAGTTTACTTTTGACTTTCCTAATTTCTAATGAATTCTTATTCCATTAACAAATAATCTTTAATTCTGTCTAATTTCAATTATCTCAATCTGCATTTTGAAATAGGCGTTACTATGTTATTTAAGAAATAAAATTTTAAATTTGCTTTAATTCCTAATTTTTTATCGTTTTAGTAATTTCAATAAAATATTATAGCAAGCAGTACTTGATGGTAATTTGACAGCAGTATCAACACCTTTGTTTTTCTTTTTTTTACCAATTCTAACTGGAGCTGGTTTCTTTTCTCTAGGCACTGTTTTTAAGTAAAAAATTAATAAACTAAATAAAATAATTGCTAATTTTAGAGGCTCATTAAAAATGTATTATTATTGTATGAAGGCCTATGAACTATTATGATAATAAGGAAAACATTTTTATCAATCCTCTAAAATGGAATTAATATGAGAATAAAAGCATACTTTGATCCTTCTTCTTTTAATCTTGTTTATCTTTTTGATTTGGAAGGTTGCCAAAACCACCCAAATTCATACCTCCTTGCTAATTACCCATTTTATTAGATTTTCTTTGCTTAGTTATATGTTTTGCAAATTTTTTATTTAAAGTTCTATCTATCTATTATTGTTATTATCTTGAGTATTATTATCTTTTGATAAATAAACCTCAAAAAGATTTCTTTTTATTTATTTATTTATTTTTTAAAAATAATTATTTCAAATAGGAAAGAAAAATGAATTGAATGCAATTAATTTTCTTTCTTTTTGCTGCTTTACAATATCCATTTAATAGAATTCCTTCATATTAACAAGAAGAGAGAGAGTTAAAAGATCAGAGAATCTCTTAATCTCATCTTAACGTTTTGATATATCTTCATTCGATTCTAATGCTATTTTTTTCTACATGCTAATTCATTATTCTGATTAATTAAAAAAGAAAAATTTTAATTTAATTAAAATATTTTAAATTTTTTTAATAAATTTTTTTATGAAACTGTATTTTTTATTTTAATAAAAAATAGAAATATAAAACAATTATAAATTAATTTTATCTTATTTGGTAATCCAATTTTAAAATTTTAATAAACTGATTACATAAAGGTTAATAAATAGATTAATTGATTGGTAGACAGATAATAAATACTTAATTGTAGTAAAAGTAAAGAATGATTATTTTTATTTTTTGGTTTGAATAATTATTGTTAGTGAGTGATGAGAGAGTTTTGGGAGGGAGAAGGAGTTTGATATTGAAAATATTATTTGATTATTCAGTGCTTATTTCATTTAATGTATTACATTAGAAGCTAATTTCTGCTTTCAGTTTTACTTAAGCAATCCTTTTCAGAAAATTACTGAGAACAGCTTAGACTAAATCTTTAATCTTGATTCTAAAATATTCTTCTATGCAACTCTTCGTCAGCAAAATAAAATTTATTTTTGCGATTCTTAAAGAGCATACACTTTATATTTTCATACCACTTTTTATTTGATGGGTTTGTATTTCTATTTTGAAATATATCTCTTTGCTGTGCAGAAAGCGCAGTGTATAGTGATCCCGTGTCTTAATCGTCTGTACTTTCAAGCTGGTCTTCTGTAATTTCAGGTTATTCATCTTCTTAATCATCATTTATATTTGAATGAGAAAGACGAGCTGTAGATTATGATGTAGAATTAGAGCGAGTTTCAGGATGTTACTTAGATTTAGTTCTGTTAGGAACTTCTGTTACAGGTTAATTTTCATCTATTTCTTCTTTTTTTTGTTTATCAAATTTTCCTTTATACCTCATTTCAAGAGAAGTCAAACCATTAACAAGGATAGTCCTTTGATGAATGATAATGAAGAACAACGGAAAGCAAGTTATAATAAATTAAATTATTAAAATTGAAATACTAATATAAGCAATAATTGGATTAAATAACTATGGGCAAGAATCTATAAATTGATGAGAGTGCTCATCTTCTATATCATCTTACTAGAGCTCTTTTAGAGCAAAAATACACGCAATAAGGATAGAAATCTAAGACAATGCTTATGTTACTAGCATAAAAAAGAAATATCTGTGATTTCTATATTTTAAATGAAATGATTACTGAATATTGACTTTGGGAAAAAAATAGAAAATATTACTTCGCTCCAACACAATTTTTTATGAAGGGACAGTGATGGTCCATAACGGCAACACATCTGTTACAAAAATCACAATGTTTTGATCTAACTGGTTTTATAATACAACATTCTAAACAAAGCTCCTCAAACTCTTTCTTGCATAATAGTAACCAAAAATTATTCACAAAAGTATCTTTTTATGAAGCAGGTTAATTGTTGTTTAAATCAAGTTAATAGCTTTCGTAACCTAATTGTTTAATATAGCCTGGATCGCTTTTATAAGAGCAGAATAAGCAATAGAAAGAACATAAGTAAATACTATAGAAAAAGACTATAAATCCTATAAATAAATCAGTATCTATTAATTAATTAAAAAAATAATATTTAGAATTTGTTTGACTGTTGATAAGTTAGTTGAATTAATAGTTTGTTAGTTTACATGGTAAAATAAAGATGAACCCAATAAATCCTAAAATGTTAATAATTCTGAGAATATAAGAGTATTTATTCATGCCTTTTGTTGGACCTACTCTAGTCTATAATTTTAGTCGGTTAAAAAATTTAATATCTCCCAGTAGAGAAATTAATGAGTCCAAATGATTTATTTTGCTTTCCCATTCCATTATTTAATATTAATCTACAGTTTCTCTTTTTTCTTTTAACTTTTTTTATATTTTTTCTTTCCTCCAAATAGCAAATTAGAGAGGTGTCTAATTCTCATTATTTTTTAATTGTTTATTTGCACCCTGTATTAGCAGAAATTTAACAACTGAATAATCTTTACTACGTATTCCTAAATGTAATGGTGTTTCTTTTGATACAGGATGTTATTCATTAATATCTATTCTCTTTTAATTTTCAAATTCATCCATCTTAAGCAGATATTTCATTATGTGAAGATTTCCTTCAAAGCAAGCAATCTCAAATGTTGAGAGATTTAAACCCTTACTTTATGTCTTTTCAAATATATCTACACCTAGTTGCTGAAGTTTCATCTAATTTTAGAATATTTTGTTAAACAAGCAAAATTAATATATAATTACTTACAATAACTTTAAGAGATCCTCCTCTTGCAGCAGAATGAATAATTTTATCACCTAAATATTTTGTTTTTAATTAGGGTTAAAAATATAGTAGAAAAATTCTATTTATTTTCCATAAAATATTAAATTAATGCAAAATTTTTAGTTAAAGAAAGAAAAATTATTTATATATTAAAATAAGAAGTAAAACAAACAGCGACATTTTTAATTTTAGAAATTCTAAATATAAAATTATTTGAATACCTATTTCATTAATATGAGTATCGTAACGCGCTCCTTTTTCTATCAATTTGAGAGCCATATCCTTTATTTTTAAAAATTTTTAAATAAAATACCGGTTTTTAGACAATATTGATTGATAACATAGTTTAAGCTATGATAGTGATAGTTGAAAATAAAATAAATCTAATAAATTATTTAAAACTACCTAAAATTCATAATATACGGCGTATTATAGAGCATTATATCCTTCCTCACAATTCAAAGCTTTATTGCTATTTATATATTCAATTTTGTCTTCTTATGGAATATCAGCTTATTATAAATAATCTAAGAAAAGATTAAAAGCAAATTCATTATTATCCTTCACTGCTTAAACTAACACTAATAATAAAAATAATTTATATTTAAAATAAATAAAATAATCAAACTATAAATTGCAGTTAATCATTTTAATTAGATTTTATATTGATAGTTTTTATATGTAAATAGGAAAACAAAAACAATCTAAGAATTTACAATTAAATTTTGGAAATTTATTCAAGTTTATGCCTTTATAAACCTTTAAGATTTCAACAATGTAATCTAGTTTAACATTTTATTGATTAGATAGACTTTTTAGAAACTTTATTGCTTCTGAATAATTTTTTGGTAACTGCATCCCAGAAAAACATTCAACAGAGTTTTTAATATTTTTTTCTGGTATCATATTTAGTTAGATGTTTGTTTTTGTTTGGCTTATATTTTTAATTAATATAAAAATTGCTTTTTTATTACTTAGTATTGAATAATCAATCAATCTTTCTTTATTATTGAATTTACCGAATATTTTTTTACTTTATTTATAAATACTGAACTATATATCTATCTATCAATCATATCCTAAAATTAAAATTCTGCTCACACAAAATCACAAAAAAATAAACAAATTATTTAATTAATTAATTTTCAGTTCACTCTTAAAATAGTACTTCAGTTAATAAAGAGATATTCTCTTGTTGAGCACTATGAATTTATATTATTCAATTAAGTGCTTTATCCTATAAAAATTAAAATGAAATTATTAAAATTTTTCTATTCCAAGCTTTATTAGATTAGGGAATTGGCTATTAAGGATATGTAAGAGTATGATAGAAACCAAAACACTTATGAATCTTATAAAATTTAATTTCTTAAGATTAATTTATAATTTATTACATTGATAAACTATTATCATAGATTGGAGTATATTAGAAAAATATATTTTTTAAATAAACATTTTTTAATAAATCTTTTTTAATTTCAAAATACCTAATTACCATTTCTAATTTTTATTCTTAAATATTTATTTATATTTTCTCTTTCTTTAATTTAAAAAAAGTATAAATAACAGAAGTTATATTATACCAAATAACTGATTAATATAATTTAGAAAAGGCATCCGAATAATAAGCAAATAAATAAGTAATCATATAAAAACAAAAAAACAATCTAGCTGAAGCAATTATAAACTTAGTAAGATGATTAAAAGAAGTAATTGGTGTTTTGAACTAGTTTAATATTATAATTAAGTAAGATTTGTAAACGAAAAAGACATAAAATATATTACATTAAAAGGATTATTATATATAAAATATACTATAAATTTAATATTTTGATTTGAGTTTTAGTAAGAGTATGTTTGTGTGTGTGGTATAAGAGGTTTTTTGATTTTGTTATTTATATTTATTAATACTTGTTAAGAAGATCAAAGTTTTTATATTTTATTTTTTTGAAATTCTTTTAACAAAAATTTAAATAAATTAAATCTTAATTATTATTATTCAATAATTAATTAGTGTTTTTTTTATGATCAATTTTATTGAGTTCAAGCAGTGATAATCAATTTTTCAGCTAAAGACAAGGGCTCTGTAAAGTTATGAGACAACTCTTAACCAAAGTTTTCTCTAAGTTGTAACTCTTCAAACACACCTTCAAGAGCAAGAACAAGCTTTTCAACCATATCTTCATTGTGATTAGGAGTAGGAGATATTCTTAATAATTCTTGTCCTTTAGGAACGGTTGGATAATTAATAGGTTAGACATAGATATCATATTTTTACATTAAAAGATCACTTGCCATTTTAGCTTTCTTAGCATCACCAATAAAAACTGGAATGATGTGAGATTCATTAGGTAAAATGGGGATGTTTTTATCATTACATCTTTTTTTGATAAGTCTAGCAATAAAATGTAATCTTTCTCTTAATTCATTGTGTTCCTTCACGTATGCAATAGATGTTTTAGCAGCTTGAGCAATGCATGGAGGAATGGAAGTTGTAAATATGAAATTTTAAGCAAAAGATCTAATACAATCTATTAATAAGCTATTACCAGCAATGTATCCACCAACACATCCATAAGCCTATTTTTTAAATTAAAATTTTTAGATATTTTTGTTTTGATTAACTGAAAAGGAAAATAAATTGATGCAAAGTGTAAAGTAAGTAAATAAATAAATAAGTAAATACCTTTCCGAGAGTTCCTGAGAAAATATCGATTTGATCCATAAGACCCATCATTTCTGCAACACCACCACCTCTTTTACCATAAAGACCGATAGCATGGACTTCATCAATAAAGGTTAAAGCATTGTATTTCTTGGCTAATTTGCATACTTCACCAATAGGAGAAATAGTTCCAGACATAGAATAAACTGATTCAAAGATAATGATCTTGTTTCTTTCTAAGGGAAGTTATTTGAGTTTATTTTCTAAGTCTTCCATATCATTGTGTTTCCAAACAACTTTATCAGCCTTACTGTTTCTAATACCTTCAATAATACTAGCATGGTTTTTCTCATCAGATAAATAAATAACATCTTTCAAAACTTTAGTCAAAGCGTTGATAGCTCCTTAATTAGCAACAAAACCACTGCTCATAACGATGGCCTTTTCTTTGAAATGTAAATCAGCGAGCTCACTTTCTAATTAAGTATGATAAATGCTACTACCTCCAATATTTCTAGTACCACCAGCACCAACACCAGTTTCTTTAACTGCATCAATCATGGCTTATCTAACAGTGGGATGTTGACCCATGCCTATTTAATTAATAATATTTTATTTTAATATAATTTAATTGATTTTGAATTAATTATTTTAAAAATATTTAAAAAAATATTTCGGTAGCTTCAAATAGATCAGTTGTGTAGCACTAAAAAGGTGCTATCAAAAAATTTTTTATTTGCAAATAAATCTATTTAGATTAATTTAATAGTAGATATTTGGTTCTCGAAATCAAAGAAGTTTCTATTTAGAAAGATTTATTTCTTTCAAAAAGGAGGAGAGAGCATTGATAAAAAAATTTGACAATTTTAAAATTAAGTAAAATTGTAAACAAGAATGAATAAAATCTTGGATTAAAATTTTAATTTTGTATATTCGTGGTATTAAGAAAATCTTAGTTAATTAATTAATAAATCATGAAGCTTAATTAATCTAAATAGAAAAAATTTATGTGTTTATTGAAGTCATTTATTTCCAAGTATGTAGGGAGGTAGAATAATTTGAATGTGTAATTTAAAATCATACCCAAATAATCATTGGAGCACCAAACAGTGATTTCTTTTGTTTCATTGGTTGCGCTATCAGTGTATAATGCCTTAGGGAAACGGCCAGCGATCTTCTTGATATGATTAAAAACTCTGTATCTTCCTTCAGTTTTTAATCCTTTAATAGCATTAGCAAACTGTTGATCATATTCGTTCAATTCTTTTTCAGAAGTTTCTTGGTTATCTAATTAGATACTCTTGTTTTTCATGATGAAATTCTTCTTTACAGATTGCTCATATTCTTCTTAATTTTTGAGTAACTTGGATGCAGCAGTTTCAGTACTGTTATCAATATTTAATAATCCAACAAAAGGACATTTTTGAGATGATTCCTATAATGTTTTTTCAGTAATTTCGTTAAGAAGAGGAGCTTCATTTGAGTGAAGACAAGCGTTATGGGGACATCCAGTGCACTTCTCTTTCTTTCCTAAGAGCTTTGAGTGATTTATAGGGCACTTAGAGAAGAAAGAAGCAGCGGCGGCGACATGGGTTGTTGTATTTGTAGAAGCACAAGCAGATACTGTTTAACCAGATGCTTCTCTTTCATTCATTTTGTTAGCGTTTTTAAGATGAGGGCAGAGATTTACAAATTTTTTAAGAAAATCGGAGGCTATTTGATTTCTGCTCACATCAATCTTGAAGTGATTATACAAGAAGGGGCATTATTTATTAGCTTAAATGAATTTATTGAGTCCTTTCATTTACAAATAGTTTGACAGAGAGTTATATTAAATTGTGAATTTATAATATCTTTCTTTAATATAAGTTAATTATTTAAATGTCAGTTTTTACTTAAGTAGTATTTTGACCTTATTAAATTTATTGAATTAAAAATTAATTATGGTTTAGTTTTTTGATATGGCTATTTAAATTAATAAAGGTGAGATTTTCTTTTATTCAGATATTTATTTATTTTATCACTTTTATTTACCCGAAATGTGTATGTATATTAATGCAAGTAAAATGAAACATTATATATGATGATGACACTTTGATAATTACTTATACTAAAATGATTAAATTATTTAATAAATTTTAACTGAGTTTTTCTTTTATTACCTAAAACGATAAATCATAACAAAACACGAAAATAATAGTAATACTGATGTACATGCTTATTCAAATTTTCTTGTTGATCATCCTTTTTAATTTATATTTTTATGAGATCATCAAGAGAGATGTCATCATTTGTTTAATCGTCAAATTTATTTTTATTTTTCTGTAGAATAAACCAAGGCTATTCAAATTTTATATTCCTTTACTAACTTTTCCGTCAATTTTTGTTTACTATACAGTGCTTCTTTTTGATCTCCTTTTAATTTAAATATAAAAAATGGCTTTAAAATTTAAAATCAGCATGATTAAATCAACAAATAAAATATTCTTTTAGCATAATTACTTAGTAAACAGCTAAAAGGCCATTCCTCAGTAGTATTAGAATCTCCAAATCAGGTATACTCTGCAAAATATTTAAAATAATCTCAAATTTCTCATTTTTTTTCCTTTGAAAAGTGTAATTCTGATCAATTCTGTTGGGTTACACTCAAGTTGGGATGCTTAAATAAATGGATATTCCTGATCGATTTATTAAATTTAACATTCCTGATCGCATTACTGATGCGAGTAAGTAACAAAAATCTGAAAATCAAATTAAAAAAATCATTTTAAACTTCAAAAATTCAAGTTTATTTTTTCACATTTCTCATACATTTTTTATTTTATTTTTAGAAATCTTGATAAATATTGTATGAATGAAACAAAACAAAGGCTATTACAGCTCATAGCAATTTCAGAAACTAGAATAAATAAAACTTTGTTTACAATAAAGCCAACCCACATTTATACCATTATTTGTAAGTATTTTATGTTTTGTTGCTGATTTAGAGTAGGTGAAAAAAAAGAAAAAGGTATTATCTCTTGAGATATAAAGTAAATAAAAAACTATAAGATCGAAAATTTATTTAGCTTCTTTACAACAAAAGAATAAAATTTAAATAAGAAAGAAAATTCAGAAACTTAAAAATGTTATAAATTTGTTATTAAAAAAATAGATTAAAATATTCATAATATATTTTACATGTAGCTAACTCGTGTTTAAAAATTTCTTATTGATAAAAATGCTTTTAATAAATAAAACTTGAAGTCATTACATAAAACCTTATTAATCAAATATTTATAAGTATTTATTTAAATGCTTATAGTATTTCAAAACATAAAATATATCCATACTTTTATTTAAAGTCTATAGTACAAGCCAGCTATTAATTCACTCGAATTTGTTACCCAAAAATCCTTGTCTATGTACGCTGAATAAAAAAATGTTTAAAATAGAAAAATTTGATAAAAAACTAATTCATTTAAGTCTTTCTCATTTAAACCTTATTTATATTTGGTTTTATATCAAAAAGAAACAAAAAAGAATATTTAGAGAAATTTTTCTATCAAGCTTAATCATATATTAAAAATAATTGTTTCTAAAACCAGAGTCAGAAAAGAGAGAGTTCACCTATTAATTTCTTAATAAAATCTTAACTATTGTAAGTACAGAAATTTACTCACAAATTTATAATTTCCTCTTCACAATTAAAAATTAAATAATCCAAATATTTAGAAGATAAGCAAGTGAATGTAAATTTTGATATAATTTTATATAAAAACCCTATAAAAAATTAATTGTGATTTTACAAATTGCTCTTGACATAAATGAACACTAAAATATGAAAAATTATGTAATTATTATTTTTAAATCTAAATAAAGGAACTAGTATTACTTAATAATGATTCTTAGATAGATCTAATCAATATTTTCTAGTAATTAAGAGTTTGCTTTGTTCCAAATTCCTCTATTATTATCTAACACATGTTAAAATTTTTTAATGCTGGAATAATATGTATGTAAATTGAAAATTGTGACAATTTTAACAATGAGATGATTTTATTTAAAATTAAAACTCCATTTAGTGAATGAAAATTTTATTTTTCATTATTACTTAAAAATATAATTCATTAAATAAATAAATAAATAAATTATGTATAACTATTTAGATTGTTGTTGATTATTCAGACATACTAAAATTTTATAATAAAATAATTTTTAATTGTTGAAAATTGGCTAAAAACTACATTTCTATTTATTAAATTTAATACATGAAAATAAAAATTTGATCTCAAAAATAAAAATCTAATTTTATGAAAAGACTATTTAAATCAATATTTTTGAAAAGCTTAACTACCTAAAATAAAAGATAATTAGTTTAAATTAATCACCCTTTAAAAGAACAAATAAAATATTTCTAATAATCTCAACTTTTTGTTCTTTTAAAAATACATTATTTCCAAAAGAAGTATTTTTAAAATTATTTATATACTTTAACTACTTAAAAAATTATGAAATTTAATTTAAAATTTAAAATTATTTTCATAGAATCATTTTTTTTTATGGTTGAAAAAGTACCTTGCAGGATATACCATTTTAATATCTTTATTATCTTTTCTGTTTTTATAAAATAGCTCATGATACTTTTAAGATAAATCTTTTTTCCCTTACTTTAAAAAGAAAGCAAAAGCATTTTAGATCTAATTTTGATCGTTTTTATTTTTTTCAATGTAGTCAATAAGAAATTTTTCAATTTTTTCTTCATTTTACATATCACAAAAATAAAATTCATATATTTATTGGGCTAAATGCTAGTCATTGCTATTAAATTACAGTGCTTCTTTATAAGCATTTTCTGCTTTATCTAGGCTTTCTATTTCGTTAGTTAAAAATTGGGCATATTTGATCCATTGTTAAACATCGTTCTGGTTTTTTTTCAAATACTTTTCATAAGATTTTTCAATTTCTGTAAATTAACCTGTTATAGTAAGGCACTTAACTAAGTTCTCCAAATGATCTGATGTATTCCTTGTTTCTAATATATCCATTAGCTCTTAATTACATTTTAATTACTATTCAAATGCTTCAGGCAAAAATTTTTTTTTGTAAGAAATATAAACTTCTTTGGCCTTTTTTTCATTTCTAATATTTCTATAGTAACCTATAAGGTCTTCATAATTTTATTGATTGTCTACATCATCAATTTCAATTAGTCTCAGTAAATATTATTCAAGTTTGTCATAATTTTTAGTAATCGCTGAATATAAAGTAATTAAATTCTATCTAGAGGCTTTAAACTGGGGATCACTAGGTTAAACTCTTTTTAATAAACTTTCAGCCTTATCATAATCTTTGAAATTTATAATTGTAAAAGTAGCATAATCATTCAAGTAGTATGCACTTTCAGGATACTTTTAAAGAGCTAACTCATATATTTTTTAGGCCTTTTCATCATCAACCATCTAATCTCTGTAAAAGTCTATTAAAGTTTTCAATATTTGCTCATTTTTGTTATCTTTTTCTAGCATTTCAATCATTTTCTTTTCGATTAAATGTAATTTTTAGTTGATTGTTTAAGTCTCCTCTAATTCATCTTTTAAACTTTTATCATCAGGATTAAGTTCAATTTAGTATTCAATTACTTTTTCTAATTTACTCAACTTATTTTTATTTTTATAAGTAGCTTTAACAAATTCAATTAGTTCCTCATCCATTTCTTTCTTATGCTTCTCAAAGAGTTAGTCACAAATAGCTTCGCATTTCTTAGAGTCTTTTACTTTATTATTATAAAACATAAGGATATTTTTAATGGCTAAGCTCATAACTTCACCTTGACCCTCCTTATCAATTTTCAATACTCTATCATAATATATTGAAGCTTTTTCATAATCTTATTTTACATTATTATAAAAAAACCCAAGATTATTTAATCCCTTTACGTATGTTGGATTTACTTCCACGCTTTTCAAGTAGTATTCTTCTGCTTTTTGGTAATCTTTTTCAAAGTTTCTGTAGTAGTAACCTAGTAATCCATAAGCCTCTTCTTAATTTTAATCATGTTCTATCATTTTAAGTAAAGTTTCTTTAGCTTTTAAAGGCTCAGACAAGTTTTCAAAGTATAACTGAACTATTAATAAGTAACTATAGTAAATACATTTTTTATTAGAAATATAAGACTCGCAAAGAATTAAAGCTTCTTAAAACTTCCCTTCTTATATTAATTTCTTAAATACTCTTTATAAGTTATTTTCACTGAAGTCTTATACCTGCATCTTATCAAGTGAGATTTTATTCAATAATTTTATTAATTTGATATTTTTAAATTAATAAATACTTTATTATTTTTTTGTGAGGGAAATATTAAGTTCTGAATGATATACTTTAGTCACATTAGGTATTTAATTTAAATAAAAATAAAAAATAATTAAATTTTAAGCTTATTATTGAACTTTTGGATCTAAAAGTATTCTATATTTTTTATGTAAAAATAAATAGCAATTCTAAATAAATATAATATCTTGATATATTAAACAAATAAAAAAAATATTGATGATCTTAAAATCACTCAAATAGTTTAAATAATGTCTTTCATTCATTTATATGATTTAAATAAATATTTTTAAATATAATTTATAGGATTCTAAATCATATAGAAATAAGAAAGTTGTGATAAATATTTTAGATTTTAATCAGATTATTGTTTTTGTGGCTATTACAAATTTAAGAGATAATTATTAAAATATTGTTATGATTGATTGATTATTAATTAAAAAGTTTACAATGAGAATTTATACTTTTAACACTTATTATATTCCTCAAGTTGTATTAATTCGAGACTATTTAATTTAAAATATTAACAAATACTTTACTTATAATAAGAAATGATTTTTTTTTAAGTTTAAATTGATCAAAAAGATTGATAAACTTTAATTATAATTTTATTTTTAATATTCTTTATCACTTTTTCTCCTAATCATAGAAATAAGAGGATAATTATTCACAAATTTATTAGATATTTATCAGATTGCTATTGTTGTTTGGTATGTGCGAGATTATCACTTAGCAATTACTTCCATCAATTATTAGCTGTGAATTTATTGGAATATTTGAAATTTCTTTTAATTAGTTTTTAATAGAATCATAAATAATTTGTTTTTTTTCTTTTAATTATTCTGTAAAATGTTCAAAAACCTTTTATTGATATTGAATTGTTTAATTTATTACATCTAATTATCTATTTTCAAAATCTTTTGTTTTTATTCCTTTTATGATAATACTATCCTCACCTACTATCTTTATCTCAAAACCCACATCAATACTTTTTTAAATTTCAAATAGCATTTCATTTCCAAACTATTTCATTTAATTTCCATGCCAAAGTAGCTACCTAAACTCAGGTTTCTCTAAATATTAAATCTCAATTTAATTTAAAGTGTAATATAATTTATCATTGAAGTTGTCTATCTTAAAGTTTTTACTAAAATCTGATATTATACTTTTTCCAAAAAATTAATTTTTTTCTATGATGTTTGTAATGTTGTATTTGTCTTGTAATTTCCAAAATTTATTATGAGCCAGCTTACATTCATTAATTACTTTTATTGACATCTAGTTTGGCAGTATGTTATTTCTCAAACTTTCAAGTTATTTTTCGTTTAAAGGATCCAAAATTCTCCTAATAACAGCTTCTGATGCCCATTATATGCTATCAAGGTTATATCCACCTTCTAAAACAAACAATAAATTAGGAAATATTTATACTAGTCTTGAACTCATATATCTATAAATAATAATAAATATAATTATTTAAAGTAAAAATAGACTTTTGTTTAAATTTTACTCGTATCCTATATTTGTCAATTAGCACCTACCTAGTTTATCGTTAGCTGCTGAATCAAATCCGGCAGAAATAAATATAAAATCTGGCTAAAATTCAGTCAATGCTGGCATTACAATTGATTCAAAAGCATAAATGTATTCATCATCTCCAGCACTTTAAAAATTTGAAGTGTTCCAACCAATATTAATGTTAAATCCATTTCCTACTTTACTTAAATCTCCACTTTAGAAAGGATAAAATTTTCCTATATATTTATAAATAATGCAAATTTAATTTGTTAGATTTATCTCATAATAAATACCTTCATCATACTAATGTATACTTATAAATAACAATTCATGATCATCGTATGTAAGAGCTTGAGTTCCGTCTCCATGATGTACATCAAAATCGAAAATTGCTATTTTTTTGACTGAATATTTTTCTCTTAAATACTTGGCTCCCACAACAACATTGTTAAAGAAACAAAATCCACTACACTACTATGAAGCTCCACTGTGATGTCCAGGCGGTCTTAATTTTAATTTCAAATTTTAAATTATAAATCAAATCCCAATTATTTTCAATATAAAAAAATAAATATTAAACCTAACACAACAAAAAGCAGTATGCCAAGATTTGGATTTGATCAAATCTATTGATTAAATTACAGCACCTGATGACAAAAAAGCACTTTATCCTGTGTACTTATTATAATAACATCCATTTAAAACCATGTTTTCTTTTTCACAGCCTTCAGGCCACATTTCTAATTAAAAAATAAAATATTATATAAAATGATTAAGTAGGAGTTAATATAAATAATTAAAGCAGCATTTTGAAATGATTTATTAATCTAAAAGAAAAAAGAAGATCTAATCAAATAGCTACAACTAATTACATTCTACTAAATCTACATATGAATCTCTGTGCACTTTATTTAAAATATCTTTTTAAATTGGCTCTACCTAGTTAATTACATCTAATTAACTCCATAATCCAGTTTTTTTTAAGTTTTCTATTATTTTTTCTATTCTTTCAGGGCACTCAGGATGAGGAGGCTACTTAGAGAGTTTATGTAAAAGCATTCTTTCATCATATATAAATCCTACTTTTTTATCCTTGGCATCCATCATTTATTTATATTAGCTTGATGTATTATATTTAACAGAAATAAATAATACTATTATTTTGTAATTTTAGCAACCTTTTTTACTTTGTGGATTAAAAACTTGCAGAATTATTGTTAAACAATAATATTTTTTTATAAATAGATATTGTTTGAAATTTAGGTGTATTTATTGTGTTTGTTTATTATTATTTTAAATATCTTTGCTTTGCTAAAAGAATTAAAAATAAATAAATTACTTAGTTATTTAACTAATTAATTAAAACATCTAGGAGAATATACATAAATATATAAAAATTACATTTTTTATTATGGAAGGTTTAGAATTAATCAGCTAAGGAGCAGAAGCAGTAAAATTATACAAATTTTTATCACAGCGTTTTTTCTATTCTTGTTATTTAACTGTTTCAAAATAGAAAGTCTACAAAGTTAAAAATTTTCTAGGAGAGCCTGCAATAATGAAGGAGAAGTTAGTTAAGGCTTATAGACATCCTGATCTTGATCAAAGACTATCAAAAGAGAGAATTACTTTTGTAATATTAATTTTTTTAAAATTAGGTAGGATAAATTTATATCGAATGTTGATAGGAAGTAAGAAATATGATTAGAGCAAGAAAAGCTGGGATAAACACTCCTTATGTTATGCAAACTGATTTCGTTTAGCGTAAAATTTACATGTAATATATTGATGGACTCAAACTTAGAGATTTTTTGTTTCAATACTAAAAAACTGAGAGTAAAAAACTTAATTATTTTATTAGAAGATACATTTATGAAATATACCAAATATTAAAAGATATGACAGAACTTTTAAAGGAAGTTGGAAGAATATTAGCGAAACTACATGACTCTCATATTCTTCATGGAGATTTAACAACATCAAATATTATGGTTACTCATCCAGTAGCAGAAACAACAAAATTATATGGACAAATAGTAAACTTAATAAATTTTAATGAGAGATACTATAAATTCTAATTAGTATTTAATAGATTTTGGTTTGAGCTACATAAAAGATAGCATTGAAGAAAAGGCAGTAGACTTATATGTCTTAGGTATTTAATAGTCTAGGTTATCGATATAAATATTTATTTGTTAAAATATTATAATAGAAAGGGCTTTTATCAGCACTCATCCAGAATTAGAAAATGAAGTATTTATTTTGCCTTATAAATGAAATTTTAATATTGATAAATGTTCTTATAATAAAATAATTTAGTTTTAAGAGCTGCTTTAAGAATATAAAAGAGTATGCAAATAGGGTGATAAAACAATAAAAAAACTTAATGATGGTATGTAAATATTTTTATTATTTAGGTTATCATTTTTTTTTATAAATTAGTTCGCATGAGAGGTAGAAAGAAAGTAGCATTTGGTTGAAAATTAACATTTTTAGCAATAAATAATTACAGATTCAATTAAAAAAAATAACATATTATTTAAAAAATTAGTTAATATTTTATATTTTTGATATTCAATAAATGATTAAATAAATTCAATATTATATTTTTGTAATATTTCAACTTCAAAAATATATAAAGAGACCTCTGAAAATTCAGTGAAAATTTAAAATTATCAAATGAACATTTATCATGATTTATTTAGTTGAACAATAAAGATTTATGAATTTACAAATTAGATTTGGTTTTTAGTAATGTTTAGGTATCCACAAAAGTGTTTATTTATTTATATTTCATTCTTTTATTGTAATGTAATTTATTCTATTTAAAGATTATTTACTCCGATTTAATTTGATTACATTTTTTTTAAATGCATTATTTTTATTATTTTAATTTTATTCAAACTTTATCAAAAATTAAATAAATAAATAGAAATCAGTATCTAAAATAAAATAGGATATTTAATTTATTTTTTTATAGAATGTTGAGAAGTGAACGAATGGGATGCTATTAAGTAATAGTATCCAGGGAATTAGCATGGGAAATGATAAATATGTTAGGAGAATTAGGTGACGACATGGTAGAGTTTATAGATTCAAACAAAGATTAAAATTCAGCAAATCGATTGTTTTCTCGCTTTATTAAGAAATGTGAAGAGATATAAACTAATTTAGCAAAGATTAAGCAACTTCTTAAGGATTATAATTTTCATATTTAGCATTGTGAAGACGTTGAGGAGTTCTTGATTTAGCTAAGAGAATTTCTAAGCACACGTGATAGAATTGAAAAAACATATATAGATGACATAAATTAGGAAATCGAGAGCTTCACAAAATAAATATTTAGAAACGCAGCATAAGTAGAAGAGTTAGAAAAAAAGTATCAAGATTTAAAAGAATAAAGCTCTACCTATTTATTTTACAAGGATAGATTTATAAGTTCTCTTTACTACTAGCATAGGGAAGATCTTGAAAGAAAAAAAAAGTAGAAGCTTTAAAGCTAAATTTAAAATGTTGAAGAAATTGAGTAAGAAACAGTAGTTGTGCTATCGTCTAAGCCAGTTTCAAGGAGATAGCAACCAATACAATAAAAACATAGAAACGAAGAAGATGCTGATTGGGAAGATTAGTTCTTAACTAGATAATTTACAACTGTTATAGGAACAGTAAAAACAGAAGATATTTATAGATTTATACGTTCTATATACAGATTGACAAAAGGGAATTTTTGGAATATTTAAAAAGTTCATGCAGAATTTCCTGATAGGACAATATTTATTTTGTTTTTTCCAGTAGCAAGTATCCAAAATTCTTATTTAATAGGAAAAATCAATAAAATTTTGGATGTATTTAATGCTAAAATGTAATATAAATTTGATAAATACACCAAACAAATATTCTATTTTAACAAAAAGATTTAAATCGATTATTAATAAAGATGAGATAGATTTAAAAATTCTACAGATAGAACAAGATAAGACTGATGTCTTGAGAGTAAAATTATTATTTTAATATATGTAACTAAAATATTAAATACTTTTTACAGGTTATCAATTTAGCCAAAAAATAACTCTATTCTGATTTGGAAGAATGGAGTCTACCGAGAAAAGGTTTAAACTGCTCTAAAATAGTTGAAATGCAGCTATTTGTAGAAAAAGAGAGGTCAATATTTGTATAACTTAACAATTTGAAACCTCGAAAGCATGTATTTATAGGCAGACTATGGTGTCCTAAAGTATACTAAGAGTAGCTTTTATAAACACAAGTTAAATTATCTTTGAAATACCCAAATTAGGGATAATCATAAATTATAGAATGTGAAATTAATGATGATGATGTTCCTCCAACCTTATTTAAACTTAACTCTTTTACTGCTCCATTTTAGGTAAATACTTGAATCATTTTTGTATTCTAATTTTTTTCAATTAGCAAATAGTCAATACTTATGGCATTCCAAGATATAAAGAAATAAATCCAGGTATTTATTGCATAGTAATGTTTTCTTTGTAGTTTGGAATCATGTTTGGAGATATTGGTCATGGAGGGTTTCTTTTCTTATTTGGGCTCTACCTTTGCATAAATCACAAAAAAAATCCCTTTGATACACGCAGAGATTTAAATGTCTTATACTCTGTCAGATATGTTGTACTTTTATTAGGATTTTTTGCTCTCTATAGTGGACTTATATACAATGACTTTTTCTCACTTCCAATTTATTTGTTTCACAAATCCTGCTACGTTAATCAAAGAGTAATAAATAGATCAATCAATTTTATTAAAATATCTCCAATTTAATTAGAATTTATAAAATTCTCAAATTAATCGAAAATTTTGTTTAAAAAGGATGAAAATGGAGAACTAGAATATGTAAAAAAGCCTAACTGTACTTATCCTTTTGGTTTTGACCCTAAGTGGTACATCGCCTAAAATGAATTAACATTTTTTAATTCTTTTAAAATGAAACTCGCAGTTATAATAGGTAAAATTTTTTGATATTTCTATTTACTTTTAACTTAAGTGTTGTAATTTTTGATAAAATAGGAGTTATATAAATGACTTTTGGAATCATTTTGAAAGGGTTTAATAATAAGTATTTTGGATAATGGATTGATTTTTTCTTTGAATTCATACCGTAGTTAGTTTTTATGGTCACTACATTCGGGTACATGATATTTATGATAGTTATAAAGTGGAATATAAACTATTAGTAAGATACAAGCTAAGCACCTTCAATAATTAATCTTATGATTAATCTACCTCTTAAATTAGGAATGATACCAGATGGAAAAAGTTTATGGAATCAAGAAAACCAAGAATATTTACAATAAAATCTATTATATATTTCAGTGTGCATGGTTCCTTTAATGCTTTTCCCAAAGCCCTTTCTTCTTTACTTAAAAAATAGAAAAAATAATAAAAGGACATATGTAGTTAAAAAAGGAAGTTTAAATGAGAAACTCATACCATAATTATAAAAAAATCAAAATAGTGATGTAATAAGTTTAATTATTTAAAATAACAACTTTTTATACAAACTCATATTTAAATATATTACAGGATGATTTTATTTAGGAATTAAGAAAATCCTAAATAGAAAAAGAGGAGACAATAAAAAAATAATTTTTAAAAGAAAACAGTATTCAAGAAAGTATGGATTTCGACTAATTTGAATCTATAACAAAAGATAAACATGAATTTGATTTTTCTGAAGTATTTGTTCATTAAGTTATTGAAACCATAGAATTTGTATTGGGTAAATAAATAAATGAAAATTAAATTTGTATCTTAAAATATTAAAATAATTTAATTTACAGGATCTATAAGCAGTACAGCAAGTTATCTTCGTCTCTGGGCCTTATCCCTTGCTCATAGTTAGTTGTCTAAAGTATTTTTTGAAAAAACTATAGGCTCAGGAATAATTGAAGGAAATTCTCTCTAAATTTTAATAGGTTGGTTTGTATTTGTGCATATCACGGTATTTGTATTAATGAGTATGGATCTTATGGAGTGTTTTCTACATGCAATAAGACTTTAATGGTAATAAATTAATTATGAAATTATAAATTAAAAAATTTTAATAATTTTGAAATAGGGTTGAGTTTTAAGGAAAGTTCTATAAAGCAGATGGTGTATGGTTTAACTCATTTAGTTTCTTAGGTAATTTAAGATAGTTTAATGTGGACTTAAGCAATGGTATAAAATGAAATATTTATAAATAAATATTATAAAAATATTATTTAATTTATTTAAATTATTAAAAAAATAATTAAAATGTATTTATTTCAAAGATTATTGTAAAAAATGTAATAAATTTTATGATTAATTGATATTTACTTGTTTTTGATTTTGAATATGTGAATAATAAAACAAAAAATTGAGTTTTGTATTTTCAGATAATTATTTAATTAAAAAAAACAAAGAAAATTTTCTATTTTGGAGTAAGTTGAAGTGCGAAAGAAACTTTATAAGTACCCATCGGCTTGAGGTAGAGATATGGATTATAGTATACAATTTCAGGACAGCATCAGCATATTCAGTGAAATATACAAACTAACATATTTCGGAAATAATCTCAGTATAAAATAAAGGCCTTAATACTGTTACTTGTTGATCCTCCATATGCTGGAATGCTTTTAACGTTTTTAATACCAGAAAGAGCATGCTAAAATATCTAAAGATATTTATTAAAAAATCGAGAGAGCAAGCTCATAGTTTCCACTTTCTATAATCCAGCTATATCTTTATCTTAAGCCCTTAAAAGTTAATTATAGATGTTAATTACATTTATTTAAATCCCGAAAAACAAGAAAACCCACCAACCATTTTCTTGTTCAAAGCTATCATGCTTTCGCAACCCGATCAATCCTACTAAAAATAAAAAAACTTTTATAATTAACGAAATGAAAAAGTACTTATAAATTGATTCTATCAATCATCCTTCTCCTCTTTTTCTAGTAAAATCATATATTAACTAACATATAAAAAGGAAAAAGCATGAAGATAGGGAGACATTAAAAAAATTAAAAAATATAAAAAATAAGAAAAATAAATAAGAAAAAATATAAAAAAATTAAAGATATTTAAAAAATAATAAAAAATTAAAAAAATTAAAAAATTGAAGAAAAAAAAAACAGTTAAAGAAAAAATTTGAAAATAAAAATTAAGTAAAAAAAACAATAAATAAATTAATAGAATCCAAAATAAAATAAAACACATGAAAAGTAAATTTAATGAAAAAAAAATAAATAAACTAAAACAAATTTAGAAAAATAATATTTGAAATTGAAAACACATTCATAAACACATGCAATAGAGCATTATTTTTAATTTTTGTATAACACCAAAAATATAATCTTTTTTGAATTACATTTTTTTATTTATTTAATTAATGTAAATAAATTTTTTCACAAATTCATATTTTATTTAATCAAATTTATTAAAAGAAATTATTTTTTATGATGATCAATAATTTCATTTTTATAACAATTATAAAAGAAAACAGTAAAGTAAAAATAAAGTAAAATCAAAATTTAATTAAAAGCCTAAATCAAATTTTTAAAAATAATATTTGAAAATTGAAAACAGATTCATAGATTATTTTTATATTAACTTCATAGAAATATTTGTATTTCAATAAAATTTTTTTATTTATTTGATTAAGAATAATACTTTGTAAATTAAAATTATTTCTCAAATTCCTATTTTTTACTTGAATCAAATTACTAAAGCAAAGTATTTGGTTATGATGATATTTAATAATAAAAAAATAATTTATTTTTATTAAAACTATAAGAATAAAAATTAATTTTTTTTCAATTAAATAAATTAAATTTAATCCTAATAAAAACAATTATTTTCAATTATTGTTAAAAAATTCATAAATTAATTGCAATACCAATTTTCATCATTTTAAGTATTAAATTTGAAAATAAAAACGTTTTACAATATTATATATACAGATTCAAAAAGTTTGTATAATAGGAATAAAACAGAATTAGTAAAATAATTTACATCATACAATATAAAATCAAAATTATTTAATTATTATAAAAATATAAATAATTATAAATCTTAATGAAAATTTTCAAACAATAATATTATTATTTTAGTTTTATTTAGAGAAAAACTTTTTGTTAGTGTTGTTGTTCCCATTACTAACAGTACTCTAATTTTACATAGTTGAACGGAATGCAGCATCATTTAGTTAATATGAACTATTTGGGGCAGAGGGATCCAAATTTAAAGAAACCACATTACTTTAAGGTCTGTAAGTATTGTTATTTGATTTTGGTTTTACCATATCTAGATTGTGAACTACACCTTAAGTATCATCATTATGCATTTCGCTTTACATTACAGGAGTTGCTACATTTCTACTTTATAAAGTTAAATTTCCTGTATTTGCTAGTACTGATAAACCTCCTGTTTATTATTACCCCTTCCTTATTGGGGATTATTACATAGTGGAGGCATTTTAAAATGAAGAAGATGTTAAACGATTTTATTACAATTAGCTTAATGGATGATTTGCAGCTTTGTTCTAAAATACAATTGAGTTATTGAGGTTATTTCTATTCTTATTTTAGGCTACATCGTCATCAAATAAATTATTAACAGGTGTATGCTCTATAGTTTATTTTCTTTCAATATAATTATTTTTTTTAGGTGAAACAATTGAGGATCTCATTGGTGAGCTAGGAGACTGATCTTAGCCATCAAAATCATCTCTATAATTTTAAATTTTTTAATTTAAAGTAGGTTACCTATTAATCTAATTTCCTTGTGTATTATAGATATCTCTTTAATACTAATATTCGATATCTGTTTTAACATCCGAGTTTTAGTTTTGTTAATATATTTAATTTTAATTACCATTATTATTTAAAACTTCTTTTAAAGGCACTACTTAATTATTATTATTGCTAGTTATTTATTGTCCTTGATTTGGAAACGAAGCAGTTTTTTATGAATTATATTAAGCATTTTAAATTATTTATGAATTTTACATAGTAATAGAGTTTTGCTTATATAAAACTTAATTATTAGAAGAATTAACATTGTTTACATTCTAGTTAGGAAAAGGAGCTACTTAAGCACTCTAAGCAGACATGCTATTTTATTTTTAAATAACTGAAATAACAGGTTAAGAAGATTATTAGTTAGAAGTTGCAGCTGGAAGAGCGTTCATCTAAGTATGAAGAGGCTGGATAAAGCTGTTCTTTTTAACAAAGGTCTAATTTTACTATGTCTAATAAACTTAAGGTGGTTATTATTGAATTACTTATTCCTGTTAATAGAGCTATTGATTTTGAATCATTGACTGCTAGTGATCCTATCTAATGATACTAGATTAATCATGGGCAATAGATTAATTATGGGGATCTTAAATAATTGAAGTTGCATACACATGCTACCTTTCTTAATCGATTGTTTTTACTCCTGAGAATAATCTTACATCATCTCTGTCCAAAAAAGTTTTTAACTTCATTAAAAATAGCAATATAATCATTTGTAGAATGCTGATGGTAAAATCACCACCTAAAAATAAGTTGCTTAACGGATAGAGCTTTTGACTTGCAATCTAGAAGCAGCTTTATTATGAGTTAGGTTATCCTCTATTGACCTAATTTTAAAAAATAAATATGTTAACTTTAATCTATAAAAATGATTTATTTAATATTTAATCGAAATTAAAATATTTAAATTGAGGTAAAGTTGCTATAATTAATCAATAAACAGCATTTATTAAATAGTAACCATTCAATTTGTTGCTTGGCTATAAATTTTTAATGTTAATATTGATGTAAAATTATTCATTTTAAATATAGCATTGAATGCATATTTATATTTATGAAGAAAATAATAATATTTGAATAATTAATTACGTCTGTAAATAGGTACATTTTACTGACAGAGCATATTCCTGCGCATTTCCATGATGATTCAAGATTTTGTAATAAATTGACAGTGCTTTGAGACAGAGGAGTATACTATTTACATCCTAATGCATTTATAGGACCTGATGGATCAAAATATCCTGCTAATGGATAACTCGATTAAGACTAAGATGAATAATCACATGGACAGTTACCAGAACAAAAATTAGCTTAGGCAGTTTATGAAGCATCTAAAACAGATGATGGCCATATTTTTTAGTAAACCTAGCTGCAAGAATAGGATACAGAACTTGATTGATCTATTGTTTAGATTATTATACCTCCAGCTAATGAGCAAGCTAAAAAGACAAATACAAAGAAAAGAGTGAGCTCTACTTTAATACCAAGCTCAAAATTTTTCATCATTAGCTGAATAAAAGCAAAAAGGGCAAGTCCAAAAATAAAAACGCACAAAATAATATCTGTAATAAAAAGTGCATATGTTTCCGTTGGTTGGCTACCCATCCAACTGCTTCCATCATAGCATGCTCCAACAATACTTAAGATAAATCCTATTAGTGCACCCAACATAATGAAAATCAGTAAAAATTTTATTATTGGGACAATTTGAGTTGGAGCGCATCCACATAATTCTTGATAAACTTTTTAATCGAATCGAGGGTTAGATTTTCCATAGTCAGAGTGTGCTTGTGTGTGATTTAGCATATAATTATTTTGGGACATTTTAAGTGGGTTTGCTTAGCTTTGATTTAAAATAGTAGTATTCATATTAATGTAACTAAGAATCAATGAGTGCGATAATAATTTAGTTTTAGTAGTAGAGGTGTAATAATATGTAGCACTTAAATATTTTAAGAAACTCTGTCAAATTTAGTTTGTTTGAGTGTTAGTAATTAGTTTATGGCTAGTAAATTTTAGGGATGATAAACAAACAAACCTTTTTATTTATTTATTTATTTATTTATGGATATATATTACTAAAATATTAAATATTTAACAAATATTTATATTTCAGGTAGTAAATAATTTATTAATTTGTTTGTCTTTTGATTTTTCTTTTTTTGTTTTTATTTATTTACCAATCATAATCCTAATAAGTAAATTTACAATTAATCAACCAACTATATTTTTCTTATTTATTAATAAAAGTCAAGTTTGTTATGCTTGCTATTTTGCAACCCAAACATACATTTATTCATCTTTCCATGAAATTTTTATTTAACTATTGGTTGGTAAAATTTTCTTTATAAATATATTACATCAATAGTCTTAACAAAAAAGATTTATTAATGTGGTTGTTTACCACTCGTTGTTAAATTTATAATATTACTTTTTCATTAAAGGATTTTGGTGGTTGATTATCAAATTCATTTTTTAATTCTTTGCAAATAATTTAATTTAAATATTTATCTAAAAATTTTATTCTTACTCTATCTCTCAAATTATCTATTCAAATAAAATTATTTTTAAATTAATTTATTAATTAATTCATTAATTCCATTAATTTTTCAAGAATTTATTTTTTTTATTAAAATTTAATTTTTTAAATTATTTATCTTCTGCATATTTTAAAGTAAATTTAAGATAATTTAATCTTCTAGGATATAACTTAGAGTAAATATTTTACAGCCTTAAAAAAAATTAATTAATCAGTGAATTTTAAATTAAAATTTTGGTGTATTTTACTTTTTTTAAGTTTTTTGAAAAAAATATCAGGATTGATTATATAAATCATTTTAAAATTATTTATTTTTAACTTAGTTTGTTTAAAGTAAGACTATAGTATCAATCTAGCATACTAGGATATTATATATCAAAGGGTTTTCAATATTAAAAAACAAAATAAAGACAACAAGTTTGAAATTAAAAATATAATTTGTTTTAGTTTTATTTAATTTAATGAAAAAATATTAGAATCTGTTAATTAAGTAAAATTTATTGTTTGTATTGTTTAAAGATAATATAATCATCCTTCTAAAATATCCATAAAAATAAAATGAAGGTCTTTTATACACTTAAAAGTAAATTTAATAATTAATTAATTTTAAATTAAAAATACTTTTTATTTTGGTTTATGAGAAAAAATCAGAATTTTTTTAGAGTTTTAAATTTTTAAATTTAAACTGAATAAATTTTTTTAATTTAAAAATAATATTTTTATGAATTTTTATTAAAATAATAAATTAATTAAGTGAAATTTTTTTGAATAAATATTTTATCATTTTAGTTTATACAATAATTTAGAAAAGTAAATATTATTTTCTATTATAAATCATTCATTAATATGTTTCAAGGAAAACCTTTGAATATTTATTTAATCCTTTGAAATAGTTAACCATAGTTTAGTCTCTGTCAACAAAACAGAGATCAATACAATTAAGTCCGTCTTTATTTTTGATTCTAGCATCAGATCCATAATCATCTAAGATATAGCACATGTCTAAATCTTTATTTAAAGTTGCAAAATGCAGAGGAGTATTACCAAACTTATCTTAGATGTTTGGCTTTGCTCCTTTTAATAGAAGATATCTTGCACACTCATATTTTTTTTCAATAACAGCATAGTGGAGAGGAGTTTGCTAGTTAGAATTATCAGGTAAATTTACAAATGAAGGATTCTTTTCTAAAAGATAATCCAATACATCAGTAGATTCTAATTAAGCTGCAAGATGAATAGGATCTAAATCAGGTTTTGAATTTCTAACTTATGTAAGTGTCTTTTCAAATAATTTAATTATTTCTATATTACCAGTAACTGTAGCTTCGTGAATTGGATAAAGTCCATTATTATTTTTAACTAAATCATTAGCTCCTTTAGATAAGAAATATTCAATTATTTCAGGAGATTATTTTACAATTGCATAGAAAAGAGGAGTGTCACCATCTTTATTACAAGCGTTCACATCAGAGTTATTTTCAAGGGCAAATTTAACAGCTTCTAAATTACGGTAAAAGGCAGCAATATGTAATAAAGTATTGCCATCTTCGTTTGGTGCAAATATGTTAGCACCAAATTATTAAAGGAATAAAGACATATCTGTAATATTGTTTAAAATTGCAAATGTAGTAGGACTTAATTTTGATGGATTTGAAGTATCATTCAGAACCTTCTCTTTATAATTTATCTTACTTAAAAGTTTTTCAATAGCAACTTTATTTTGCTCACTAATCATAAGGAATAGGAGTCCATATTCATTTATTTTAATGTATTCATATTATTTGAATGTTTTTAATTTAGTAGGAATCTTATCATATTTCTCTTTGTTGTAAATACGTAAAATTTAATCTGTTTTATACACACTCCAATAATGCTTAAGAGAGTCTTTAAAGCTTTAAGTGAATCTTTATATCATTAGTTTATGCCGGATGCTTGCTTTATATTATATTCCTAAATACTTTAAAAAGTCTTCTTTATTAAAATAACAGAGTATCTTTTAAAAGAGTTAATATTCCACAAAGTTATTAATTTTACTTTTTTCAAGAAAAATCTATAGAAAAAAGAATCTTTACTCATCATTCTTAACATTAAGAGATAAATAGATCAATTACTGTGTCAAGTATATGTCTCGATAAATTTTATTTGATATTTAGCATCAAAAATATTTATTTTACTCATGAATGTATCATTGAGAATTTTTTCAAGCTAAACTCAATTAAAATTATTTTTAGTTTATTTATTATATTTGTAGATAAAATTGAACAAAAATTTGATCTGATTTAAATTTACTTTAAAATTTATATAATTTATCTGTTTCCACAATAAAATATTTATTTTTATAAATTTGATAAATAACTCCATTATTTAAGCGTTATTTAAATCATTTTAGATAACTAAAATAATTTATTCTGATAAAAAATTGTACTATTTTCTTTATAATTATGAAATACAGCAAACATTTAAACTTAATTTTATATTTATACTTGGAATTCTACATTTAATACAATTTATAAGTTGAAAACACAAAATAATTATTTTTATACTATATAAACACCCATATACACTCAAATTTTTGGTAAAGTAAGATAATATCATAGAATATTTAAAGGTTTTGTTTACTTATTAAATAAATAACATGTTTAATAAAAACTATTTAAGCTAATATTTTTTATTTTATCTATAAATATTACGTTTAAATACTTTTGTTAATTCATAATGGTCTAAAGAAACAATTTTATGAAAAATAACAATTCCTTTTAGCAAAAGTAATTTAATAATACTTTTGATATAGTTGTGGATTATATAATTCCTGTATTAGATATTCTTTAATGTTAGAAATCCATTAGCGCTTTCTTTTGTTTAGTAGAATTTTAATAAATTTTGTCTCTTACTAATACTTTCAAAGAGACATAGATAAAAAAATATAATTTTGTTTTCTAAGTATAAAAAAGTATGAGGGAAAAAATACAAATAAAAATAGATTATTGGCTATTGAAAAGAATGAGAATAAAATAATAAAAATATTATAATTCTCTTCCTTTTTATATGCATTTAGATAGTTATAAAGTGACTTTGCTAGCTAGAGTTTTGGTAAAAATAACAAAAAGCTAAATTAATTTTCATTAAATTATTTCTGGAAGATTGAATCAGAAATCTAGAATATTCAAAATTATTATTTAAGTTTTTTATTATTAACTTAAAAGATTTAATAACTTTAATTTGATTCTAAAGTTCTATTTTTATTATATATGGCAAATGCTATTAGTAAATCTCTAAAAATAACCTATTTAAAATATTATTTTTGCTTAAAACTTGCATATTTAGAATATTTATAACATTGATTTTTTTTATCTATTCTCAAATCTTATCTCTCTTTTTTGGTTTTTAGCTAGAAATGAATTTTTGATTGTTTTAATGACATTTTTCCACTTTCTTTAGGTGTTTTTATCATTCAATGTTTGCAAATATAATAACCAATTAAAAATAATAATATTCAATTCTTTTTCTTGCTTTGTTTATAACTAATATGGTATCTAATCCTAATTATTCATTTATAAATAAAGCTATTTAAATTTATTTAAAGAGAAAAGATGGTTGGCTTAAGTTGCTTTCTTGAGTAACAAAGATAATTCTATTGATCAACTATTAACAATTATTAAATTAATCAGGAATAGTCTTGATCTAAAATAATGTGATTTCGATAGGTGGGATAGAATAAGAGCTAATTCAGATTAATTAAGTTTTTAATTGGGCAACTTCATGTGAACGTTTGAAAGATTGGCAAACTTAGTCATAAAAAGACGAGGATCAAACCAATATTACAATATATAATGCTATTCAGATTTTCTATGAGATTCATTTTGTAAGAAAGATAAAGTAAGTTAATTAATTATAAAATAATGTGCATACATATCACCTATATAAAAAATTATTGTAAGGGCATAAATTATAATAGATAAATTTTACAATGAAGAAAGCATAAAGTATAATCGAATCAAAATTAACTAAATATAAAAATGATAATAAATATAAAAATCAATTATATTTAAAAGTAAATTTTTAGAAATGTAATTCAGTACAAGAGTGAGTCGTATATTTAGATAGTTAATTATTTAGTTTATATGTAATGAAATAAGTGGGGGAGAAGATATCTTCATATGATAAATCTAATAATATCTTACATAGCTTTTGATATGAAAATTAATTATTAAATACATGAGAAATATTAAGAAATAGGAATGAATTTTTCTTCAAAGAAAAACAAAGAAACAAAAAGAAATTTCTTTATTTTGATTTACTTTGGCTTTAAAATTTATTTTGAGGTGTTAATCATAAAATAATAATAATTTTCATAAAAATCAAATAAATAAAAATCCAAAAAGGAAAAACTGCAAACAAAATAGCTGTCCTTGAAAAATGTTGTCTAAAATTATTCGTAATAACTCCCTCTACAACACCGTTAAGAAGGGTTTCGCGTAAATAAACTACTTTGCTTTAAGATTTTACTTATTTGACTGAGATTTCTCATTTTTAGATGAAAAATTAAATCTTATGCCAAACTATATTTATTGCTAACCAATATTTTAAACTTTTAAAATTAATTTAATTATTATTAATAATTAGCTCTGGCTCTAATAGCATTATCGGTATTGATTTGGGTACCACTAACTCTTGTGTTGCCATTATGGAAGGTAGCGCCCCTAAGATTATTGAAAATGCTGAAGGTTTCAGAACTACTCCCTCTGTCGTTGCTATCCTTCCCGATGGTTCCAGACTTGTTGGTGCTCCCGCTAAGAGATAGGTAAGCTTTATGACTATACTTTACAAATCTTACTTACTCAATCCTACTTCTACTTTGTAGTTTAACTCAAACATTCAAATGATGGCTTTTTATTTTAAGAAGCTTTACATTTTGCAAATATTTTTCATACCACCTCTTCATAAAAGTTTTCAAATTTTTCATGAAAATGCATTAACTTTGAAACAAGAGTTAAATGGAGACTGAGAAGCCCATCATTATCAACTAACATTACTTAAGTTTCAATAAGTTAAGGAATAAATGGAGCAAGCCAATCCATTTCTTATGGTTTTGAAAACATTTCACCAAAAATTTTCTCATATTTACATTCAAGCAGTAAATAAATGGAATGATTGCAAATAATATAATTCTCTTGACAAAGCTTATCAGCTAGCAAGCAATATAAATAAAAGCATGGCATATAAACATTTAACCTATAGGATAAAATAAAGATGGCATAATAAAGTAAGAGCACTTAATATGATAAGAAAAATAAACATGATGTTTACTTCTTTCATTAAGAAGAAAGATCTAAATAACTAAAATTAATTAGGAATAACAAATAAATAAATAATAGATAGTTTATAATTCAAACAAAGATACTTAAATAATCATTATTAATTAATTAATTAGCATTATGTGGTTAAATTAACAAATGTAGAAGCAAGAATTTAAACATATATTTTCACATTCATTTAATCATTAATTAAAAATCCAAAAATCATATCAATAATATTTTTAATTTAAAATAGGCTGTTACTAACCCTGAAAACACTCTTTATGCCACCAAGAGATTGATCGGTAGAAAGTTCGAAGACCCCATGGTCCAAAAGGATGCTAAGCATTTATCTTACAAGGTTGTTAGAAACTCCAACGGTGACGCTTGGGTTGCTGCTTAAGGTAAGAACTACTCTCCCTCTCAAGTTGGTTCCTTCGTCTTAACCAAGATGAAAGAAACTGCTGAAGCTTATTTGGGCAAGAATGTTAAGTAGGCTGTCGTTACTGTCCCTGCTTATTTCAACGATCAATAAAGATAAGCTACCACTGATGCTGGTAAAATCTCTGGTTTGGAAGTTAAGAGAATCATCAACGAACCTACCGCTGCTGCTTTGGCTTACGGTATGGAAAAGACTGGTGGTAAAGTTGTTGCTGTCTATGACTTAGGTGGTGGTACTTTCGATATTTCTATTTTAGAATTAGCTGATGGTGTCTTCGAAGTCAAGGCTACCAATGGTGATACTTCTTGCGGTGGTGAAGATGTTGATGGTATGATCGCTGAATACATCATCAAGGAATTCAAGTCCCAATCTGGTATTGATATTCACTCTGACAAGATGGCTATCCAAAGAGTCAGAGAAGCTGCTGAAAAGGCCAAATGCGAACTCTCCTCCACCAACACCACTGAAATCAACTTGCCTTACTTGACTGCTGATGCTTCTGGACCCAAGCATTGCAACTTATAAATTACTAGAGCTAAATTCGAAAGCTTGTGCGGTGATTTCTTAAAGAAGACCATCAAGCCCTGCGAAATCTGCTTAAAGGACTCCGGTATTTCCAAGGACAAGATTGACGAAGTCATCTTAGTCGGTGGTTCTACTCGTATTCCCATGGTTCAAAAGCTCGTTGCTGACTTCTTCGGTAAGACCCCCAATAAATCCGTCAATCCCGATGAAGCCGTCGCTGCTGGTGCTGCCATCCAAGGTGCTGTCCTCGAAGGTACCGTTAAGGACGTTATTCTTCTCGACGTTACCCCTCTTACCTTAGGTATTGAAACTTATGGTGGTGTCATGACCAAGATGATTGAAAGAAACACTACCATTCCTACCAGAAAATCCTAAGTTTTCTCTACTGCTGGTGACAACTAAACTGTCGTCTCTATCAGAGTCTTCTAAGGTGAAAGACCCATGGTTAAGGATAACAAGCTCCTCGGTAATTTCGATCTTGCTGATATCCCTCCTGCTCCTAAGGGTGTTCCCCAAATCGAAGTTACTTTCGATATTGATTAATCTGGTATCGTCCACGTCACCGCTAAGGATAAGGGTACTGGTAAACAACAAAACGTCGTTATCCAATCTTCTGGTGGTCTCAGCAAGTCTCAAATCGAAGATATGATTAGAGAAGCTGAAGCTCACAAGGAAGAAGATAACAAGAGAAGAGAACTTGTTGACCTCAAGAATGAAGGTGACAAGGTCTATCACAACACTGAAAAGTCCCTCCAAACTCACAAGAGCAAACTTCCTTCTGAAGTTGTTGCTGAAGTCGAAAAGGAACTTGCTGAACTCAAGACCTCCCTTGACAACTCTAACTTAGGATCTGAAGATGTTGAAAAGCTCAAAACTTAAATTCAAAATGTTAACAATGCTGCCCAAAAGATTGGTGAAGCTATTTACAAGAACTCTGGTGCTTCTGAATCTGAAAATCAATAATAAAACTAAGAACATTAACACGAAGAAGAAAACAAGCGTCAATGAGATGTTTGAATTTCTTAAATAATTTAAAACTTTTTAAAGTGTAATCTAAATTAATAAATTTAATATCTATAAACAAAAATTTTTGTCTAATTGTTCAATACATGTTTAAAACTACCTATTCTTGACATTTCCCTCATTTCTTTTAATTCCTACCATTCCTTATTTACTTAGTTACTTGCATATTTTTCAATTTAATTGGATTTGTTAAAATGAAACTTAATGCAATTAGTTAGGAAATTATAAACAGCTAATTATATTTCTTTTTTATCATATTTAAATAAAATTTATTTAAGAAACTTTATTTCATTGTATTTAGCAAATCGAATAAATCAATATATTCTTTAAATAGATTATATAATTGTTTGATGCTTAATTTTTTATGATATTATCAACACTGATATTCAAAATAAATATCTAAAATTTACATATTAATGATTATATTATTTACTAATAAATTAATTATAAAAAATAATTTGAGATTTGTGGTAATTTTGATCTTTCTAAAATGAATAAGAAAAAAATAAAATAAATATCACTCTTTAAAATACTTTAAAAATCTAATATCAAATTTAGTTATATCGAAAATCTGATATTTATGCATAGTTCTAGTATTTAATTATTGTTTTAGATAGATATTTTGTTTATAAATATAAGTTAAATAAAAAATATTCTGAATGCTTTAGTTTAATTATTTTAAACTTTTTTAGACAATTAAAAATAAAATAAAAAACAATTTTAGTTTATTCATAAAATGAAGACTTAAAATTCATAATAATTTTGGGTATTTAAAAATAAGTAAGCAAAGATGTTTTTATATAAAATAAAGGAATTAAGTTCAATATTTTTTTTAATAATTAATCGAAGTAATATTATTTGTAAATTTGTTAAAAAGTTAATTTATATTATGACTACTAAAACAAATAAGAAATGTATAATACTTTTGAAACAAGAGAATATTAAAGTTTTAAATCATATACTTCATGAAATATTTACAGGGTAGCTTTCGTTTCCAAAATTTATAGTTAGTCTTCTATCACTTTAGTCCCAACTTATATTAACTCTACTACCTTTTTTAAGTAAGGCTTCGTACTCTTATCTTGGTATTTGTATATTTTTGGAAGGAGTGCCATTCATATTTAATATAGAACTAAAGAATCCTGTTGATCCAACTTTCCATATTCTCAGAATGAAATCTTCAGAACTAAAGGAAGCTATGTGCTTTCCACTGTTATCAAAACTAACACTTTTAACCTCACCTACATGACCAGCAAGTACTCTCCATTTAACTGCAGTTCTCAGGTCATAAATAAATATTTGATTTTAGTTTGTTCCTACAGCGAATTTCTAATAATTGATAAAATTTAATTAAAATTATTTATAAAAATAAAACAATTAAGTTACTTGAGACTACTGATGGAAAGATATGCTTGGATAAATTTTAAAGATGGCTTATAAAGCATTTGTTGCAGGTTAATGGCAAATTCTTCTATACTCTGGATTATTAGGATCCAAAGACCTGTTTTAGATTTAAAGATTAGATAAATTAAACCAAGTTTTAATATTAATTTATTAATTACTTTAATATTATTTCAATAAAAATTGGAAGTTTATTTCTAGCACTTTCTGATTAAACTTTTATATAATTTCTAATTATATCTATTATTGAGCATGGGTATAAAGGATGTCTGTCTTTATTTTCTATTTCACGGCTGACTATTTGCAAAAATTCATTTTAGCATACATTTACCAAAGAAATAATTGTCCTAATTTTTTTTTAATTAAAATTTTAATTCTAAAATTTAAAAAGAAATGAAGTTTGTTTTGTACTTTATTGTCATTAATTTCATCCTCTTTCTTATATTTTATGGTTATTTTAAAAATTAATCTAGGTATATTGCTTTTTTAAGTTGAGTTCTGGGTATATCCTTCAAATTTCTTAAGTATTCATTGGAAGTGTTGTAATGGAAGTAAATAAAGATTAAGTTAGAAACTAGATCTCTATAATTATCTATAAAGTCTTTCCATAAGTTAATTCCTATTCATTTAAATTTTAAATTAATTTTTAATTAAACTTTTTATGTTTACCTTCAGTTAGAATCTTCATACATGGAGCCACTAAATTGGGATTTTTTAAACAATTAGTTAATTCAACACCTTTAACTATTCTCTTGATGCACTCAGTCATCTTTTTTGTTTAAATGAAAAAGATTAATAGAATTAATTATTTAAAAATGGAATATAATGAATAGTTACATCTCCAACTTAACTGTTTGAGAAAATGTTAGTGTATGTGATCATCAGCAACCAAGTTATTTCAGAAACTGAGAATTGTATTTCATCTTTTTCTTTCAAATACTGTAGGTTATAATTGAATAATTCTGAACACAATTTAGTATATTGTAAGCTATCTTCATCCTATTTAATATATTTAATTAAAGAAATTATTTCTTAGATTAATAACTACTACCTTATAGACTAATGAGTTGATCATTAAATTTGAAGAAGAGCTCATAACCTCATTCGAATCATCTATGCAAAACCTAGACAAAATTTACAAACTTAAGCTTTTAAAATGAGGGTGAACTCTCTTTTTATTTTTTGTAAACAAATTTGCAACTTCTAACATGCTTTTGTATGTTTCCTAAAAAAAATTTACAAAAAAAAATAATTCAAATTATTGAATTTTTTATCATTTATTTACTTCACTATTTTTGAATACACCTAAAATCATTAAATGCAAAATAATACTTAATGCCTAAATAGAAGACAAATAGCTTGAAGTTGAATATTAGGAATCCTTCTCTAATGAAAAAGAGAAGCATTAACCCATACCAGGTGATCCAATTATGTAATTAAATACAGGCTTTTTATGATTGATATATTTAGCCATGTTGAGATCTGCTTTGTTTCCCCATGGATAAACGAATGGAATGTATGAAAATATCTTTTTTATATGAAATAAATTAATTAAATCTCTTGAAAAATAATATTAATTTTTTACTTGGTGTGCTTCCGGATCATGAGCTGTTTCAAATATATCTACTATTTGTTGATTGTGCTTTTTTACATCTACGAATAAAATATAAGCTTAATTTGAGTAAGTTTGCTATTTCAGCCTATTAAGTTTTAATTTAAGGATACTCATCCCATTTTTGCTATTTCTACTTTGATAGATCATACCTTTTAATTACTTTTTAATTTATTTATTTTTTTAGTTTATCTTTTTTTGATTAAATTTTTACTTAAATCATCCATAGTAAGCTGAGTTACTCTTCTGGTGAATGCTTTTAATCTCTAAGTTCTCCAAGCTATTCATAAATCAATAGTGTGGTTCTTGATTTGTTGGATGATTCATCATTGAAATTTATTGTGTCGTCATAGTGCCTTTAGTTAAACTCTAAAACTGAATGTACTTTAGAAATCGTTTCTTCATGTATCTTTTTATATGTTGAGTATTTATTTAGACCTCTTTGAGTTTAAAAATTATCTTAAATTAGTCCTTCAACATCAAATAAGCTTGAATAGTTGATAAATGTTCCAGTTTTTTCAAATCTTTAGCTGCCCATAGACCTTTTAAAATTTATAAACAGATTAAATTTAATTTTAAATAAATAAGTAAACGCTATATTACCAGAAATTCACTTGCCCTTCGCTTGTAAGAATGATGAAATAATCAGATATGGGATTAAAGTATAATCCATAAATAGAACTTTTATTAGAATTAAGCTTAAAATCAATTTATTTTAGCTTTGTGTTGTAAATGATAACTGAATTATTTGTTAAAATAAAGCAGAGAGTATTTTTAAGATATTTTTGAGAATCTTTGATAACTTCTTAATTAGCAGGATCTTTTAATATACTATTGACAATTTTAGGTTTCATGATATGCTTTATTGGAGCTGAAAATACTTCACTGAACTTAGGAAGAGCAGATAGATCTATTATATTTAATTTCCCTTTAAAGTTGATATCAGGTTTAATAATCTACTCCTCCGAAGATTATAGTTGAAGAACTGCAGATCTACCAGAAGCACTAGAAATGATTAAATAACCTTTCTTATACTCTAAGAAAGTGATTGGGCTTTTGTAGTCGAAATTATAATACAGCATATCAAACATCTCTTTATCGTCTGAATAAAGTAAAGGAATACCTACAACTTTACCACTCTCAGTTCCGAAGAAATAAAAGGGGTTTTTATCATCTAAAAAATCCATAGAACTAATTGTAATTTTTTCATCTCCATATTTTTCTTCAAGATATTATCCATACTTTAAATAGAAGAATTGATTAAAGATTCTGTCTTTGTCTACAAGACGATTTTCGCTGTTAAATAAAGAAATTATTTGCTTTTGCTCTGGTTGAGTAAACAAAAACTAAGTAAAATCTATCTTTTTGTATATACTATCTTAAAGACTATTTTCATTGAATACTATTCTAATATCTGATTGGCAAATCATATTATTTTTATCACTTTCTTCTTAAAGAGGCTTTTATTGTAAAATATTAGTAATGAATAAATGAATTCCTTTAAAAATTTTTATTTACTTCTGAAGCAAAATTAATATATTTTAATTAATAAATTGAGTTCTTGATAATATCAAAGTGCTTTAAAAATGAGTAAGTAGCCATTTGTGACTTCTGTTATTCAAATTAAAATAAAAGGCTGTGATAAGGCTCAAATCCAATAACATCAAACTTTAATTAATTGTCTTTATAATCTTGGTCAATTTAAATTCCCTTCAAAATTTCAACAAGTTGCATGCTTAGCTTTCCTTTTAAAGAGTTTTCCTAATTTTAAATATTGGTTTAGGTCGAACATAAAAGCTAAAACTTTTTACATTTTTAGAATAACTGAATGATGCATAATCAAAAGAATAATCTTTGTCTATTGAAACTACATTAAATTCTGATAGCATTTCTATGTCCTTTAATCCTATTAATTAACATGTGCCATCCTATTTAATATCAAAATTTTAATTTCTTATTCTTATTAATTTGAATAAAATTTAACCTTCAAGGATAACAAAATATATTGTTGCTCATGGTAATATATATACTCTGCGCCATTATAAATATAATTTTTTTCTAATTCTGGATTATCTTTAACTTATTTTGGCAAATCTATCTTATAACTAATTTTTTGTTTAAGTCTTTGATAAGTAGGTGCTGCTTTTTTTCTAGAAGCACCAAAAATAATGTCATCAGTTTTTTAGAAGTGCATTTTTAGATTACTTTAGTTAGATATTGAAAATGGTTATGGTTATGTCTGTTCTGGTTTTTTCTCTTCCTATGGAAGTTCATGAATTAGCCTATAAAGTTCATCAGCTTTTTAAAATAACACTTTTTTAGGATATATAAATAGTATGAAGGGTATATTCTACATAATGAGCATTTTAACAAGTTATTACTTAGAGCTTGTTATTTTCACTTTATTTATAAGCTTACACTTAGCATTTTTAATTTATTTCTCATACTCTATTTAATTTCTTACATACTTACTGTAAACACTATACTCGTTCTACTGGTACTCAGAAATCTTTAGGCAATACAATATATTCTATTAAGTAAAAGTTTATTAAAAACTGTTTATAAATAATAATTTAAAACTTAAAAAATTGTTTGAGTAACTTTAAAACGCAAAAGTAATATTTGCTACCACATTAACAAGCTTTTTAATAAGTTTATAAGTAATTTTTGTATTATTTTATAAGCTTATAAATATTTTTTCTATTATTTAAAATAACACTATCAAACTAAAACATACAAAGAGTAAAATATCTTTTCATTTTTTCTATAACTAAAGTTTATTAAAAATGAAAAATCTCCTAGATGTAAAATAATATATTGATTGTTGAAATTAGTGATAGATTGATCGATAGATAGATAGCAGGTAGAATACCAAAGAAAGCAAAAAATTGAAAACTTAAAATTTACAAATTTTTATTTTTTGAATAAAAAAAGAAAAGATATTATTTTTTAGTTGATATTTACCTAATCGTCTACTACATACATCTCGCTTTTTTCATAAACAACTTATATATCTCTAACCATGGTACTTTTTTCATCAATGCTAAAGCAAGCTACGCTTTTTAATTTCCATACATCAAGTATTTCAACTCCCTTACCATTTCCTATTTAAATACAAAAATAAAAATGAATAAGCAATTTTGATTAAAATGATCAGATTATTAAACATGTTTTATTATCTTTATACTTCTTTGCTTTATTTAATTTAAAATGATTTACCTGCTACTGCAAAAAACCTATTTGAACTAGGAGTTATTGGAACACATAAGTTTATATTAGAGCTTTTAAAAGTTGCATGTGAAGAAATATTAATACATCTACCATCTCTCAAATCCCAAATTCTAACTCTGTTGTCTTGATGAATACTTAAAATGCAGTAATGAGAATTATCCTAATTATTTTAAAGACACAAATTACTTTTATTTATACCTAACAAATGGTCAATATCTTTTAAAAGTTCAAATAATATTGTTTATTCTTTACTAATAATGTATCATTTATTATAAAATCTCTATTTGCATCAATAATAACATTAATTTACAATTTCGTGATTTATGGGATTCTTTATTAACTGCAAACATGTAACTTATCCGACAGTCTATGAAAGACAAGGAGTTAAATACCTTATAGGCTCTAAATATGATGGATGTTCTTTCACTAATGGCGAAGAAGCGCTATTATTTGATTACTCATCTGCTAATCCTTCATGACTATGTATTCTCCAAATAATAATATCACCATTTAAGCCTCCAGTAACTAATCTTCTTTCTTCTGGGATTGAAAGATAATGAGTAACTCTATGGTAGTTAGTCAACTATGTTTTCATGCAAATAGGCAAAAGAAGGTTTGGCATTTCTAACTTTTATTGCTTTTATCTATTAATTAACTATTGAAAACTATTTCTAACTTATAAAATATATCAATATTTGATTAAATAATATTCTTAGGCTATTTATATTTTGATTGATTTTATTTATTACAAATTTAATTTAATTATCAGGATTGTATAAGGGTATTAGATGTATAAATGTGTGTATGTACAAAGGTGCGTACCTTTTATTTATAATAAAATCACAAATAATTAAAAATACAAATAAATATTTTAACTAAAATAATTCAAAAAGTAATCTTTTATATTCATTCAGAATCTTTTACTGAGATAACTCTTTTATGATTTTTAGAGAGATTTTTAATTGAGCCTATAGATTTAAAATAAAGATATTATACACTAAAATATAAATATAACCTTGTTTCCTAGAATTAAATTGTTATTTAATCAATTTAATTAAGGCATTTGAGCTTATATCAAAATTTTGGAAAGTGATGTTGCAAGCTATTACCTTTTTAAAAGTAAGATCAAATAAAAAAAGAAAAGTTGATTTGTAAAAATTTGATCAAAAATACTTAGCAAACTTCAATAAAAAATAATAAAAAAAGCTAATTAACTAATTTTTTTTATAAATTAAAATAACCTAAAATTAAAATGTAAAAAATAATAAATAGAATATTTGAATTTTAAATTCTAAAAATTATGAAGATATTTTAATTACTTAATCAAAAATTAAAATACATTTTTTAACATTTTTTTTTTCACTTTTGCTTATGAAAAATAATAAATAACACAATTTTTCCAATTTAACTTTCAAACAATGAGATAAAAATGTACAGAAGATAATAAATTTAATTAAAAAAATTTTTATACAGCCATCTTAACTAAAAGATTTTCTAAATCAATAAATATAGGTAAATTTAGTAAATTGTAAAAAATAAAATAAACTGTCCATAAAAAATATCTAAGGCATAAATAAGTTTCTTTCAATAAAATAAAATTTTTTGTATTAAAAATATTAATTCAATCATGACATGAAAAAGTAAAGATATCAAAATTAATCACTGAAGATCAAATTTTTAAGCTAATTTGAGAACAATATTTACAATAACATTATTTGTTTCATAAAATTATTAGCAAACTTATTAATTTTATTTATTTCATTTATTTGATCGAAGTAAGGTTTTTTCTTTAAGGATACATAAATACATTTATTAAAAAATTTAATCTTAAATGCACAATGCAAAAATGATTTAATATTTTAAATTTAAAATCTACAATTTTAAAATTAAATTTTTGTATAAGTTTAAAATAAACTTAAAATTATAAAACAATTCAGACATAATATCAAAATAAGTTGATTATTTCTTTTTTTTTTTGAATTTTTACAAAATTTATACTCTAAAAATATTTATTTATTTCTTCTTTCAATCCTTTTTGAGCATTTTATCTGGGTTTCCATCAGGACTAATATGAGAACCATTAGATGATTGTTGACTATTACCTGATTCTTAAGGTGGGATATTCATAGTAGTTGAAGAACCATTTTAAGAATTGCTGTTTTCAGAAGAAGGTTCTTTTCTTTTTAAGGATCCAAATGTACCTAAATTTTTGATAGGAACACTATTTTATGAAGGTTAGGCAAATTGATTTTAATTTTGAGATTATTTTTTCATAAGTTCTTAGTAAGCTTTGTACTTATCTCTTTCATCCCTTTGTATCAAGGTGTCTTCAATTTTTTCATATAAAACTTTTAGAGTATCTTTAATTTCCTTTGATTCATCATCATCCAAAAAGCTGTGTTTTAAATGGTCGACTTTAATATCGTCTTTTTTTAATATTTTGAAGCTAGGAAGTTCTTAAGGAGGAATTGCTATTTTTTTTGAAAGACAATTTTCTAATATTTATGCACTGTCAATAAAATTTTTAAGACCCTCTTCTTCACAATATTCTTTATTTTCATAAAGTACAGCGTTTCCTAATTAAAAGAAAATACTGCTCAAAGTTCTGCTATACTCCCTATCTTCTATTTCTTTTGACAACTAAAGAGCCCTATTTAAAATTAAAAGATAAGTTTTTTCTCCTAATATAGATAATTATTTACATAGTGTATTCCTTTAAAGCATCTGAGAAATTATCCCTCCATTATTCTAAATCAGCAATTCTTAAAGTTACTTCGACTATTTATTTTTTGACTTAAATTTATTTTTCTTTTCTATCCTCATCTTAGCTATCTTATAATTATAACAACTCTTAATTATAAATCTTACGACTTAATTCCAAATTTTCCCAAGCTAACTATAAATCATCAATAGGATCTGACTTTTCCATAGTCACTTTACCAATTGGTAGATTGTTTTCTTCAGTTTAATTTTCTTCATTATTTTATGGTGCATTAGTTTCATCTCTAATTTCTACATTTTCATCTTTAAAAATAACTGTGTCTAGCTAAACAATTTCTTCTTCTCCTTATTTATTATAAAAATTTTTGTTTATGTGAAATTCCTCACTCTTTTAAGTGCTTTAAATATATTTTTATGATCAAAAATAAATTATTTTAAAGTTTATATTTGTTTCAAATACCTTAGGACTAAGATTCTTCGTTTTCTTCTTCATCCTCCTCTTTTTATTCTTTTTAAGCAACCATTTTCTATTCACTAGCTTCTTCAGATGCCATTTAATTAGGATTTTTTTCAACTTCTTCAGTAGTTTAATTGTCTAATTTTTTTTAAGCTTTATCTCCAAAGACATCTGGATTATTTTCAAGTTTAGAAAGAAGCATATCTCCGTAAAAAAAGAAGTATTTAGACATCTTCACATGGGTTTCAGATTTATAAAATTTAACTGCATAAATCATCAGATCAGAGAAAATATTTTCAGCCTAATCAAAGTTTTTATTCTTGTAACATTCAACAGCCTCTGTAAGCCTGCTCTCTAAATACTTTTCACTTACTTTGCTTGAACTTTCTTTCAATATCTTTGTGATTTCCTCAGCCTCTTCCTAGTTACGACTGCCTTCATCATTTAGATTATTTTAATCTCCATTTTCTTCCTTATCTAAAATTTTTTGTTCCTTTGTTATTTCTTCTTACATTTATTTTTCTTATTCACTATTGTCAGAACTCATTTAACAGAAATAATTATTAAGTTTGCTATTACTCTTTGCTATAATCAAATTTTGTTTAATTAATATTTTTTATATTTAATATATCTATCAGTTTTTATATTATTGTTTTTTATGACTAAAATACAGTAAAAAAAGATTCAAATAAATTTTTTATGATTTCAATTTTCAATAAATAAGATAAACTATAACTTTTAAAATATTTAGTAAGATATTTTTTAGCGGTTCACTCGCTTTATTATACTAATATATATATTTATAATATATATGTATTCCGCTACACAGAAACTATTAGAATATTATTGCGCCAAAATCTCCTTTTTTCTTTATAATAATAAATTTTTTCAGTTGAATGATAAATCAATGATATTAATAACTAAAATTTGCATATTTATTGAATAAATTATTTTAAATATTTTAGCTTTTAGATTTATAAGACAAATTTTTTAATTGTTTTATTTTTTTTATAGTTTTGTTTCATATTCATTAGAAAATATATTCATATTGAGGATTAATTAACTTACCTAAAATAATAAAATATTTACAAGAAAAAATAAATAAATAACTAAATATTTTAAATTATTTAATCAAAAAAATTCTTCATATTTTCTTTACATTTAAGAATAAAAATTATCTTAATTATTTCTAACAGCATAAAAATATATCAAGATTAGTTAAATATTTTATACAGTAAATTGAATAAATGTTGTTAATTTATAAAATTTTAATATTTTTTCCAAACATAAATAAAAATAAAATCTATCTAAGAGCTTCATTAGATATCAAATTAATGCTAAATTTGATTTTTTTATTCATTTTATCTCATATTATTATGCTCATCAGATTCAATATTCATGTATTTCTTCTTTTGCTCAAAAAGTTAATCTATTTGACCTCTGTTCTTTTTATAGCGGTTATATATACAAAGAAGAATAATAACTAAAAGAACAAATAAACCGATAGTCAATCCAATAATCAAACCAATATTTGCTGATGTTATATAAACATCAATGGTCTAGAAGTTTAAATTGAAACTTACTATGCATTCTTTGAATAAGTATAACGAATCTGCTTCTTTACCTTATAATAATTACTCTGTAGAGCAATAATTTGTTGTAAAAGTAACATTATACTATTGGTCTACTCCACCTTATTTGCTTGAGCATAAGACCTAGTTTACAAAAATTTTTATTTTAAAGAAATATTTTCTTTAAAAAAATCAAAATATCTGTCTTATTTTAGCATTATTAATTAGCAAATGAAAAACTCAAAAATATCTCAAAGAAAAATTGATTATTTTCATAAAAATTATTAATAAATAAAATAAATTTTTTATATTTAATATTTTAATTAAAGCATTACCTCAGATTACACATTTGTTATATTAAAAATTTCTAACCATCTTTAACCTAAGGTAAACAATAAGTTCATGTTTTGGTAGTTGAAAAAAATAACTTAGTTGTCTCCAGCTAAATCTATAAATTCTTCATAAATTTGTTATCTATATTGAAAGTTTTGTCTGAAAATAGAGTGTCTGTAAGCTTTACCTATATCATCACTTATCCATATAGCATTTTTTGTTTGTGAGTCGAGAACTACATCATCAATTTAAATTTCATCATCTCCAAAACTATTAAAAACATATAATTATTGAAAGTGGATTTAGTTTAAAAATTTTTAATTTACTAATTGATATAGTAGTTATTTTTATCAAAGAAAACCTCCAATCCAGACTAGAAAGTTTTGGAACCAAGTGTTATTGACATAGTATATTTGACTGCATCAAATGATGAAATGAAAGGAATTCCAATAAAGTACTGGTATTAGAATGTAATAGGAGCATTTTAACTTTTAGGAGGATTTATTAGTAAGACATGTAGTCCTTCATTATTTTCTTGAAAAATAGCAATTTAGTCCTAACCTTGTTAAACAATTTTAATTTTTACTATGTTAAACATACAAGTTGCTGGCATATTTTAGTTTATATTAGCCATATTATTTTGTTATTATTTTTGATAAGAAGCTGAGTAAATAAATTCTCCAGTCTACTAAACATAATATGAATCCACTCCATCTGTTCCAGAAGCTGTTAAAATGTAGATACTATTACCAGTTAAGCATGTCACTATCTATTGTAAATATAATATAAGTATTTATAAAAAGTTTTGATATTTTTTCATTTTAATTGATAATTATTAAATAAATTATTGTTATAATTTATAAATAAAATACAGAATAAATTTTTTGTCTGGCAACATAATTAGTCTGAATTATCATATCTGATTTGATATTTGATACCTAATATGAATTTATGAGAAAAGCTCTTGAAGGAGTAAATATATATCCTTTACTTTTATACGAAATTCCCTTAGCCCATGGTTCCTAATCAGGCTTAATATTGATAAGGTTTTTAAAATTAACAGAACTTTGAAGAGTATCATAATTTCCATTTTAAGAGTTTCCTAAGCTAAGATATGTGTACTTTTGCATTAAAAATTCAATTTTATTATTTTAAATTTTTATAGTTTGAAGATTTTTTTAAAAGTATTAATATTGGTGAATGCGCTTCGAATTAAAAAGTATTTTAATAAAGCTTTGAAATATTTAATACAGTATAAATGTTGAAATCAGAACTTAACATCATGAATGTTTTATCATCTTTGAAGTAGAGAACATCAGTAAATCTCGCTTATACTTGATCACTATCTATATTGAGATTAACATTAATAGTAAAGAGCTTTTGATAATTAGCCTATGTCTAATAAGAAACACATCCTCCAAGATTGAACTTGTCTTAATCTTCAAATAATTGATAGTTGTTTATTGTCATATCTTGCAACGTGCCCTAGTTAAAAATTAAAATAAATTATGGGCAAATGTAATAATAAAAAAATTATTTTTAAAAATGTGTTTTTAATAATATAATCCTACATTATTTAACTTCTATAGCACCTTAATCGACTATACATCATATACATCAGAATTAAATGATATTTAAAGCATCTATCCAGGCTCAATTTTGAATTGTTTGTCACTAATAGTTTCATACTTGACTACTCTTTAAGGAGTAGGTGTTGGCTATCTAGCCTATCCGCAATAAACAAACCCTATAGAAATTATCAAAAATATTTGCAGTTTAGTCTAGCTAAATATCATTTATTTATAGAAAAGCTAAATCTTTAACTAAGTATATTACTAATTACTCTAAATAATTAATATTTTATATATTTTTTTATTAAATTGATTTATATATTTATTTTTAAAAAGATAAATGATCTCCTAATCCTTGATACAATAAGTTGAATGCTTGGAAATTGATTAGTTGTGGTATTTTCTTAATTGAAGTATTGTTACGATTTCATCAAATTTTTAATCAAAAGATAGATTCAAAAACTGATAAAAAATATGAAAATTAAAAGTTAAATATTTTTTATCTTAGTTTGATTTTACATTTATTTAATATGTAAAACATTTGGACATATTTATTTTTAAAAATCGTAAAATTGAATTTTGAATAAATATTTCGATGATTAAAATATTATAGATATATTAAATATCTACTTCCTCATAATTTTTAAGCTTTTAATATTTAATTTTTTACAAAAATTCTTCAATTTTTTATTAAATTTAATACATTTTAATTTTTGTATGATTTACACATTAATTTTATAGTTATTTGTTTCTTAGCTTTATTTTGTTAGTTATTTTTAAGAATAAATATCGCATAAACAAATTCTAATTATATTAATTTAAATTGTGTTTGTCTGAGACTTATTAAATATGAAGATAAAATTAATAATTATATTTACCAAAGTAAAACTTAAAAAAGTTAATTTTTAATTGTATGCTTTATAAATGAATTTGTAATTAAAATAGTTGGTGCAAACTAAAATAATTAAAATATAATTATTAATAATTGTGAAAGTTTCATTTAAATTTTAAATCTATGGGCATTAAAAAACTAGAGATTATAATATATTTAAAAATAAGTCCATTCAACTAGAAGCAGATATTTAAAAGTTCTACTTAAGTATTATGATGTGCAATTAGAAATGTTTTTCTGACATAGATATAATATATTTTTTATTAATAATTTACTTTTTTTAATAGAAATCATATTAATACTTTTACAAATTTATAAAAATCTATACTTAAGATGTTTATAATCATTCATTCATTTTTATATCAAAATTTAAATAAAATGAAAAAAAAAAAAAATTAGAAATTTAAAAAAATCAACGGGAAATTTTATTAAATTCGTTACCAAACACTATCTAGTGTAAAATTTTAATTTTTTGGTATTTGAAATGAATTATCAAATATTTAATCAATATTATTCAATGAATGAAGAAATATGAAAGGAAATAAAGAAAAGTTTTGATCATAATCGATAATAATAAATAGGAAAAAAGAACAAATGAATCAAATTAATTTGGTTGTTTGATTATTTCCTTTTTTTTTTGATTATTTTTTTTGAGCAGTGTATATTTTTTATTAGATAAGAAGAAGAATTTTCAAATAGCAGCTGATGATGTTGCGTTAGGACTAATTAAATTGATTCACAGTAAAAAAGAGTATAATAATTAAAGATTTCTAAAAAAAATCAAAAATAAAGCTTTTGTTTCTTCAAATATTAAAGAAATAGCAAAAATCTAATTAATAGAAGCATAAACATGGATTTCTAAAAGTTAAGAGAAATTTTACCAAAAGATCCTTTAATTTGGTCTTAAGAGGATGTTTTAGAATGGTTAAAGTTTATAGGTCTTGATAAATATGCTCCTTAATTTAGTAAAATATTTTGATTTTATTTTTTAATTGGTATAATTATTCTTTTACCTGTATGATTACATCTATTTTACTTATAGTTTACATGTTAAAATATCATTTTTTTCTAAGTTTTTAATTGAAAGGAAAACTTTAGGTTTAAAGATTTTTGTTTAAAATTTATTTTATCCATAAAAATAGAGGAAAACACAATTGACGGTTCTTGCTTAAACACTTTAACCAGCGATGACTTATAAAATCATCTAAAAATTGATAATGCCATCTAAAGAAAAAAAATTTTAAACTGTAATTTTTATGATTAATTTTCTCACAAGCATGTTAAAAGAATGAAATCTAACTGCAATTTAGATGCTTAATTATTGAATTAAATTAAAAAAGTTTAATAAAATTTAAATAGGGATTTCAGTTGGAATACAAACCTACTCATAGTATTTAAAGACTTTTCAAGAAGAATCAAAGCCCAATTAAATTGTTCTAAGTGAACTGAATTAAAATTCATAATAAATTATGATGATAGATAAAATAAAGGCTAATAATTATAAGAAAATGTAAAGTTTTGAAGAAACAAATGTTTCTAATCGTTAATCTATCTAAAATTTTGCAAACGAAGACAAATATTTATTTGAAATGAACACTAACAATGTAAAATAAAGCTTCAATGATAAATTTCAAGGAAATGCTTACAAACAAGTAAATAAATTATCATAAACTTTTTTATCTGTTAAATATTTGGTTATTTTAAAAATCTCTTTATATTATCCCAGAAAGAACTGTGTTATTGAACTAAATTTTACTAATAATTTGCATCAATTTCAATTTTATTAAAGTATTTTTTCTTGATTGATATAATTTGTTTTCACATTTCAAAAATAGATTTTTCTTCATTTTCAAATAATTTTCGATAAATCAATTTAATGAATAATTCGTAATTGAAATCCTTTGTATTATAGCATAATTAAATTTAAGTTTGTTTAAAAATCAATCAATTAATCATTTATATTTTATTACAAAGGATAATTAAAGACTTAGATTGCCAGTCTGCAACAGTAAGCTTGACTCATCTTCAGAAGAAGACAAGGAAAACATAGATGAATATACTTAAGCAGTAGATTAATAAAATTTAGAAGTAAACAATAATACCAGCGAAGATTAAACTGCTTTAAAAAATGTTCTAATTATTGAACCTGTTGAAGGAATATAAACTAATTTCTTTTGTGTTAAGGAGGATGGTGGTAAAATTGGAAGACACTCCTCAAATCAAATTTTGATTTTAGAAGAATCTATTTCAAGGTACCATGCAGAGATAGTTTATCAAGATAAAAAATTTTTCATAAAAGACATTGGTTCATCCACAGGTACATTTATAAAGGTGAAAGACAGAGTCCCTATTACACTAGGGATGCTTTTTGAAATGGGCTCATTTTAGTTTGAAGTTTCTGATCTAGATTTTGAAAATTAAATTATAGATTTAGATATATTAGAAGATTCAAAGCCAACAAACCCTAAGCATTATAAGGTAAATTTGATAATGCTTTCTTTTATCAAATCTTAAGCTAATTTTAATTAAAAAAGTTGGAAATAAAGAACTCAGGAGACTAACCAGGATTTGTATCAATAGGTAGAAAACCATCAAATAAAATAAAACTTCCTGATGACTAACATCTTTCAAATGTTCATGCTAAAATATACTTCATGAATAATTAATTCTTTTTAGAAGACAATGCTTCAACAAATGGGTAAATATTTTAAAGTTTTATTTTTAAGGTAATTAATTACATTTTTTTTAATAAATAGAACTTGGATTAGACTAAGTAAAGAAGGCTATACAAGTGAAACCTGGGAAATATAAAATAATACAATCATTAAAATTGGTTCTACTAGCAGTTATAATTGCAGATTTGATCACGAAGTTTAGAAAGAAGCATTAAATGATGCTTGCTTTATTTGCTTCTCCTAGGATAAGGATGCTGTTTTTCTACCTTGCAGACATAACTCTTCATGTATCAAATGCTCAAAAACCCTATAAGTCTGTCCTATTTGCAGAACAAAAATAGAAGATGTTGTAAAAATTTTCAAAGCATGAAGAATTGATACCTGAAAATAATTAAATTAAATTGAAGAGCTGAATAGGTTCAATGCATAAATTATAAAACAAATATGAAATTGTGAATATAAATAAATAAATGAATTAATATCAATTAAAAGTATTAATCAAAATATATAAATACTACTAACTACAAACGACGCTAGAAGAGACCTGCTAATTTATTGCATTCTTCTTGCTTTAGCGTTTGATTGTACCATATCAATTAATTCCCTATTTGGAGAGATATTGCAAATGTAGAAAAGCTAATTTATCTATATATCTATCTATCTTTATATAAAATATAGTACTTGCATACTATTCAATGATTCCTTTATCAAATTACACTATAGTTAATATATAAAATATACTATCAATCCAATTTAATTAATAGTGTGCAAATGTATAAAAATTTTCTTATTTTATGTACATTATTGTTTTTATTTCTTCCTTAAATATTAAAATTAAAATTCATTTGATTGACTGTTAAATTATTTATCAATTTATTTTTATTTTAATTCAAATATTTATTTCCTTTTTTATATTATTTACTAAATATAATTAATAGAAATTTTAAATATTTATAATAATTTAAGCTAATTCAAACCTAAAGAAATATTTAATAAAAAATTAAAATGTTAAAATCTATCTTTAAAATTAATACTTAAAACTTATTTTTGAAATGAATAAATTAATTAGTAAAAAATAAAATGATCAAAAGCTTTCATTAATTTATTGATAAAATCATATTTAATATTTAACTTAATAAATTACAATTTTAATTTATTTAAACAGAAACTCAGAAAGGATATAAATTTTTATATTTAAATCTAAAATAACCAGCAATTTTATATAAAATGTTAAGAGGATTCAAAAAGAAATTTTTTAAAAAATAAGATTTTCCTATAAAAATTTTTTAATTCATTGTGAAGATAGAATAATATCAATTTTTAAATAAATTCTTTTAATAGAAATATTAAATATTTATAATAATTTAAGCTAATTCAAACCTAAAGAAATATTTAATCAAAAATCAAAATGCTAAAATCTTTAAAAAAAATACTTAAAATTTATTTTTGAATGAATAAATTAATTAGTAAGAAATAAAATAATTAAAAGCTTTCATTATTTTAATGATAAAATCATTTTTAATATTTAAATTAATAAATTAGTATTTTAATTTATTTAAACAGAAACTCAGAAAGGAAGTAAATGTTTATATTTAAATCTAAAACCAGCATTTTTTTAAAAATGTGAATAGGATTTAAATAGAAATTACAAAATAAAATATAAATTTTTTAAAAAATAAGATTTTCTTATAAAAATTTTTTTATTAATTGTGAAGATTGATTAATATCAATTTTTAAATAAATTTTGATAATTTTATATAAAAATAAATCAAATAAGACATTAATTTATGAATGCATTTTTTATTTTTTATTAAATTTGATGTTAATATTTTTATCAATAAATTAAATTCATATTTACTCATTTAAAAATTATACAATAATTTTTTTTTTTTTCTTATAAAATTTTTAACAATTTGGTATTTATGTGCATAAAAAAAAATCTCTCATTTTCAAATAAGCTGTTCGTTCAAATAGGCATCAAAATTTATAAAGATATTTTTAGATAGATGATATATCAATATTTATAAAACTTTTGTAATAAATGTTGGAAAATTAGAATCATTTAATCTTCTTTGCTTATTGTTTTTAATTTGAGGATTATTACTGATTTGATTAATTATCAATTTTATCAAATAATAAATTATAACTAATATGATTATTTGATTATTATTATTTGTTGTAATTGCAAACAAAATAATCTAATTATTAATTATTATCAAATATTTACTTAGATATATAAATAGCAAACTAGATAAGCCAAATTAGAGTTATAAATTTATAGTAGTTAAAGTGACTGATAAAAATGAGTACTCAAAAATAGCAAGTAGATTAAAATTAAGCTTTATTCTTTCAATTAAACATTCAAATTTTATATTTAATTTACCATCTTCTCAAAATTTGAAAGTAAAGAAATTTAATTTTTTTTATTGATTAAATTAGAACAACAACTTGTACTTGACAGAAATAACAGAAATCCCAAAATATAATGTTGAAGAAGATGAATACTTTGATTATGAGAAGCAGTATAAAGAGATTTTAAAAAATAAAAAAAAAAAAGGTAATATCGAATATAGTAGCGAAGGAAATAGGATGCCAATAATATCTATGAGATTACTTGATGAAGCTATTAATTAAAATATTTTACCCTAAGAATAAAGAGAAAGACTTATTAGAAACCCAAATAAATATAGCATATTCTTTTGTAAATTTAATTGTGACTCTCCTAATATGAAGAAAGCTATGCAAACTAAAGGAATTTCATAATCAGATTTAAATTTGAAATCTTTTGATGATTTTTGCAAAGAATATAGTATGTCAGAATCTATGAATCAAAAAACTATAAATACTAGTATCAATTAAACTTATTTAAAAAAGTTAATAGTTTATCTTTAATATGTCACAAAGCACTATGAAAAATTAAAAGATCTTATGAATTGTAGATAAACTCTTAAAAGGAATTAAAAATCTTAAACTCTTTATACCAATAATAATAATTTATAGGATTCTATGTAGAGATTAAATTAAACACAATCAGAAATAATCAATTTAAATGGTAGCTTTGCTGGAAGATGTAATAAGTCATTCATCGGACTTAATAAATCTATAGAAAATAGTATACTTACTTTTGATGACAGAGTAAAGGACTAAATCAAAAGAGCTTAGAAAGAGGAGTAAGCCCTTGGAAAATATGTAGAATAATACATTGATACTAAGAAATAGAGAGAATTGGAATACAATAGATCTCTTGAAAGTCTAGAAACAAGAATGAAAAAAAATGAGTAAATTGAAAAAATTAAACTTCTTAAAAGACAAAAAGAATAATAGGAAAAATTACAAAAAGTGCTTGAAAGAGTGAAAAAAATGCAGGAAGTTAAAGAAGAAAAAATTATAAATAAATTTAAAAGAATGGATTTTATGCAAGAGAGAGCTAATGAAAAGAAACTTCAGCTCGAGAAGGTAAAATATTATTACAAAGTAGAAGTTTTTTAACTCATATTTGCATTTCAAAAAAGGAAAGAGAAGAATTTTTAAAGAACAATAATAATTTAGATGCAAAGCTCCTAAAAATAAAAGAAAAGCAGTACATCAAAGAGGAGAGGATTGAAGAAGAAAGATAGTTATTGCAGAAGCAGATTGATGAAAAGTAGATGAAGTCAACCTAGCTATTGTAACAAGTATAAAATCTTCATAGGGAAAGAGTAGAAAGATAAAAGAATAGGTATAATAAAACAATAGAGTGTATAGTAGATAAAAAAAGAATATCTGATGAGAATGTCATTCAGTCTTTAATAGAAAGCCATTTAGATATTCAATAGAAAGTAAAATTAGTCTTATTTATAATATCACTTCCAATTAATGTTGTAAATTAACTAAATAAAAAAGATGTAAAATAAGATGAAATCCCTGAAAAAACATTTTGAGGAAAGATAAAAAATAGAAAAGAAGAAAAATATAACCAGAGAAAAAATAAGAACAGAATTAGAAACAAAAGATGAAAGATTAAAAGAAAAATTAACTGAGAAGATAGAGAAACATGATGAAAAAATACAAGCTCATAAAATGAGTATTGCAGAAAGACAACAAATGATGCATGATAAATTATAAAACTAAATTAGAAAAGTTCAACACAATAAGTCTCTTGTTGATCTTTAGAACTTTGATAAATAATAAAAAATAATTGACAAAAGCATTTATATCTCTTAATAGTAGTTTAAAAAAAAATAAACTCTAGAGCAATTTAAATAATCCTCAAGGTCATTATCTTAATCATTAGCCTTAAAAAAGTAGGAAATATTATCCAATTTAATATGAAATAGATAAATAAATAAAACAAAAAGTGCTAAAAATTATATAAAATATTTCTTTTCATTACTTTTAATTTTATTTATTTTTCATATTTAATGTTCCATGCTTATTTATTTATTTTGCATATTTAATGTTCCATGCTTATTTATTTATTTGTTTATTCATTCATTCATTCATTCATTCATTCATTCTCTTTTTTGTTCATTTATTTTTCTCATAAAGATGTATAATTAATTTTATTAAATTAAACATATTTAAAAAAATGATTCCTCCGAGGTTTGAACTCGGGACCTTCAGTGTGTTAGACTGACGTGATAACCACTACACTAAGGAATCCTTTCTGTTCAAATAAAAAATAGCTTTGTATACTTTATTTTTTTTTAAACATAAATGAAAGAAAATTTTAGAATGATTTTGAGGCCAATATTTTTTTTAAATTTTATTTGAATTTCAATAAATCTTTTAGCAAACAACATAAATTAATTAAAAAATTGATTCCTCCGAGGATTGAACTCGGGACCTTCAGTGTGTAAGACTGACATGCTAACCACTACGCTAAGGAATCAAATCATGAAATACCCATTTAAGGTATTTTCCTTTTTATCACAAAAATGTTTTTGAATTAAAAATTTATTTTAAAAGAGTTCTTTGAATAAAAGTGACGTTTTGTAAAAAATTAAAATTGATTCCTCCGAGGATTGAACTCGGGACCTTCAGTGTGTGAGACTGACGTGATAACCACTTCACTAAGGAATCAACTCATGAAATACTCATTTAAGATATTTTCCTTTTTATAACAAAAATCTTTTTAAATTAAAAATTTATTTTTAAAGGAGTTCATATAAAAAAGTGATGTTTAGTAAGCATTAAAAAAATTAAAAATGATTCCTCCGAGGATTGAACTCGGGACCTTCAGTGTGTAAGACTGACGTGATAACCACTACACTAAGGAATCAGCTTATTAATTTAATACCATGCTGAATTTAATTCCTTATTGATTAATATAATGTAGTATTTATGAAATTTTTTTAGTAGCTTTAGCATAATAAATTATAAATAAAAAATGATTCCTCCGAGGATTGAACTCGGGACCTTCAGTGTGTAAGACTGACGTGATAACCACTACACTAAGGAATCAGTTGATGAAATTTATAGAATAAATTAGCATCATTTTAACTTAAAATTTTTTTTAATTTAAAATAAAAACTAAAATAGTAGATTTTATTTTTTAATGATAATTGACTATTCTTTTTATCTAAAAATTTTTTATATGTAAAATTTCATTTTATTCATAAAAATTAAAAAATGATTCCTCCGAGGTTTGAACTCGGGACCTTCAGTGTGTTAGACTGACGTGATAACCACTACACTAAGGAATCAGTTCTTGATTTATTCTAACTTTTATAAAATTTCATAACGATTAATAGGGAACTAACTCATTTAATTAACAATATGCATTTAAAAGTTGAAATAAATGCATTAAAAATATATTTATTTTATGGATAAATTTAATGAATTTTTAGTCAACAAATCTAAACTTTTAAACTATGTAGTTCTTCAAATTATATAAGCAGATATTTTAACTTTTTATTCGAATCTTTATAGTCAAGTTTTTTTAAAAATATAAATAAACTATTGAATTTTCTTTATTTTATATTAAAAATAATTGAATTAATATTGGTAGCTAGATAAAAATTTTATGATTTTAAAATGTTTACTATTTATATTAGATTAAAGGATTCAAATTAATTCATTTAAAATTAAATAATATTTAAAAGTTATTTTATATTTTATCTCTTAAGAATTTTCGAGATCTTATTTTAGTTTTATGCAAAAATTTGTAAATTTTTATTCATTCTATTTTCTGGTTTATATTTTAGAACCTCCAAAGCCAATGTTTTTATGGAAATTTCAGTTTATAAATATATATCAAATATCATTATTATAAGAAAAATAATTCTGGGGTTGGGGTTGGGGTTGGGGTTGGGGTTGGGGTTGGGGTTGGGGTTGGGGTTGGGGTTGGGGTTGGGGTTGGGGTTGGGGTTGGGGTTGGGGTTGGGGTTGGGGTTGGGGTTGGGGTTGGGGTTGGGGTTGGGGTTGGGGTTGGGGTTGGGGTTGGGGTTGGGGTTGGGGTTGGGGGTTGGGGTTGGGGTTGGGGTTGGGGTTGGGGTTGGGGTTGGGGTTGGGGTTGGGGTTGGGGTTGGGGTTGGGGTTGGGGTTGGGGTTGGGGTTGGGGTTGGGGTTGGGGTTGGGGTTGGGGTTGGGGTTGGGGTTGGGGTTGGGGTTGGGGTTGGGGTTGGGGTTGGGGTTGGGGTTGGGGTTGGGGTTGGGGTTGGGGTTGGGGTTGGGGTTGGGGTTGGGGTTGGGGTTGGGGTTGGGGT